CCAACCCCCAACCCCAACCCCAACCCCAACCCCAACCCCAACCCCAACCCCAACCCCAACCCCAACCCCAACCCCAACCCCAACCCCAACCCCAACCCCAACCCCAACCCCAACCCCAACCCCAACCCCAACCCCAACCCCAACCCCAACCCCAACCCCAACCCCAACCCCAACCCCAACCCCAACCCCAACCCCAACCCCAACCCCAACCCCAACCCCAACCCCAACCCCAACCCCAACCCCAACCCCAACCCCAACCCCAACCCCAACCCCAACCCCAACCCCAACCCCAACCCCAACCCCAACCCCAACCCCAACCCCAACCCCAAACCCCAATTAAAATATGGAGTTAAAAATAAAAGCTTAAGGAAAAAAAATGAGAAAAAAGGAAATTTATCAATAAATTATAGCCAATCAATATTTAAGATAATAATTTGACTGTAAAACTAACGATTTAATAAATCCACAAAAGATTTGATTATTAAATAACAAATTTAAGAAATATAGTGATTAGTTATTATTATTGATAAAGGAAAAGGAATATATGAGCGCTATTGATAAAAATAGCTAAAGGGTTATGCTTGAAAGTTTTGATTAATCTCAAAATTTGAGGGTATTAAGTCCTATGTAATCTCCATAATACAGCCAAAGCTAATATAGGACTAGCTAGATTGCAATCTAGCTTGCGAAATCTAAATTAGTAAATTAAAATTATACTTTAAAATGATTTATAATTTTAAAAAATGATAATTTAGATGCAATCCAAATTGTAAAATAGATAGGCATAAGAACAATCTATACCTACAGATCCAATTTTATTATAAAAAGTAAATTTTTTAAAATGTAAAAGTATTTAAAATTTATTCCTTTATTTAGCTTTTATTGAGAATGCATCCGAATAAATATATTAGCATCCTATTTGGTCTAATGTTCATATGCTCTGTAGGGTATGGTATATTTTTACCAGCAAATTACTGTGCTATAAGTTTAGTTTGTATTTCTGCTTTCAGTTTTGTTGGATTCCTAATTGAGACTATTACATTTTGTAGGTTAAAAATATCTTACTAAAGGGTTAGTGTATTTTATGTTATTAAAGGCATATACATATTGATAGCAGCAACAATACACTTTGTTTTTCTTTTTGCTATAAATGATGCTACTTATTGCGATTATATGTGGTGTTAGTAAGATGTAACAATGAAAGGTAAAATTAATAATTATCCATTTTAAATCATTAATTTAGTAAAATATTTTATAAATCTAATAATTATTTTTACTTGATGGATTAATAATAATATGAAAATACTTGTTAAAATTAAAAATTTTCATTATTAATCAAAAACCACAATATTTTATAAAAATAAGATAATTGTATGAAATTCATACAATTTCAGGATTTTACTTATCTTTTATAATATCTAATTTAGATTCACCACAATTTATTTCATAAATAATACAGTTTTACATCTATTAAAATAAATTTGTTAAGTATTATTAAATAAATGCAAAAATATCTAGTTTTTTCTTTTGATAGTTCAATAATTATTTTATAATATAAAAATTAATTTTTTAAATAATAGATTTTTTGAAATCCTTTACAAATAGTGTAGGGTAAAGCACTTTGAGCTAATAATGTGCTTAATTCCAGGCTTAATATTTAGGAGATGCATAGTATAGTCAATTGCAATAGTTTTTACTGTCAAATATTGCAAAATATTGTGTCTATATAGGAAAATGCAATTCTATAGATGATATAAACAATTTAATTCATGGCTATTCTACTTCATCAAATAAAGGATATCTTATAGCTTTTGGGATAGCTTTTGTAATTTACAGTATTTATTTATTCTATTTTGTTACCCATTTAAGACATATAAAATCATAAATGGATGAGTTTAATACCTTAGATTATAAAGATTAAGATAAACCTAACTTAATGAATCCTTTTGACGAGAGCTAATTTTAAAACTAGAGTGCATTTTAGTCACCTCATTAAGATTTTTCTTAAATTTAAGTTCACCCTTACAATCAATAGCAAGAGTTATAATAATAATAACAGTAGGAGATTAATAATAAGAATATTTTAAACGGAACATAATCTAAATAAAAATAAGAATAAATTTTAAAAGAAGAATAATAACACTAAAAAATGCATGTACAAGATCTTTAGCAAGAATAAAGAGGTGGAAATTATGTTTTTGATGATGATGCAAATAGAGCTAAAAATTAAAATAAATTATAATAAAAAGTCCAGCAAGTTGTTATTATTAGCAAATTAGCTAAAACTAAATAATAATAATAATAATAATAATTATATTAATAATAAGGTATTCTTGATTAAGAAAAAGTGAATAAATAAGACTAGTAGTAAAATTAATAAAATTAAAAATAAAATGCAACAAATAATTAATAGCCACAAAACTAAAATAGTGATGCATTTTAAAAAATTAATTAACCATAAATTGAAATGTAAAATAGTAATTTGAAAAGCTCTTAATTATCAAACAGATAGTAAAACCATATTCTATCAAAAATTTCCTCATCTAAAAACTAATAATTGAATATTTAAAAAAAAAATTGATAACTAATAATTAATTTAAGCTATATTAAGTATTTGTTTAACTATTAAATAAAATTTATAATATAATAACTGCAAATTTATATTGACTTTTCATACTTTCTTATCTAAAATTTAGTCAACTTACTTATTTCCTTAAAATTGATTGTAAATATATATAGCAATTTTAAATTATGAAATAAATTAAGAAAACGTAAGAAAATTGATAATAAATAAATTTTAATAATATATATAATTGTAATTTCTTTTATTGATTCGAAAAAGAGAACATCCTTCCTTCTTAATTAAAGTAAGAAGCTTTCTATAGTCTAAATAAAAAATGCTGTAAAAATCAGATTATAAATTGTATAAAGTATTTTTTTTAAATAAACTATGTTTTTTGCTGTACTTTATTTGATTGTATTTTTAGTGAGATTTTATAGCAAATAAATTTAATATAAAAAATATAAAATATAAATATTTTAATTTATAAGATTAATTTATTATTATCATATATTTGAAAATAAAATTCTATGTTATACACTTTTTTTAGACATAAAATAAATTTATTTTAAAATAAAAAATTTAAAGGTAATTTATTTGATTTCACATATTATTTATTTCTATGAATAAAATTTATCAAATTAAATTTCTTATCAATATTTGTAAAAAAGGAGAGGAAATTAGCATTTATATTTTATTGTTATTTAAATTGTATTTTTTGTTATTGATGGGGTATTTTCTACCTCATTAATTAAAAAGACATATAATGTAGCAATTTAAATTTTTTATTTACTTCCTCTAAAAAAACTTGAATTTTACCAACTTTTCATGATATTGATTTGGCAAACTGTTTTTTTACTCATTTTAATTAAAGCCATTGATTTTTTGATAATGCTTAACTCTGCATTTTCTTGTCTGTAAATAACTTTTGAAAAATATTGTATTTTTTAGATAAAAAATAATTTTAAATCTACAATTTCGATACGTTAATACCTTTTAAAAATTATATTTGCTTAAATAGCTTTAATAGATTTAAATAGAAAAATAATTTATTGATATCAGCTATTTGTAATCTAATTTTAACTTTGCTAGATATAAATTTGAAAATAAATAAAAAATATTATGAAATAGACTTAAAATAAGCTTTTATCTAGATTTAATGCATATAATTTTTCATTATTAAACATTTTATCATTTAAAATTTTTCTTAATAATAATTTATTTCTAAATTTGCTACAAAGTTTATAAAAATGTACTTTAAATTCTCATATATAAAGGCCTTTTAATTTAGGTTCAATTTTCCAAATATAATGATAGGAACCAAAAATTGAACAAACAATTAGTAAGGGAGGGGGAATAATTAATGAGAACTTACAGTATTCAACTAAGAGGTTCATTTTGATTTTAATTTATGAAGATTTTTTTTAGCAGTAAATTTAAAAGACATTAATTTTAACAAAATGGCTTATTTATTTAAATCTTATAATTTTCGGCTTTATTTTTAGAGTTTATCTTCTCAAAATTCTATTTATTGTTTTTACCTTTTAAATGTGTCTTTCAAGCTGTTTTAAATTTTTGATCAACACAAGAAATAAAAGTTAGATAGACTATTGGTTCATAACTTTTCCCACTAATTTAAAATCAGCATACAATTTTAACTGACTCTAATTTGGTAGCAATATAAATTCAAAACTAGAATCAATCAATATTTACATTTGATATTATAACACAAAAAAATAAGAAAAATAAGAGTAGAAAAAAAAAAAAATGATAAAATCTTTGCTTTTAAAAATAGATATAATACTAATAATAGCTCATTTTATAAATTGCTGTTTGGATGGCTGTTTGAACTGCTATCAAAGTTAATCAAATGGTATGGAAGTCTGCACTTTATGTATGGACGGCTTTACATTGCAATAAAATGCGTGCATAGTTAATGTTTGTGAAAACTACTAGTTTTATGATGCCTCATAATCTAATTCATGTGTTTCTCTTTGCAATCAAAACACAATTGGTGTTTATGGATAAAATACTTGCTAGCAATCAAGTAGTTGTTCTAAAAGATTCATTTAATCATCTTAGATTTCTTCATAGTAATCTATTTAGTAAGTCTAGTATTATATTTAGAATACAATCATTACAATATTTACTAACTTTTTCAATATAATTGATGCAAAGACAGGAGCATTTTTAAGAGCATAAACATTTAACTAGAATATAATTCTAATAAAATCTTTTAATAATACTGTCTACATGTTTAGCAATAAAAACCAAATTTTTTAGTGGATTAGCACTCAAAACTAAATGGCGTTAATTACAACTGCGTAGTAAGGTATCATAAATAGCCAAAGTAATATTATACAAGTTAATAACAACTAGAGCAGATTATTTTTTAGCTCATTTGATAACCAAGGCCAGTAGATAATATTTAGTGAAATAAACTAGAATGGTTTCAATTCTATTTCATTAAAGTATGATCTCTTAGTAACAATAATAAAAGGAATTATTGTACTTTAAAATAATTAATATCAAGTTATGTTAATTAATTTGGTTGAGTAAACTAACAATATTATTGGTTTTAATAATATAACTACTTCCTATAAGTGTAATAGTATTTAAGGAGGTGTGACGCAACTTGAAATAAGTGTCACCACTTAGACATACTTCCTGCTATTCTAAAATACTAACGCAATAGTATACTTTTCCTAATAAAATTAGTAGTGTTCAAATTCTTTAGAAAATTCAATGCCTTTAAAAATATAGCTTATTCAAATAAATTCCTCTCTTTCAAGTAGTGGATTTAATTAATTATTGCTAGCTTCTTTTGCTTCTAATTAATTTAAAATTTATAATCCCCAAAATTAAGTTTCTCTATTTGAAATTAAAATTGATAACCAAATTATTGATTTTAATAGTCTTTTAGAAAGTAATAATTCGAATAAAATTTACTTTTTAAAATAAAACAAAATCATTGACGTATATGTAATTCTTTTTGATTAATCAACTAACAGTATTACGCTCAATAAAATTAACAGCTTATAATCTCTAATATCAAATCCAATGCAACTAATTACTATACAGTAAGCTATTTCCTCTTAATAGCCTATATAAATTGGTGTGATAGGATAAGATATTCAATTAATTGACATTTCATAAGACAATACATAAGGCATTACTGTTAATTATTAAGAGGTAGCAAACTATAATCAAGGACAAATCAACAAACTCTACTATGCAGAGGAAATAAATCTATCTATAAGTTGTTCATAAGATGGCAAATTGGTTGTATGGAAGTAAGTTGACCCTCTAAACCCTTAATTTTACTATCAAGTTTAATTTCCTAACTAATCTTGTATTGACGCAATCATATTTTAATCTAGGCTGGTTGTATCCCTTTTCTCTAATTAAATTTACATCTTTAATATATTTAATTAGTATATCAACTAAAGCATACCAATTAATAACCAGTAATAATCAGGAATTAATATATGTAATAATAACATATTCCTTTTTTTTAATTAATAAATTTAAGTAATGACAGACATTAATCAAGTTTTTTATACATTTTAAATTCCCAAATAAGCATAAAACGTTTTTTATTCCGCTTCAAACGACATATACATATTGGACAAAACTAACACTATAACAGCTTACTCATTTAGTAATGGCTCTATTTAAATAAAAACTACAGTCACGCCATACCAGTTCTAAGTACCTTTGGTTAAATCTTATCTTTTTGATCTAGATAATGGAGGTATATTTTTTTTTTTTGGCTTAGAATTATTATTTAAAAAAAATTTACATAATTTATTTATTATATACACCAAATCATAAAAAAGTATCAAAAAACAATAAAAAAATAACTTATGATAATTTTCTTAAATTTATCTTCTTTCAACTAAAAGATATTTTTCATGCCAAACTAAACTTTTGTTTTTCTTCTTTGAGCAATTAAAAAAATTTTACAAACCAATTTAAAATAGTTTTTATTTCAAAATTAAAAAATATTTATAAAAATATTTGACTATTAAAAGATGTTCGCTTGATGGTAGCTGATACTAACAACTAAATAACAATCTTAAATAGTTAGCTAAATCTTTCTTTTCCCCTAATAAAATTGGATGGAGTAAATAGATAAATTTACTAATATAATTCTACACTTTATTTTGTGCTACTCTTTGCTCCAAACAAAAACAAAAGTTACCCTTTCGCTTTTGAATGCATAGATCTTTCGACAACAACTCCTTCTGTTTTAAATGTTCACCAAGTTTTGAATTGCGTTCAGATAGTTTATGTTAAAAAGTAAATGAATAATCCTCCTGAATTAGACTATTACTTTTATTTAACTGCAATAGTTCCTATGGGCTATACAAGTATTATGATTGAAGTAACTTGGAATAAAAAATTACAAAACAATGTATTAGAAAAATTTATTTACTATCCTAATCAGTCAATAAATATTGCATATCCAAGTAAAGGAAATACCTTAATTATGAGCGGAACTTTAACTGGTTATGTTGGTGTAGTTCCCTACAACAAGTAAGGTTCTATGCAAAACATATTTTCTCTACCAACTTTATCTAATGGAGATTAGATTAAATAAGTTTATTACAGCTTTAAGTTAGGTTTGATTTTCATTTAAGCTTAAAATGATGTTTATTTATAAAGTATATTTACTTTATAACAAACTGGAAAACTTTCTCTAGCAAATGTTAATGGAGACTCATATATTAATGGGCTCTAATTTTCAGATATTTCAAAAATATTTGTTTTCTACAGTAATTATTAGTTAGTTTTAATGAATACAAGTTCAAAAGCGATTTATTAAGTAAATTTAATCTAGAATAATTAATATCAAAAATAAATATAAGCATGCTTTATAGATGATAAAAGCTAATAAATAATTGTCTATGGAGATTCATTGGTCTAATATGATTTCACTTTATCAAACTAAAAAGTTATTTCTACACCTTTCTAGCAAAACTATACTTAGTGCATATTTTTACCAAATAATGTAATGTGTATAATGAATAATAACTACATTTAATTTTTTAATAGAGGTACCTAATTAGTTAGTACAATGATCCTTAAAATAACCTCTATGAATTAGTTTAGCATACTGGGAGACAATGATAATTAATTCTTGTATGTTTATTAAAATATGATTGAAGTATATACTTTTTAAGGTGTAATAAAGTAAACTTTTACTTAAATGAATATGTACATATTCTAGCTTCAGTTTTCAGGACTATACATAGTGGCTTACACCTCATCAAGTAACTATTTATCTTTTTTTAATATTAAAATTGTTTTTAAATATTGAATTTTTCTTCTAAAAAAATAATATTAATTTTTAAATATAGCTGCCTATATAATATCAAGAACAGATCTCAGTTTAATAAATACATTCCAACCATCTGGCTCATCTTTGATGAGAGGCTTTTATTTTAGTGAAATCAATATGATTGCATACATAACCAATGAAATAAGATTTGGATAAATTAAATTTTATAACTTGAATAATTTTTAGGCACTTGGTAGCTTAACAAATCAATTCACTTAAAATTAGGTTGGAATTCCAGTTGAAATGTACTACGATGCTGATAATTCTATGATTAATTATATTGATTAGTATGGAAATTAGCAATTAGCAAATTTTGGAGCCTAAATAAATACCTACAATATGATTGCTATACCTTAAATGTAGTAATAAAAAATACCATAACCAACTGATATGATAACAAATTCTGATATGAATGAAGATTATATTTACAATCCCTAAGGAGTTTGGAGAGTTAGTAATAGCTTGCTATTAAAGGTTTTCTAAAATTCATTTAATAAAAACAAGTAACTCTATATATTAATGAATACTTAATATGATTCTACCTAAAATAATGCCTCAATGGTTTTTGTTGATAATAATAATAATTTATTCAATTACTAAAATTTCTAGGTCACTTACATAACTGCATTCAATAACTAGGTTTCAGAAATGAGAGTTATATATTAATAAAATACCAGATTTAATATTTTGGTTTTTTCTTAATCAATTATATTTTTTGTAGGTGAGAACGTTTAGTTTTCTAATATATCATCAGCTCAAACTATTTCAAATACTAACTTAAGAAAATTCCTTTATTCAGATAACGGATACGCTATATTTTAAACATATTAAAATGAAATAGTAGATTATAATTTCAGTAAAAGCTAAAAACTCTACTCTTTTACTTTTGATTAAAATAGCATGATTTAAGATGTATTCGTTTACATTAATCCTCTTGACCTGAAAACATAATTTCTCTATTTTTCAACCAGTACAGGGATGATATATGCTTATGATATGGTCAATAAAAAATTTGCATCTTACTCACTCTTTAGTAATTAAGACGTTGTTATGAAATTTGTTTTGCTAAATTACCCTAACATATCTTTATTAATGAAATCTGGCAATATCGTTGAAGTAGATTGCACTAGTTTCACACTCTAGAGTACTCAAAACTTAAATAATATTGCAAAGAATTTTTAGTTACCTATTTCTGAAGTCAAAACATAAAATATTCCTATGTTATATTATGACAATAAAAGTAATTACTTTTATTTAAGTATAGCTGAAGAAAAATAGCTTGGAGTTTTTAGGATTAGTGATAACTAGCTAGTGGCTACTCTTGGTTTCCCTTAGTCATACAAAAAAAGCTTTAATATAACAAATAAATATATCATTTTGGGTTGTCCATATTAATTAAATTTTTACGACAGACAGTTTAACTCTATCGGAAGATTTAGAAGGTCTATCTAAAAATCTATTAATTAGATTATATAAATATTTGATGACTACTTTTTCATTGTACAGTCAGTAGCAATAGAAACCATCTTTATAAATTAATCTACCTCTACTATTTAACTAATTGATAGCATCTTGTTGCAAAATCCTTTTATATATTACTACTAATTAATTGATAACTAAAGCTCAATCAAAATAATCGGAATTTCTCAATTAGGAGTTTTCGAAGAGCGACTAAGTGTAGGAGTATTTTAAAAGCAGGCACAATCTTTAACAAGCTAAATACTTTCTTGTTCAGCCTAGCTTTCATATTAAAATATTGTATAAGTTCAGAATGATTTTTACAGTATTTACACACCACAAGATAAAATGAATAAGAATTTTTATTTATCTGTGATGATAAATAATGAAATTCAATAGTTGAATTTTTTGAATTAGTAGGGTATACAATTTATTTTGAGACCTTAAGACATGAACAATAACTCATTAAACATAAGACCCAGCTCATTTTCAAGTATTACTTCCAACTTGTATATGAGTTAATTTAATTTGAAATTTGTAGAATAAGGCTAATCTATAAATTTCTCTCCTAATTCACGAAACATAACATTACAAAATTTAACAATCTAAGATTAAAATATTATGCTTGGAACCTCCATAAACTTTTAAAATAATCAATTAATTTAAATAATAAACATGAATATAGAAAATGTAAATTTCTAATCTTCGTCAACAAATAGTGGAAACAATCAAACAAACAATTCTCTATTTTAGTTTAATGGAATTGATTATATATTAATAGAAGAAATGACCATTTAGAATTTGAATTAAGCAGAAGGTAATCTGCAGTTCATAAATGCATAAAATGTCAAATAATTTATAATTAGAAAGCTTGTTATAATGAATAGTACATTTGCAAATAATTTTATTCAACTTAATTGGCTAGTTAAGCTTAGAATAATGGATTTGCAAATTATTGATTGCCATAGAACTCAATAATCATAGAGGTTGTTGTAGGCTAGCAATACAATTTTACCTATTTATGTCATGCAGTTTAACGGAATTTAGAATATTCAAATTTTTAACATGACCCTTTAAAATAATAAAGAAATCTAATTTATTGAAACAAGTAATGCCTACTCATTAAATAACCTCACTTATATTCTGAATAATGATACTTTTTTCATACAAAATTCTAATTTCGCAAACAACTCTTTTCCAAATTAATTTAATTATGATAATTAAATTAATTTAGTTTATCTACAAACATCATTTATATAAATACAAAGAGTTGTTTATCAATTAAACTAAGGAAATATATTTATTAGTGATGCTTAATAAGTAAGTATTGACTCCTCTAGTTTTTAATAGAATAAAGGGGTATTGGGAGCCTCTGTTCAATTTTAAAATATTAAATAAATGGTAACAATTACAAACTCAATCTTTAATAATAATACAGTTGTAGCTAGTGGTGGAGCTCTCTACTTCGAAAATATAAACTCTCTTACAATCGATAAGAATAGTAGCTTCATTAATAACTTAGCATTAATTGGTGGAGCAATCAGAATTGTTATTAATGACTAATAATATGAAAAACTCATTTTTAATAATCAATATATTAATTTCATAAAATGTAGCTTTTCAGGAAATTCAGCAACTATATTTGGATAAGATATAGCAAGCTATCCTTCTTCCTTTTTAGTCAGCTAATCTAATAATAACTAACAAGACTAACAAAAAGTTTTATATTAGGGTAAATTTTAAGATACCATAAAGGATACAATAATAATTAAAAATCTTTAGAGTGGAGGTAATGTTTATCTAAATGTATAGATGTTAGATGAATAAGGTAGTATAATTAAGCTAGAATCTGATAAGATACAAAGTAAATCATATCCTTTATCAATTAGAAATGAGCTTTAATATTATTAAATATAAATTTATGGTAATCCTTCTGATAATAGATTAGAAATCAAGGGAGAAAGTTTGATAAGTACCAAATAGTTTAATTCAGAAATAATGGCATTTTAATTTAACAATATAGTTTTTTCTGCAAACCCTACTTCTGTCATTTAAAATTCAGCTTAGCTCTTGATGTAAATTAATAGCTGGCATATTAACTATGAAATTAACTTTTAATTCGAATTTAGAGAATGCATAAAAGGCGAAATACCTGTTATGACATCAAAGACTATAACTTTCTGTTTGGAATGCTCAGAAGGTACTTACTCATTAGATTTAATAAGTAACTTATCTCATTCGGATAATTAGTAAATAAGCTGTAAGAAATGCCCAACAGGTGCTTCTGATTGCTCGGGTAGTTAAATTATTTTAAAATAAGGATACTGGAGATTAAATGAAAATACAGATACAATAGTTTAATGTAATTAATTAAAGCCTGAAATTTGTGATTTTAACTCTACCTCGAGCTTATAAGGATGCATTGAAGGGCATATTGGTCCTTTATGTGAAACATGTGATAATTTTGGAGATCTTTGGAAAGGGAAAACTTATTCTCTGTCATTTTCTGATTATACGTGCAGTGAATGTAGTGATTAAAGTCTTTAGATTGTTTATATCGTCTTGCTATTCCTTTGTGTCTTTGCTTACATTTATTTTAGTATTTTCATTTTCTTAAATAATTATATTTATAATTCTACATGCTCATATATTCGATATATGAATATCCTTCCCTTTTCTAAGAGCAGCATTTAAGACGAATCAACTTTTGTGATTAAATAACTTATAAACTTTTTACAAATATCATAAGTTATTTATCAAATAAATTTAAATTTTATTCCTTAAGCTTTTTCTTTTCTTCCTGCTGTTGCTGGATAGCCTATGGGTAAAATTATTGTTAGTAGTTAATGTCTATACACTAGTATTAGAGGGTTATTTGGTTTGAATGAAGAAATAAAAATAAGATCACTAATCTATATATTAGTTCCCTTCTTCTTCCTGATAGTAACTGCGTTAGTATTATAGGTGCAAATAATTTTTAAACTATTTAAAATTAACAAATATCACTTATATGTGCTTTTAACTATTTTGTTCTTTTTTTTCTAGCCGAATTCAATACAATTTTTAACATCTACAATGACTTGCAGACAAGTTGGTGATTAAAAATATGTAAGAACAAGTCTTATTCTCAGCTGTGATGATGAGAGCTACTAATACTTTTAATACTATGCAGTATTGCCAACCTTAATATTTTGGGTATTGTGTCCTCTAGTGATTTTATATATTTTCTTAAAAGATACAAATAAATCTAAGAATATTGATTATTGCATAAATAAGTACAAATACGGATACTATTATCTAGAATATAAGAGAATGTATTATTATTGGGAATTTATAAGAATATACTATAGAATAGTATTAGTATTAGTATCAACTTTACTAGATTAGTTCAACTATATATCTCAGGTACTATGCATCATTATTGTTTTTTCGTACATATGTTCCCTACTTTATTATAAACCCTTTTAGGATCGTCATCTTAAGCGCATAGAATTGTTTTAAAATTCTATTTTGATTATAATTACATTTTTAAATTTGCTACTCTAAATATACAGCTATCTCGCTATTCAAGTAGTCATGTCCATTTTGCACTATGGGACTATTATCATAATGGTAGGTGTTATAATTAAAATGAAATTATTCAATAGCTAATTTCTAAACAGTAGAATTATTCAATGCTTGATTGGGTATTTATTACCAGCTAAAATAATAAAAAAGCTTGATAATTCCAAAATTTTGAGAGAAAGGGCTCTAAAATTGTGGAAAAAAATTTATTTGAGTAAAACATTAATTAGGTAATAGAGAATTGAAGAACAAGCAAAAAAAATTAATTTTAGCATAGTCAATAAATCATCATAGTTATAAAATTACTCTGAAGATGAAGGTAATTATTTAATTAACTATTAACTAATCATTTTTTAATTATTAAAATAATTTTTAATAAATAGTTTTAGAGGGTAAAGATTTCAACAAGAAATAAATGTTCACTAAAAGTTCTTTACGTAACTCAAACCAAGATTTGATTCAGATGTCTACTTAAAACGAATAAGAAAGTCCAAAAAATACTTATTTTTAATCTAAAAAATTAAGTGTTGATAATTTTAAGCTCTTAGGAATTTAAACTAGATCTCCAAGTAGGAAAGAAAGTTACAAATTTAAGTCGCAAGAAGAAAAATAATTAAGTGTTATTGTTTCAGCCAACTTCCCAATAATAGAGACATCTGACTTTGATGAATTATAAAAACCAAGATAAATATATAATAATAAAAAAGTTAATGAAAAATAATAAAAATTGAACTGAATTATTTATTGATTTATTAGAGATCAATCTTTTATGTTTGTTTTTTAAATTTTATTTAGCAAGTATTTTCTGAAAATCAACTATTTAGATATATTTATTAAATAAAAACATTTATTTTTTAATTTTATTATTGATATCAATGACTATCTAATATTGCTAATTGCAGATTTTTTTTTTTTTAATAGAGAGATAAATAGTGATAGGTTACACCTATAACTATTTATCTTTCTAATAGAAATTAATATAATATTAAATAAATTTATATAATAGTGTTTTATAAATATTTATGTATTTTGTATGTAGTTTATAATAATTTAAATAAATTTTAAAATTCTAAATATCTAAATATATCAACAATTATATAAAAATAATCTTTATTATCTTACATTATATATTTTTATATCAAATTATTTTCAAAATCAAATTTATTAAATAAATTAATTATGTAATTTATAAAATATTTTTTATATGTTAGTTTATTTTTTATTTTATTTATATTTTTTTATTTTTTTCAATTAATATAAATGAAATAAATTTAAAAAATTTTTTAATTAATTTATCGTTTTATAATTATTAAATTATTTAATTATATTTATTCATAAAGAGGCCAATCTTAGCCATATAGAGAATTATTTTGGAGATATTCTGAGGTTCAGCAAATAAAATTATTCACAAATCATGACTAAAGAAGAACTTTGGGAATTTATTATAGAAATTCTATTCACGATTTTTTTTAATTTTTTGAAAATAAAAAATTAAAATAATTAATATATTTTAACTACAATATATGTATTAATCAGAATATTTAAACAAGAATCATATTTCTTCTTTTTTTAAGTATTCTTTCTAATTATTAAATTTTATTAATATTTTCAAACCTGTTAAATAAAATACATAAATAAATAAATTAGAAGTTTTTCTAAAAATAATTTTTACTTAAAGAAATATAATTAAACTGCGTTAAGATATTTTTTAGTTTTTAAATTCAAGCAAAACTATTTGATTGAATCGTAGCTAATGTTGCTAGCTCTATTTTATAATAAAATCATAAGTTTTAAAAATAAAATAAGAATTTATTACAATACAGACATTTATAAAACTCTTAATTAACTAAGATTTTATAGATCCATGCTGATTTAATTCAAAAATAAATCTAAAACTCCATGCTCTTCACTAATAATTAATATTATTTTATTAAAAAAATAATAGTATCTTAATTTTTAAAATGTATACTTAAGCTCTAAATTTAAAAATTCTAAGCAAGCACAATTAGATATTAATTTTACTAGCTCTAAATTAGTTGTTAGCCTCAGATTACAAAATCTTAAAGTCATTTTTTTCCATAAAAAATATTTAATATTAAGAAATCAATCAAAAACAAAGTTGATTGAATTTGAATAAAATACTATTTTCATAGTCTTTGAAAAATATTTTATAAGAAATAAAGATAAAAATATACTTTGCTTAAAAATTAAGCTTTTTAAGTTGGTTAATTCTATATAGTTCTTTAAGCATAAATGAGACTTCTTCATCTTCTCCTAAATTTTCACAACTAAAATTGTATGAAATAAAAAATTCTTTTTTATCAATTAAAGTTACCATAATAAATTTAAGTTCAAAGAATTAAAAGAAGGGCATTCTTAGAGAACCTTAATTAAATTTATGAATATAGTGGAATCTATTTCTTTGTTTAGGCTATTACAAAAATATTTTAATAAATTATTTCAAATTTAAAAAATAAAATACTGAAAATCTAAATTTAGACTTTGTAAACTTTTACACTATTTAAGAGAGTTAAATTAATTTCTATAAGTTCTAATATCATTATACCTATTAAAATAATAAATAATGAAATATTTCGACAACTTTTATTTATATTTTACTTTAATATGACTTCTAAATGTTATAAATTTTGTAATAAGTGAATATTTTTCAATAAATTTTCAAATTATGCATCATCAATTTTAGAGTTCCTTTTTAAGTTTTATTTTGAATTATTTTAAAATAAAATACAAAATTTATTCTAATCATACTAATTGGATATCTTTAAGAAGTAAATATCTTTACTAAAACTCAGAATCTTAATTATATCTTAATAGCTATCAACTTCACTTTCGCTTTTTTCAATAATAAATTATTTTTATCATTTTATTAAGTCACAATTATTTTTTATTTACATAAATCTTAATTTAACTCTTTACAAACTATCCCCAAAGGTAATTATTTTAAGATCTTAGCTTTCTGTTTAATCTACCAAATCATGTACTCTTAATTATACCTAGCTAAATAAAAATGAATCCTAGGTTTATATCTCTAAAAAAGTTTACCTTAAACCTAAAGAGAGGTCTTAAAGGAGATTAAATTTGTTAGTGAACAGCAAAAGAGATCTTAAAGAAATTTAGCAAAAACTATTACTTCTAAATAAATAAAGATATATTTTGAAAATTATTTCATTTTTCAAGCTAATTAAAATACTTACTTAGCAGATAGAGAAAGAGACAATAAATCTTTTGAACCATTGAAAAAATTTTGTATAACTTAAAATAAATTATTATCTATATAGTTTTATCTGATAAAATCTTTGTTTTATTTATAAATTATTAAATTTTATTTTACTTCAAGGAGAGTTTCAAATATTTTAAGTTTTTAAATTGCTATTAATCATTGAAAATTTATTTTATCTAATCTATTTTTTCATCAACTTTTTAATCTTATCCAATTAGGTTTTAGCTTTTTTATATCCAGATAAGGCTATTATAAATAATTAAAATAAATTATTTTACTTCATGCTTAGTTACAATTTCTAAAGTTAATTGAGCTTTCCTAAGCTTTATAGAATGTTTAAAGCTCCCTTTGTTGATATTTTATTATGGCTTTTATTTATTAACAAATTATTAAATGAAATTAACATTTTTAAAAGGTACTCAAGATTTAAGCGTACTGACTAAAGATTTTAACATCTGATCAAATCATCAAAAATCTATTCAGAATCTTCTTCCTATAAATTATTGTCACTGAATAAAATAAAAGTATATTAATATGTTTAAATTTTAAAAAAATATCTACTAATAATCTATATTTAAGGATTCTAAATATTTCAAACTACTAATTTTAGCTATAATTTGTTTTAAACCTAAAAATGTGCTTCTGTTTCCTCTATTAGAGCATCAAAAAATCTTCAATAATAAACATAATATTGAATTAATAATACCTCAATGATAAATAAAGCTACTTAATACTAATAAATTTCTCAATATTGCAACATAGTTTAATAGCACCTTCATCATTTATCCTTGAATACCTAAAAAAAATTTGTGAATCTAATTAAAACGTATAAATATACGAAAGAGTCAATGATAGCTTGTGTAATTATTATTCATTTTGACTAACCAATTAAAGAATTCTATCTGTCTCATCATTTTAGATAAAAATCTCCCTATCCATGTAATTTTTAAATATAAGATTTTAAAGAAAAATTATTACACTAGCTGAATAGTAATATAATTTCTATTTTCAACTTTATTTTATTCATTTTCTAGCTGTTAAACTGATGTAAATATCATTTGAGTTAAGCTCTAAAAAAAATTTATTTAACACTAATAATTAATAAATAGGATTTTTATATTAAATATATAAAGGTTATAGAAGAAACTTATGCTATTGAAATTCTTTAGCCAAATGTTTTTTTTATTTTGAAAATATCATATAAGTTATCTTTATTTAAAATATTTGGATAAATTTGTTTTATAACTCTATAATATAATTATTGCTTTTTGTATTTATTATTATAATTTAAATGATTTATTTTCATATTTTTTATTTATTTAGATAAATTTTTATCTAATTTCAAACTTTAATTCTACTTTAATCAAATAACATCGATTAGAGGTAAAACATAATTATTATTTTTCTTTTAAACAATTTTTGTTTTATTAAAAAAGAAAGCGCGTCTTCAAAAAAAGTTCTTTGTTTTTTGATAAGCATAATCTATAATTTATAAATTAATAAAATAGTAATACAAAGTTAATAGATAGGTCCAACTATATCTCATAAATAAAAAATTGATAATAATTAATATTATAATATTTGGTCAAAATAGTCCTTTCAACAATTAAATAAATTATCAGATAAATAGTTTAGAATGTCAATAGAAATAAGTTTTGATTTAGATTTTAGCTAGGAGTAAATAGAAAATAAATTAGTCTAAAATGCTAGCTCTACTAAAGAGCTCAGCCTATAGTATTTTACAATCTATGATATTTCTAAAGTGCTATTCGAAAATAAAGATAAATTTCATAATTTAGAGATCTTAAAAATTAATTCATGCATATTTGAAGGATAAATTTTATAGTTTTTAAAGTTTCAGTCCTAGCTAATTCAAATTTAGTTGGAAGGTTGTTGGAAAATAAGTTCTTAAGCTTTACTTGAATACGTATAAGTAGCTAATTTTAGTAATTTACGTTCGTTAAATCTCTCGAACACTCTCATAAATGATAACTTTATCTAGATATTAAGCACAAAGGAAAATTAATTAGAAGAATTAAATATTAGTTTCTGCAATTTATTGAGTGATAAGGGCCTCATGGTACTACTTAGTAGCAAGCAGCTAAATAAAGTTAAAACGTTATATTTAAAATGCTTGAGACTAACTGATTTAACTATCTCTGCATTAATAGAATCACAAAATTTTGCATCCACTCTAACTAAATTGAGTATTTATAAATGCTTTGGTTGCTCTTCTGAAAGCATAGTTCATCTTTTTTAAAGTCCTGTGTCAGACAAACTCTAATATTTTGATGCTTCAAGCTCCTTATTCGATGATGACTGCATAAGAGCCATAGTGGATAAGTAAACATTTTTGATTATTTACTTTAAAAATATATTTATTACCTTATAAAAGGGATTTAAAAGACTTAAAAACTTTAAAGTTTTATGAGTGTAATAAGGTTAGTAGTGAAGGTGTTAAATATCTTTTTGAGAGCTAAATAATTTAAAGACTAGAAGTCTTAGACATTTCATGGATCTATTTTGAAAATAATGTCCTTGAAATTTTGTAAAATAAAGATTTAAAACTAAAGGAATTATGCTTCCCAATGGTTCCTTCAATATAAAACGAAACCCTATTAAAATTTATACAAGAATCAAAACTGTTAAATACAGTGGAAGTATTAGATTTAAGTTATAATTAGGTAGATGATCAAATCATTAACTATATTTTATAGCAAAAGAAAAATGGAAAAAATATTCCCTTAAGAGATTTGTAGGTCTATGGATGTGATAAAATCTTAAATAAAAAGCAATTATAAAAAGATTCTTCCGTTTTTGATTTGGTGATTTATGTATGAATTAATAAATATTTTACTGTTAAATAAGTAATTTTTAATACATGTAAATTTATTTTTATAAATCGATATTTCTGTTATCAAATACTATTATTTTTCAAAATTTTTTTTACTGAAAGCAAAAAGAATTTATTTTTTTATTTTATATTTAGCATATTTAATATTTTTTTGTTATTTATTTGCATTTATTTTAGATATAATTTTAGGATTTTACTTTTGTAAATTATTGATAAAATATTTATTTCACTAAAAATATTTATTTTTTACTTAGCTATTTTTTCTTCAAAATTAAATCAGAATCATTTTGATTTCTACAAGAATCAAAACTGTTAAATACAGTAGAAGTATTATATTTAAGTTTCAATCAAATAGATGATCAAATAATTAACATATTTTTTTTGAAAAAGAAAATTAGAAAAAATATCTTTAAGATTTGTAGGTCTGTGGAAGTGAAAAGTAAAAATATTAATACTTGTAAATTTATTTTATAAAATTGATATTTTTGATGTCAAAATTTTTTTATTCTCGAAAATGTATGAAAACATATAGAATTTATTTTTTTTAACTTTATATAGCTGATCCTGCATTTGAAATATCACGAACCATGATATCATGATTTGTGATATTTCAAATAATTTTTATATTACTAATGAATATTTTTTTTCAAAATCTTAATTATTTTCTTTATATTTGATTTCAAACTGTGAAAAAAAAATTGAAATAGTTACTTTAAAAAATAATATATATATTTGATAAGGAGGATTACATTTTATAAATTTTTAATTCATTTATTAGTTAATTAAATAATTAAAAACACTAATATGAAATATAAAATAAAAAACAATAAAAGTATTTAATTCATAAAAAATATATAAAAATCACCAAGCAAATACCTTATTTATTATTTCTCCAGAGAAATTTATATCAGAAATTCCCTTTTCATCAAATAGATTTTTTTAGTTAAAATTAATTGATATTTTTATTTAAAATTGACTGGCAATCAAAAGTCACTTTATATATACAAATCAACCCATTTTTTATTGTTTTTTAATGCATTTTTTATAATTTCAGTTTCCTGCTTACTCAATTAGTTGGAACTATTATAGAATCAACAAAATTACTTTTAAAATTTATTTACAACAAAGATAAGAAAAAAAAATATATATAAATAATAATAATTAAATAAAGTTAAATGTAAAATTATTTGAGAATAACCTAATTGAGTTATTAAATGAGAGTTTAATATTTAATCAATTTAAAAACTAGTTTGAAAATAAATTTAATTTTAAGTGTTGAGAAAGATTAAACACTAAATTTAGTGAAATTAAGGTTCTTCTCTCATTTAGTTTTTTGATATCAAAAATAAAATATCTAAAATAAAATAGTAATTCCTTATTTCTCATTCTAAATTAAAAACTCATAAACTCTAAAACAAATGTTGATTTTATTTTTCTCAATTGAAATTGAAAATAAATGTCAAATATTAAAAATTCTAGCCTTTAATTTAGTAATATAGACAATATTATTAATCCATTGGAATCTTATGATCAATAAATTACAGAATGTCTTACATATTTAGCTATTTATAAAACAAAACAAATAACAAAAAGAAAAAATAATCAATTAAAATTAAATGAATTATTTATTTCTTTTAGAATAACTATTTTGAGTTTATATATAAGAGTTTTAATATTTAATAAAAATTAGATTTTACATAGTAATTAAGTTAGGAGATTATAATTTCTTTGAAAGCTGATTAAAATTTAAAAACTAGTTTGCAAATAAATTTAATTTTAAGAGTTGTAAAAAATTTAATTATATTTTTATACAATTTTATTTGCTTGAATTATACGATTTTGTAGAAAAATGCTATGAATTGAAGTATTAAACATGATAATTTAAAAAATAAATTTTTATAGATTAATATTATTTAAAAAAATAATTTTTACAGCTTAAAATTATTTATAACATTAAAATTTAAAAATGATAGCAAAACAAGTAAATCATTAATAAAAGCAATAATAAAATTTAGATAAAAGTAAAAGATTTAAAATGATATATGAGGAATTTAATTCGTAAATCATTATATTACTTAACCTAAAACTCTTAATATTGTTTCTGAATTGAATATATTTATTAGATAACATAAATATTTTCTCTCCAATAAAAAAAAACCAGTTCAAATTTTTACTTTTACTATCAATAAATAATTGCAAAAAGAGACTTAATATCAAGGGTTTTACAAGATAATACTATTACAATTTACTGAAATAAATTTAAAATAATATTTAGTCGTTCTCTAGTAAGGTTAAAATATTTAATATATAATTATAATTCTTTATATTTGATCCTAAATATACCTATTTTGTTCAAAGCTTAAATTATTTTGTATCTTAAAATTAATTAAATTTATCACTTAAAAGTGATAACAAAAAATTATACTGATTTTTTGAAATTTATTTAAAATTTAATAATTATGCTGATCAAATTAAGCAGTTCAATATGAATAACTCAGTATGATCGTTTGATCTGAGTTTCTTAGATTAATGCTTGAATATAACCATGTAGATTAATCTAGAAAAGCTTTCATTAATTTTGTTTTTTATAGAACCAAATATCACATATGTTGTTATAGTTAATAAAAAAATTGTAATTAATTGATTAATCTAAATATCAATAAAAATTTATTTGGCACTAGACAAAAATAAGAATACTTAAATATTTAGCTATCTATCTATCAACATTTAATTTTTAATTAACAAGCTTTTTTGAGGAGTATAATTTAATTGCAATAAATATAGCTAGCTAGAATAAATTTCATAAAATCAATGTAAGCACTAAAATTATTAATATTTATTTTAGCTCATTTTCTAAAAAGACAAAATTGCAAAGTATATTTACCAAATTTACTTCGAAATAATTGTAAACACGCTTCATATTTGTTGACAGTAGTAACCTCTTGCAATTTTTGAGCTATAAAATTAATGCCTTTGAAGGGAGAAATTCAAGTGAATAAAGAGATATATAATATTTTGTGTATAAATTAAAAAAAATTAAAAAATATAAATTAATTTAGGTGGAGCAGGAGTAGAAGGAACGAAGGAAGGAAGGAAACATTTATTTCAACATTATTTTCTAAGTGTAAATTAATTTGCGAATAATATCATAATTAATTTAAATTGTGATAACCAAAATTGCTTATTAATTTTCATTAAGCTAGGAAAGAGATAAGCTAATTAATTAATTTAAAAGAAAGAATATAAAAGAGAAGGTAAATATATAAAGTACTCTCAGAATTTTAATATCTATCCAAAAGATAATAATTATTGTGAAAATTAATCAAAAAAACAAAAATCAAAAGTATTTATTTATTTAGGCTATAAAAGAATTAAAGTTGAAAAAGATATTAAAAAGCAAATGATCTAAAAGCCATTTTAAATATAATTCATTGGCCACGAAGTAAAACAAGGGGTTGTGTATTACAAAATATAAATATACGACACAAAGGATGGCTCTCAGTGGCCTATGTCTAAGAGATATTCTGCTATGAGGGAGATTCATAAATTATTAAAAGAAGAATTTCCTGAAAAGATACCAGAGTTTCCACCCAAAAAATGGTTTGGCAACATGGATGAAAAGTTTATTAATTAAAGAGAAAAATCTTTGGCAAACTACTTTAGCAACTGCCTGAAATAAATTAGCATCGATTAGTCAAAAGTACTTAGAGACTTCATCTTAAAAAATAAAACATCTGGTCCAATCATGGTAGATCCTCCTAATCCTAAGGAAGATTAAATAAGACCTGTTGTTGTATAGCCACCAAAGCCATCTGTTGATCCTGTTCAAGAGTAAAAGTAAAAATTAGAAAAAATAGTGCAATAAGTACCTTTTATTGATTTTGTACCTTTTTTCAACCCTGAGTAGAACAACTAAGGTCGCCATCAATATAATTAATTAACTTTCTAGAGCAAATCTAAACTTTTATCAAGCATCTAGCTTCCCTTATCAACAACTGATTTTTCTGAATAAGCTAAATAAGCTCAACCAGTCAATGTCTAATTTGGTAAAAAGATAGACTCCTTGGCAGAAAAATTAAATAAAACACTTAATAGCCATTTAACTAACATTCGTTGTGATTTTGTTGGCAAGCCTAGCTCATCTTGATTTAATATAATTAGGCATTCCTCTAAATTTATATATAAAAAATTACTAATAAATGCAATAAGCAAACAATCAAAAACAAAAAATCAAAACATAATTATAAATTATTTCTTATTTTCCTGAGAGTATTCATATTGTTTAATTTCGTGCATATATTTTTCATCTATTAAAAGTTTTATAATAGCTATATTTATCTTTTGTTTTCTTTTCTATTCCAAATATTAAAATAAAAATTTAGCACACAACTAAGTAAATAAATAAACAAGAAAACATTCTTCTATATCTCAAAACAACACATCAATTTTCAGTTGATTATTGGTTTCAAAATCTATTTGTACCCCAACAATCAAATCAAAATTTGCTTTTTAAATGAATTCCCTAAAAGAATAAATAGCTTAACTTTGCTTTTACTTTTAAAATTAAATAAAATAACAAAGTATGTATGTATGTCTTCAAAAAATCATTAGAAGCTTATAAGAGAAATTAATTTTAGAAGAGTCTCGTAAATATTTATAAAAGAGAGCTCTAGATAGTATAAAATCATTTGAAAAAGTTGATTTACTTGTATATATACAACTTAAATAAGCATTATAAAAGTAAAGATAAAAAAACTCTAGTAAAAAGGTGCATTTAATTTAAATTTTTATTTAAATCCATTAATAAAATCTTAGAATAAATGAATTTCAAATTAATAATTTTCTATTTATTTAGCTCCAATTAATCCTTAAATTTATAATAAACACAAAGTTAAAATGTATTTTATTTTAGAATATCTATTTTATAATTATGTTTTAGAATTTGTTAATATGAGATAGATAAGCTGTGAGGTATTATTGATGTAGCTTAACTTCTATCTTTATTATTTATTTGTAAAAGAATATTAGAATATTTTTCAAAGTCAACAATAAATAACTTTTAATTTTTTTTCATATTTTCCAAAATAATTCATATTTCTTAACAAATTTCATTATCTTTTTAAATGGTGATGATAAGACTAAGCTTTTTTTTGCAATTCATAAAAATAAAATTTATTAAATTATATAATAGAGTAAATAAATATATGTCACATTTATTAACTCTTCATTAACAATTTAATTTAATTCATTTTTATTACTTTCTAAAGACTTAAAAATTATTTTTAAAAGTATTTTTATAAAAATTTTGATAATTTATTAAGATTATTATCATATTTCCAACTACTCTATAATAAAGATAATTCTACCAACATTCTCAAATGAATTCATCTTAAATGAAATCTAATTTTATGTTTATATTTTTATAGAGAACTTAAATTTATATATCTATTATTAATTTAAAAGGGCTTCTTGTGATATTATGATTAAGTTTTTAATAATGATTTATATTATTTTTATCTAAATATTATCTTATTTAAAAAATTAATACAATTTTAATATGAAAATACATTTTTTTTCTATTACTCCACCAAATAAATATTTCAAATATAATTTGGATTTACCAATTAAATACTTTGGCTAAAGATTCTAAAATTATAAAAATTTAAATAAAAAATGTAATGCTGTTTTATCTTATATATATTTAAATAGTGTATCACATAAAATAAATAAAAAAGGTTATTAATATATTATCAATTTTGTTATGAAATTTTGAGTTTATTTATTTATTTAGTTTTAATAAAATTTTTATTTAAAGCTAGTGCAAATAAGATATGTAAAACATGAATTCAATACCCTAATTATTTATTTTCAAATTATAATAATCCACTTAATGGATGTCTTCCGAAGGGGAACTCGGCAATTATATTTGCCAAATAAGGACAAGCATAGTCTTTTGTTAAAGGAGCTTACTTTCCTCCCATCTGCATTTTAAAAAATTAATTAACTCTTTGATAAATTATTAATAATTATTTACATCAGTTTGAACCCAACCAGGATGGACAGCGAAGAAAGATTAATTTGGCTTAATGTACTTAGTAGCTACATATCTAGTGTAAGCATTCAATAATGCTTTAGAGGTGAAATAAACATAATTGCTAAAAATTAAGTCTTTGTCTGGAGTTCCAGCATTGTTAATGTAATTGTGAGCTAATTCAAATAGCTTATCTTTAGTGAGATTTTCATTTACTAAAAGTTACTTAGCAGCTTCTGGTTAGTGATCTAATTTACCTAACTAACTACTTATGACAACAATCTTTCCATCTTCAGTCACCAAAGGATATAGTTCTTCTGTGAATTCAACAGTGTCTACATTAAAATAGTTTTGATTTTAAACTTATTAAAACTTAATCAATATTACTAATGAAGTTAATGTTGAGGGTAAATTCTGCAGTTTCCTTGTTGGGTCTAGCACCTGTATCTTTATCTTTGTCATATACACCTGCATTATTAAATAAAACATCTATCTTGTGATACTTTTGAGAGATCCATTGTTTGAATTATGCTCTGCTTTCTTATGAGCTGATATCTAAATCCTTGACTTCGAATTATGCATTAGGATTGATACTTTTAAGGGCTTGTGTCAATTCATCATGATTCTTAGATCTTTCAGTGAAAATATATTAGAAATTATTTGCATACTTTGAGACTAGAATTTCTGCAGTTGTTCTTCCTAAACCTCTGTTAGCACCAGTCAATATAGCAATTCTTTTAGCCATTTACTTTGATATTATTTAATGTATTCAGATATCTTTTTTTAGTAATTTAATTATTTATTTTATTTTCAATAACTAGTAAAAGTAGAAGAATTTAAAATAAGTTTTTAGAAATTTTAAGGAAAAACAAAAGAATACAGATTATTTTTTTTAATTATGTATTTTAAAAAATTTAGAAAATAAAGAACAAAAAAAGAAATTTATGTTACTTTCACCCTGTTTAAATTCTTGATTGAATTCTCTTCTAGAAGCTTTTAAGTGAGAAATTTAATGTTTATTTATGTGATTACAAAATTCAATCATGAATAAATAATTATAATAATATATAATTAATTTAATTTTTTTTATTTTTCTATTTGTTCTATTTAATTTGATATTTGATTAGCTATAAATACATAAAAAAAACAAATTTCTTTTAAATAATTTTATAAATAAATTATTTTCAACCAAATTGCTAGTTCTATTTTATTAATTAAAGTTAAATGTAAATTTATTTTTTAAATTTTGAACTACTTCACCAAAAAAATAAAAATTTTATTCAATAGTACAAAATAAATTTGAAACTATTTTACATGGGATTCTAATATTAGCATTATTAAAATTATTTTGATTAAAGATAATAGATAGGTATATTTTTTATTTTTCAATTTTATTATTTTATGTAGATTGAATTATTTATACTTATTTTGAGTGATATATTTAATAATAATTTAAATGATATTTTTAAAACAATTTAAAATCTTATTAATTACATTTAATTTCAAACTAGAATATATAAAATTCATTTAATAAAAAATTAAATTAATAATAAATATTGTAAAGGTTCATATATTAAGGCCACCTCGATTTCTGTTTAGACACCTCACTTACAAGCCTTAATTTCAAATTTTTAAAAACCAGCCTTAATATATTGTGTTCTTAATATATGAACCTTTACCGTATTTATTTTTTAAGTATTTTTTTTTATTTTACTTTTAAAATGATTTTACAATTATTTAAATCACAATATTAAAATATTAAGTATTAGTTAAATATTTTTAATTTAGGCATATAAATTATTTTGTGTAAGTTTTTAATTAATTAAAATAGACAAGTAAGAGTATATAATCTTTTTTGAATTAAACATAAAATGTCTATATTAATATATCTTTGATTTAAATTACCTTCGTTTTGTATAAAATACTAGTGACTGAGATAATTTATATTAGTCATAAATAATTATGTAAATTAAATATAAATTCTCTTATTATTAAAAATATTTTAAAATATCATTTTGGTATATTTTTGTTAAAATAGTTTAAAAGTTAATTTATTTATAATTAATTAGTAAAATTAATTTAGGATTATTTGTTTCCTAATTTTTATTATTATTTATTAAAATTTATTTTTCTAAACTTATTAAAATAGCAAATTTATACTTTAAAATAATACTTGTATTGTTTTCTAAATTATGCAAATTTATAATTTCAAATTTGGAAAAAATTTTGAAGTTAATAAAATATTATTGAAAAATTAAATTTAAAATATCAAAATATTATTTTTAAATTTAAATTAAAAATATTAAAATAATTCTTCTTTTTCCATAAACAGTAAATTTTAACTAAATCTGCCAACATATACATTAATTATGAAGAAAGAGGGCAATTAATTAAAAAATTCATATTTCAAATAAAATATGATGAATGAATTAAAGAAAATACAAATTAATGATTGGTGATTTATTGATTCTATTCTCTTTCTTTCAAAATAAATCATTTAAATAGAAAAAAATTAAGATAAATAATAAAAACTGATTAAAATTTCTCAGAATTTATCAAAATTTATATTGATTTTTTGATGATTTACATATAACTAATCATTTATATATGAATAATTTATAAGGTATAGTAATAATAAATAAATAATCTTATTTTAAATCAAAAGCTATTCAAATATAAAGAGAACACAAATTCAAAAAAGTAAAATGGTGCTAAATTTACTAACAATCTCCTCATCACCTTAAGGAATTTAAAATCCTAACCCTATAGTCTATGCTCACTGTACTCTCAAAGGCTTGCAAGCTGGTATATTTTTAGGTTCAGTAACAGGAGCTATTGTAAATCTATACTAAATGTATTATACTAAAGCTGAAAAGAATTTTAATTGGCTTAGAGTTGGGAAATATGCTAGAAATAGCATCATCCCATTTATATTTATTATTAATAAGATGTGTTATGATAGGCTTTCAACATCTGATCTCTAAAAAAATCAGTCAAGAGCATACAGAATACATAAAAATTAAGGATAAAACTTAGTAGATGATCTATCTTTAGGAGGATTTTTTGGGGGTGCTGCTTTTGGTGCCATTTAAGGATAAAAATCTTTGAGTTATTTACTTATTACAGCTTCATTAGGAGCACTATCAGGATTAATGTTAGATTTTGGAATAGTATTTGGCAAAACTATTTCAAACAGGCATTGATTTGAAAAAATATTTATAATATTTAGTTAGTATTAAAAATATGTTAAATATTGAATTGTATTTTTATTCAGATGCATTTTTTAAGTTTTTAATATAGATTATTTTTTATATTTGCTTAAAATCTATAAAAGTATAAAATATTCTATATTAATTATATTTTCTTTATGATTTGTATTTCTTATTAATTACTTCAAATACAATTTAATATGAAAATTACCTAAAAATATATTATTAATTATTTCTTATAGAAGTATTTTTTTACATGTTTTTTAGAAAAAAATAACATTTTCTTTAAGCACACATTTATATTTTATAAAATTAATAAAATAATTTAATTTTTTAGAGTTTTTAACTAAAAATTCAATATAATAACATCAATTTTAAAGATAATTGAGGTGTCTTAAAGTAAATATTTGTACCTTCTAACAATTCTAGAGGCTTCTATTCTTTTAAAATTTATGTACTTTCATGATTCTAAAAGAATAAAATTATTATAAAGATTGTTAAATTTGTTGGTTTTACTTATTTTTTTTTCATAAAATATTTTTTTATAATTAAATAATCAAAATGTTATTTTATAAGCATTTCTATTACTCAAATAGTGAGCCAGCCAAATAAATTGAAATTTCTGTTTTTAATTATTTATATATTAAGTTCTGTTTTGATCAAATTTTACTTTCCGTTTTAAGGATTTACAATCATTTCAATATTAATTTATTGAAGATTAATTTGATTTGTTGATAAAAAAGAATAATAATAAATTTAATATTTTTTTCTAACAACATAATTTTTCATAAAAAAGTCAAGCAAAGCAAGAAACTAGATAATAGCAAAAAATGGTTTTAAATTTAATAAGCATTCCATCAAAGCCAGAAGAAATAGAAAATCCTAATCCTATAATATATGCTCATTATACTTTAAAAGGTTTATAAACTGGTATCTTTGTAGGTTCAGGCTTATAAATTATTAATAATTTGTACGACATGTATCTTATGAAAACTGAAAACAAGTTTAATTGGATGAAAGTTGGTTCAAATGCAGGTTTATTTATACTTCCAGGTTTAATAATTTTAAATAAAAGTTGTTATGATTATCTTTCTACTTCTATTTAAAAAAACCAGCTTACAGCTTATGAAATTTTGAAAGACTAAGGATAACACTTAGTGGATGATATTACATTTGGAGGTTTATTTGGTGGTGCTATTATTGGTGCTCTTTAAGGACAAAGGTATATTGGATCAATATTATCTTCAGCTTCATTAGGGGGATTAGCAGGCCTTTTACTAGGTTGTGGAATTTTTTTTTATAAACAAGATGCCAATCGTCATTGAAAAGTATTGATATATAAAAGCAATAAAATAAAGAGTTCTTTATGAAAAATAATAGAATAAATACAAAAATTGGTAGGACTAACATTGTGCAGAATTAAGAAAAGGCCAATATTTTAAAAAAGTTAAAAGATAAACCATTCATTTTGTATTTAATTATAAAAATAAAAATGCTTAATTTTTCAATTTCAAGCATATCTTGTAAAATTTTATTTATAAAAAATTATATTATTTTTAAGAGTAAATAATTTATTATAATGTATTTACTTTTTCAGTCTAAATTGAGTATTTAATTTTTAAATTAATTTGTAATACTTTTTCTACATAGATAGTTTAATATAGAAGTTGATTTTATAAAATCACAATGATCATTTTTAGATTTAATCAGTTTTTAAATCATAAAATTTTTAAATATTTTTAAATAAAAATCATCTGAAAATAGTTTTGCTAGCATAGGAAATATAAAAAATTATAAATCATATTTAAAAACAATCAAGTTTTCTAAAAAATGTATAATTTTAAATTGAAAAATCATGATTCTTTTGATATAAACTTTTCTTGGATTTATATAAAGTATATCCAAAAGCCTAATTAAAATCTAGTGGTTTGGGTATTAATGAGTTTAAAAATAAATAATTAATATTTTCTAAAAAATTTATGGATCACTATGGTTTCCAATATTTCTGAATGCACTATTGTATTTTTGTAACTCTAAAAAATGTAAAATTATTATAAAGCTTGTTAAATTTGTTGATTTTAATTATTTTTTTTTCATAAATTATTTTTGTTATATCAATAAACACCATATTTTAATTGAAAAATTTAATACTTTATTAAAAAAATATTTTATTTAGCTTATTAAATTATAAAATCCATACTGGTATAATCATTTTTTAAAATGTTATTTTATGGCATTTCAATTACTCTAAAAAAGAGCCAAATATTGTAAATCGAAAATTCTGGTATATTATTATTTATAACTTCAGTTCGGTATTGATCAAATTTTACATTTGTTTTTAATGATTTACAAGTGCATTAATATTAATGTATTGATAATTAATTTGATTTGGCTTATAAAAAAGAGTAATAATAAATTTAATATTTTTTTCAAAGAACATTATTTTTCATAATAAGTTTAAATAAAGCAAGAGAAGAGTTATTTATAAAAGCAAAAAATGGTTTTGAATTTATTAAGCATTCCCTCTAAACCTATAGAACTTGAAAATCCTAATCCTATAGTATATGCTCATTACACTTTTAAAGGTTTACAAGCCGGTATCTTTTTAGGTTCTCTCGCAGGAACTTTTGTTAATTTGTACAATATGTATTATTCAAAAACTGAAAAGAAATTTAATTGGATCAGAGTTGGTTCATATGCAAGAAACAGCATACTTCCATTTATAATTATTATTGATAAAATGTGTTACGATAGACTTTCTTCTTCTGTTATTTAAAAAAATCAGTCTAGAGCTTACACAATTTTGAAAAATTAAGGATAAAACTTAGTGGATGATATTTCACTTGGAGGTTTATTGGGTGGTGCTATTATTGGTGCTCTTTAAGGATAGAAATCTATTGGATCACTATTTATTTCAGCTTCATTAGGTGGATTAGCAGGTCTTTTACTAGATTTTGCAATAGTTGCTGGTAAAGAAGTTGCCAACAGACACTGAAAAGTATAGACAGACATTTAAAAATCAATAAAATCAAAAGTACTATATAAAATAAATAATAAAAAATAAACGAATAAAAAGCAAATATTGTTAAAAAGTTAAAACTATGAAGTATTCATTCTGTATTTATTTATAAAAAACAAAACCCGTAATTTTAGAATTTCAAGCATCTAAGAATAAAGTATAAAATATTTTAAAATGAATATAATTAAGTTATATAAATAATTATATATGAAATTAATAAATAATTTAGTCCAATATAATAAAATCTAAAAAGTTTATACATTAGCAAAGTTTCATTAAAATATTTTGTTTACTGATTTTAAAATTAGTCATTTTCTTAATTTATATTAAGTATATTTTCATTTCTCATATATTAAACATCCATTTAAATAAAATACAAAATATTTTTTTGATTTAATAAAAATCAGTTTTTCAAAATTTCAAAACTTAGCCTTAATATTTGAGAAATTACAGTATGTTTATAAATTTATTTACTTTATTAACATTTAAATAAAAAAAACATTTCTTTCTTTAATTATTTAATAATTTTTAAACTATTTATCTAGCATTAAAAAAAAAACTGTAATATCTAATTTATATCTTCATCAATTATTAATATCAGATATTTAGTAATAATATTTTTATATGAATTTATTTTAATGTAAAAGTCTAAATTAAGTATTTAATTATCAAACTAATTAGTAGTACTTCATTCTACATAGTTCAATAAATATTAATAATAAAATATAGAAAATGATTTTATAAATTATTATTATTATTATTATTATTTTAAGTTTTATTCAGTTCCACAAAATAAAATTATTAAAAAAATTCCTGTTTAATTATTTTTTTGTAAAGGAAATATAAAAAAAATAATAAATAAAAAATTAATTACATTTTCTTAGAGATGAAGAGCTTTAAATTGAAAAATATCATTATTTTTTCTATACTACAGGATCATAAAAATTTAAAAAGAAAGTGAAAATAATAATTTTTTATTTTGGAAGGAAGATGAATTTTTTAATAGGAAAAAGAATACTTTTTTTGATTATATTATGCCACATTATAAATTCAAAAAATGTAAAAAATTTCTTAAATACAAATTTTAATTATCATTTAATGAAAATTTTTTTATGTGTCAAAGGATTTTAAAAATAGTTTACAAAATTTATTATTAATTTATCTCTTTATTTTTATGCAAATTATTAAGGGATTAAATTTATTTATTATTGTTTGATGTACAATTAAAAATTCAGTTTAAACTTTAATGCAGATCATTCATTACTTTACTACAAATATCATATTTTATGATCAGAAAAATTTTAATTCAATATTTTTTAATTCATTTCAAAGAATTTCCTTTGTAGGTTTTTTAAAATAATAATTTAATCAATTATCAAATTTAAAAGTGAATAAGGAAATGTTTTGTTATATTGTTATATTTATTATACATCATTAATTTTTTTAAATAATATTTGTGCATTTTTGTTAAATTTATATTAAAGTGAGATGTCTACTTCATTTAATCAAAATACAATTAATTGTTGTTAAAATCCACAAATTAAAAAAACTAGAAATAAAAATTCAGATTTACAGTGTTTGAAAGGCTGAATATGATCTTTATTTTATTTGTGTGGATTACACTAATGAGATAGATTTGTAAATATACTTAATATTAATTAAAATTGGATTAGCTTTATTCCAATCCACCGAAGCGATTCATATTAAAATGTAATCTTAATAATGCAAATATTAATTTAGATTCATTAATCTTATCATTTTTCATTAGAAAAGTGGGGAGACTAGGATGTAATTAAATAGTTAGTGCAAAAGTCTTAAATTTTTATAAAAATTAAATATAAAAAATAAACAAAATTAGTAAATAAAGATAAATGAACAAAGTTTTCATCTGTGCCTTTTTATTGTTGGCTTTGACTTCTGCTAACCCTGTCAGAAGCTACTTCGAAAGTTTCTTCTCTACTTCTACTGGTGGTTGCTCTTGCTCAGGAATCGAAGCTATGGTTGCTGAAAGTGAAGGAAAGAGAAGCTGCGTCTATTTGGACACTAAGGGAATCCCCACTATTGGTATTGGTTTCAATCTCTAAAGAAGTGATGCTAGATCTCTTATCTCCAACTTGGGTCTCAACTACGATTAAGTTGTTGCTGGTAAATAATGTCTTACTGATGCTCAAATCTCTTCTCTTTTCAACAACGACTTAGTTTGGGCTAAGGCTGGTGCTGCTAACTGCGTTGGATCTTTCAACTCCCAACCCACTTGCGTCCAAAACGTCTTGATTGATATGACCTTCAACATGGGTAAGAGCTCTCTTTGCTCATGGCCTAACTTCGTTAAGCAACTTGCTGCTAAAGATTACGCTGGTGCTGCTTCTAACATGTAAGGATCTGCCTGGTGTGGTCAAGTTAAAAACAGATGCACTAGAGATGTTAACATCGTTAAGAACTGTTGATTTTAAATCAATTTCACTTTATAACTAAAACAACTATTGTAATAAATAAAATATATATATTCAATATGTATTAAATTCTGATAAAAATCTATTGTTTATCATTTTAATAAATTTTTCAAAACATTTTATTTGTTTTCAATCATCTAAATAAATAAATAAATAAATAAATAAATGGCAAATCATTGAATTAATATAATCAATAAAAAAAATAATAAATTTCACTTGAGTTGAAAAATTTAATAAATTTAATAAAAACTGTGGAGTAAAAAATATGTTTTTGTAAAAAAAAGGATTTATATGATTAGGACTAATTCTTCTAATGACGAAATGTGTTATTTTGTTAATTTTGACTTTTGTAAAAATCAAAATCGGAAAAATTGATATCATTTAATCATTAAATAGATCTAAAAATAAATTAAGTTTTTCTGTTCTATTATTTTAATTCTTATAAATAGAATGATAAATAAAAAAGTATTTAATTAAATTTCTTCTATTTTTTATTCACAAATAATTGCGAAATCATTAAACAAATTCTTTAGTTTTGTTTTGTATTTTTATTAATAAAAAGCAGTAAGTAACACAAATAAATTTTTTATTTTACTAAATCAAATTTTTTGATGAATTTCTGATAGAAAGTAAATTTTTCTTTTTATTTTTATTTGACTTATCATAAGAAATTTTATCTTTTTTAATTTCATATCTAAATTTCCTTTATTTTTTTAGTTTAGCAAACAAAACCAAAAAATAAAAATTCAATATATTTTTTTTTAAGGTCTAAAATATTTCACTTGTCTAAGATGGTACAATTTTAGTAAAAAAAATTAAAATAAAGATAATTAAATTTATTTAAGTTAATTACTAGGGAGTGAATTATATTCAAAAGTTTTTGATATAAAAAATTCATTTTGATTACTTATGAAATATAAAATTATGTATTTGTTAAGCTGACAGAATCTATTAATTTATATATATTTTTATTAAATTTGTTATAGACTTTGTTTTCAATTAGGTGAATTTGGTGGATCAATTACATAATCTTTTTTAACTTGATATTATGCAAAATTGCTTTGGTTAATGATAGTCCTTGATAATTATTTTGAAGGGATGTATGGAAAAGGTCTTAGTTGTTATGCGCTAAAATGATCTTATATTGTAGATTCAGAAATATTATTTAAATATAAGTTGCCTCTACATAAGCTGTTTGAGCTAACTTTTTCCTATGATAGAAATATTATTTTTAATAAACTAAATATAAATTATTTTATTTACATTCATGCAAAAAATACTGGTATTGTCTGATTTGCAAGCAATCTGATTTCCTATTCTTTCAATTTCAATAATCACTTTGTTTTCTTAGTTTATTTTTATGATTCCTTTTACTGCAAATGAGGCTTTTCCTGTCCATTTGCTAATCAGATTCTTTTATTTTAAGATAATCAATAAAGATTTAACCCAGCTTATAAACTTATATTTGCTCCTCAAATTATTTGTAAAAATTAGTTTGCTTACTAATTTATACTTTACTATATTGATAGAAAGCTATCTTAAATAGATTAGTAGCTCATCAAACTATGCCAAAATCAAAATTTTTAGCGTCCAAATTAGAAAAACAAAGTTAAGGAAGCAAATACTAACAATAGATGTAATCCAAACCCACTTTACATAGAAATTTTTATAGGCAACAAAACCCAAAAAAAAAGATAAAAATAGTATGAAAATTGATGTCTTGTCAATTTTATTGTAAAAGTTTATTTTGAAAGGTTAGATATTCATACACAGTAACTAATATAAACTTAATATGAGAGAAATTAGTAAAGCCTTTTTAATTAATTAATTAATAAAAATAAATGAATAATTAATATGAATAAAAAAGAAAAATTACTTTATTTGGGATATCAAATTTGTATTAAATTAATATAAAATATATCATAAGCTTCATATTCATTTTAATGAACTCCCAATACCAAGTTTGCTTCTTATACTCTGAAAGCATATAGGAATAGTTTTTCCTTTTATAGATATATTTTTATGATTAGAAAACTTTGATAAATACCCAAGATGGTATGACTATAGAGACTAACAATAAAACAGGGATGACTAAAATTCTGCTGAAAAATGTGTATTCTTCTGTGTAGCATCTGTAAACTACATTTGCTTGAATATATTCAACACCATCTTTTTCATTTTGTATTTTAAGAAGTGAATTAATTTTTATTGATTAATTAAAAAATTTTACCTATATTTCTACACTTAAGCAGTCTAATTGCTTGCTAAAAGATATCTGTCTAAAAGAAAGAAAAACAAAATAAAAGGACTGTTGTGTTATATAATTTTTTTTATATTTAGTTATTTCTGTATTAAAAACAGCCAATCACTAAAAAAAATAATATAAGAATTAATGGTAATGCAATAGAAACTATTAACTGTAGGTAAATCATTCTGATTTCTGTCTTACTTTGTAAATCTTTTAATATGCACTAAATGGAATTAAAAATATTTTCAGTAGGGTTGGAAGAACTCTGTATCGATTAATTTAGTACTTCTGGTAAGTTTATTTGGAATTGAGTTATTGCTGCCAGTATTTGCAAGTGGTTAATGATAAATTTTAAAATAACCCCAGTATCATGATTATATTATTCTTCTTGTAAAGGTTAAGATTTTAAAGTGTTAAAAGAAGACTTTTTCAAATGATTTAAACTCAATAATTTTTATGAGCTAAACTTTATGCTATTTATGTTTTAATTTTATTTGTTAGATTTGTTAGTAGTATTTCTATTTCCAAATAACTTTTTTTTCCATAAATCTTCTAATTTCTCTAGAATTCCACTTACAATTAATTTTTGTGTAATAACCTAACATAAAAAATTTGTTATTTTAATTTAATAAAAAATATATTAAAATTAAATTGTTAAAAAAAGCTTTTGTTAACAAAGATAATTTCAAACCACTTTAAATTAAAAGTGAGGTTGTTTTTTTGTATTTTAATTTAGGAATTTTGTTTTTATAATTAAATTTTATTAAATTAAATAAAAATATTTTGAAAGACTTACAAAAATAATAAGGAGAACAAGAATTTTTATTATGTTTATTATAGTTGATTCACATTAAAAGCATTGCAATTTTCCATATTAAACATAGCCTTTATTGGAATCGCATTCTTCGCATAATGGGCCAATGTGCCCAACTTCACAGGTTTTATTATATTTTCCTCCTAGACAATTTAGTGGATTATTAATGCAAAATAAAATTGAGTCTGATTAATCTGAACTTCTCCAATAACCTGGCTTAATGGTAATTTAATTACCTCCTTCACATATTGCATAAGGTGAGCACTTTTTACATTCTCCATGATCGTCAATGTTTGGCTGTATTAGAGAGTATCTATAATTTAAATTTTATAATATATTAATTGAGTTTTAAAAAAATTTACTCTCCTTGTGCACATTAATAACATTCATAAATATTTTAATATCCTTTTTGTTTTTAAGCTATTTCTATCATGATTTCTCCTTGTTTGCATTATCTTAAATTAACCTCTAAAAATAGAGTATAATAGGTTTATTAACCTTAATACTGAATTAAATTTGAAGTAAAATTGAGTACAATAGTTGAATTTGGAGTGCCTTAAATTCTAACATTAGATATATTAAAGTAACCTTAATATTGAAATACTCTTTGATTTGAAATAATATTATAGTCGATATTTCCTGATATTTACTTGTACAAAGTTAACTAAACTATTGTATCTGAAAATTAATTGTAAGTTTCATTTATTTCTAAGCCATTCTCATCAATATAACTAAAAATGAGACATGGAAGATCCTAACCACTCACTTAATTATGAATTGAATAAGTAACTGAAGATAATGATTAGATTTTCAGAAAAACGTTTTAATTTATTGATTTTTTATCATTGCATTGAAGAGTCTTTTCCAAATTTAATCGAATTCTAACAGGTCCTGAAAATAAATTCTTACCATAGATCTAAACTGTTAATAATTAAATATATATTTATATTAATTAATGTTTTTATTTTAATGTTCTTTAAAGTGCTTGCTTACTTAAAAATGATTAAATTAAGCTAAAGTAAAAAATAAATAAATAAAAAAATATCTATACTAGCTTTGTTGTCTTCGACAATTGTGTTAAGGAGAAAGGGTTTTTTAACTAAATACGTTATCCCACCTCCTGCTAATTTAGCTTAATTTTAAGAGATTATTGATTCTTTGATCGAAAAATCTTAAACATAGTTCTAAGTTGCTGAGGCAATATCTAAATAAAGTCCTCCTCCACTGAAAGCATTATTACTAGAAAATATAGATTTATCTATTTACATCTTAAGTTTACCTTAATTTCTCTAAACATAAATTGCTCCTCCGTTTTTCAGGGCTTCATTATTTGTAAAATTTGAAGAGAGTATTTCTGAAACAGATAACAAGTTTAACATACTAATTGCTCCTCCATTATTTTTACTAAAATTGTGATCAAAGGAACTATTTCTGATTTTACCTCCTGAATCCTATATAACTAATACTCCTGCATAGCAAAAATCATCATATTAACATCTTATATTCTAAAAAACACTAGAGTCAAAAAAGTAATAGCTCTACTATAGTATGTTAATTGCTGAGTTTTTTTAAATACCAAATTCACTTTTTATAATTGAAGAAATACTATTTTCCTGATCAGATTAACCTGAACCTGTTGTTTTTTTATCCCTAATTTTAACAAAAATGTTATTTTTAATTATTTGAAAATTTATATTTTACTGAATTTGTGTAAATGAAGAATCAACTATTTAAATATTTGATTATTTGATTGTTATCAATCCATTAAAATCTTAAATAATTTAACTTATCTAAGTTTGAGATATAGTAATATTACTAAAGCTTTATGCTAAAATAATTAATGGTTTGCAGGGTATAGAAACTACAGATTTTAAATTTTATATTGTTGAGTCCTCTATATTCAGTTGGCATGAAATAACATCAATCATTGATCCCATTTAACAAAATAACTAATCAAGGTTATAAAAAATTTGAAATTATATTATTTTGCTGGGGTTATTCTAAGTCATAGTAGAGTTTTAAATTATTATTTAAGCTAGGTTAGCAAATATAAAACTTCCACTAGAAAAAGCATATGTATCAAAAATGCTATTATTTAAAAATATAATACTAGAGCCAACAAGCTATGTTTATGATGATCCCTTTAGATAAACTACTCCACCTTAGTTAATAGCATAGGATTAATTAAATGTAACATTAAATATCTCAGATTTCAATTAAAAGGCTTCATTCTAAAAGAATATAGAAGCTCCGCTTTACATTGTTACAAAATCTTCAAACTTGCAACTATATATATATAATTGCTAAATTTAATCATTTAATAAAATATTAAGAGCTCCTCCATCTTAAAATCTACCTTTTTCAAAAGTACAATTGTTTATTATTGTATATTGAGATAAAACTTTAAAAAACCCTGAACCTCTTAAAAGATTATCTTAAAGAAAATGATTTATCCCTGAAAAAGTGCTATCTTAGATAGATATTTGTTAAGAATTAATCATAATTAAACTCTATTTACAATAAACAATAATATTTATTTAAATATAAATTTGAATTTATTTACGTATGGTGAATTACTGTCAAAATTCTTCAACTAAATATTTTAAATTTCAACCATTGAAGTGGGTGCAAAAATATAAATTAGTACTCCATATTCAATAAATGGTGTCTGAGATGTACTAATTTTTACATTACTTGAATTAAAATCTCTTATCGAAACTAATGCATTTTAATTATGGTGAATCAGCATGAAGCTTACTTAATCAAGCTGAGTTAAAGACTAGAGAAATAAATTGCTAACAGTGATATTACTTAAATATAAATATTGCTATATTTTAATTTAGGAACTTTACTAGACTGCTGTTATCGATTTCTCTCTATATTCTATGATATAGCCATTATAAGAGCTTTTATTAGAAATAAATGCATTAGTAAAATTAAAGTTAAGAGGTTTTTGGGAAACAATTTTAGCACAAGACCCATCATTCTAGGGATTAATAGGAATTTCTGAATTTGTACAAGTATAATTATTAATAACAGTATTTGAACTTTCTTTGATATTGATTAGGCTCAAAGCTGCATTTTCATGGTTAATTATTGAAGAATACTCTACCTGGAATACATTATCAGTTGTAAACATAAAGAAATCTTGCATTTGTATTAATGATGTTGCATTTAGCTGATAGTTTTTAATTATTTAGTTACTAAAATTAATTATATATAAAGAAGTCATATTTCGTAAGTCAGAGTAAACTAATTAGTTATTTTTAAAAACTCCTTCTTTCAGTTGCATTGAAGTCTGGTTATTTTAATTACTTATAAATTACTATGATAAAAATACTTATTATGTTTATGTTCGTTTCACAAATGTATTATTAGATATATTTATGTTTTAAATATTATAGATGGACTCTCTATCAAATTATATGCATCCTAATTTAATTTTATTCAAAAATATCTTTATAAAAAATAAAAATCAAAAATTTCATTTTTATAATTGAAAAATTATAAAAACTGATAGATTTTTTAAAAATTTAAAATTAATTTTCTAATATTTGTTTTTTATTGATTCATTGTATGTGAAATAATAAGATTCAAATAAATAACATAATTTTAGTCAAATTAATATTCATATTTAACTGATAATATTTATATTAAATGATAATTCATAACTATTAATTACACTTAATAGCAATTATATTGTTGTTCAAATTTTAAAATTTAAAAACATTTATTACCTATCAATATCATCTCTGAGACAGTATTTTAGTAGAAATTAAAATTTGATAATAAAAGCGATGAAGCCTAAATAAAAAAATTAATACTTTACATTTAATTCAAAAAAATAGAATTTCTGATAGTTATATTGTCAGCTACTAATTTTAAATATTTTTATGAATTAATAAACATTCTATTAATAAAAGTAGAAGAATCAATAAGCATATTTATAATATCAACTTCTAAATAATCAGTTTACACTTTTACAAAATAACTTGCTGATGTAAAGTATTAATTTTATATCACCATATTTTTAAAAATTAATTTATCAGCTTGAAGTACATTTATTCTGATATAACTTTCATTAATTTTAGTGGAACCATTACTAGATACTCCTATTTCTAAGCCTTTATTTTATCTATTTTAAGAATATATATAAATAAATAATTATTTTTATTTAATATTTAATTACTTTGTTGCAAATTCTACATTATCTAATATTGCGTATTTGAGACTTAAATTAACAACATCTAAAGATTTTTCTTAAAAATTACTTTAATTGATATTTAAAATTAAATCTTTGAAATATATTTAGATGTAATTGTATATCTCTAATGGATAAGATGTTTATAGAATTGGTCTACTTATCTATTAGATATAACTATCATTTTTTTATGAATCACTATTTTACTGATTGTTTTAGATTTCTTACCTAATAATCAAAGAAAATTATGTGTTATTGTATGTAGTAATTAAATTAGTGAAATTCATATAAAAAGGTTTCCACTAAAGCAAAGACTCTCTTTCCATAGTAACCTAATACACAATGTGGGTTTAACTCATTAGTCGCATATTATCTTTAGCTTAAAAGATAGTTGATTAAATATCTCTTTGGTTCCAATCATTTAACTTAGAAAATTAATTATTATGAATTTTTTTATAAAATTTTTTAATAGAGCACATATTTCTGCAATTATTTTAAATGCAATCATCGATTTATGCTATTTTAAATAAAAAATTATCAAATAATTAATTTTGATTTTATTGCTAAAGAAAAACTTACACTGCAATTTAGAAATTATTTTAAATTTAAATGATCTAATTAAATTATGGATTTTATTGATCAGTTCCATAGTAAGGAAAGACATAGCTATTTAGAGGTTAATTTCTAAGAGACAGTTTTAAACTAATTGTAAAATTATCAGAATTGAAAGTAAATATGTTCATTTAATCTTTAAGAGTAAGTATTAACACCTTCGTTGGTGCTAAGTAAATATATTAATCTGCATCAAATATGTTAAAATCTTGTTTTGTTTATGATGAGTAACAATTTTTTAAAGAAAAATTCATTTAATATGGATTTTAAATACTTTAATACCATAAGTTGTAATATTAACCAATGCATAAATACTAATATTAACTGTCTTTAAAGATAAGTAAGAAATTATTTGTTTATGGAATGACAAATATATCACTAATTTAAACGTTTTATATTTCAGAGTTCTAAATGTTCTACAACTGTTATAGCAAATCTTGTACATAAATTAACTATATTTTTTGCTATTTAAAAGTTTAATCAGAAAAATAGTTTACTGCTATTATTTTTTAGCTTAACAATATGAAGATAGTACCTTAGCTATCATATGATACAGATTAATAAACTTCATTTTAACCTATGTACTAAGCTAAATCTAGTTATACTATTTTTTAATCAAGAATGTATAATTACAATATCATACTTTCTTTACGATTACCATCATTTCTTACTTCGATATTGATAGAGGAGGGATTTTACACTTAACAATATTACTAAAAGATAAATTCTTTTGTTTATAATAGAAAAACTAGAATTTGAGAATCACTAACTTAAATAGAATCCATGAAAAGCACTTAGGTAGCTATTTAGTTAATTTAATCTAACGATAAATCTATTGTGCTTAAAGTTTTACTTTAAGAAAAAATTAATAAAGAAATCCTAACTTAGTAGGTGATTTGCTACCCTATATTACTTAAATCCTATGTTTCACAACTATTACTGCTTTATGCAAAAACATAATATTAAGTCTAATATCCTACAAAATAATTAAATTTTTAATCGATTGCTAAATAATAATATAGTGAGAAAGAAGTCAGATTATATCCTAAATATTAATTAGTAAACGTAATCACATTAAAAGAATTTAGAAATACTAAACCAGTCCCACTAATAGCAACATTATTAAATTGAAAAGTACTAGAATTAAATTTAGCTGAAACTATTGTTGAAGGCTAATCTTAAATTAAAAAAAATTAAATAAAAAATTAAATAAGTGAAATCTTAAATTTTACAAAAACCGCCAATTGAATACAAATATTATAGTTAACTAACATTTTATTGCATAAACAATTACGAAGTTAAATTTAATAGATATATTTTTCGATCAGCCAATGATGACATTACCAGAAAAGGGGTTTAGGGTATATATAAATATCTATTGTTTATATTTTTTTGTAATTAAAAAGAGCTATTTTAGCTAAATGTAATATTTTAATTTCTAATTTGCTTAGAAGATGTGATTAAAACTTAATTATTGTTCAAGGTCCAAAGTAAATACTCATCAACTAAGTTAGGATTAGCAACTATAATTGAGTCAACTTATAAAAAAGTTTCTAATTATTTAATAAAATGTATTATTTAAACTATTAAAATAGAACTTTTTAATTCTGATTTTAGCTTTTATTTCTAAAAAATCTAAAAAATTCGAGATATTAATTTCAATAATGATATTGCTTTCATAAGAAATATCAATAAAATAATATCAAAATCTTAAAAAGAATAATTAACATGTCAATGAAGTATAATTAATACCATTTTTAATTACATTTATCATTCTATTTGTAAAATTAAAATGTATGAAAATCTCACTTTCCCTTATCTGGTATTAAAATTTTACTGTATGCAATTTAATATAAATAAAAATAAGATTTATTACACAATTTATGGCATTATATAGGGTTTTATAACATTTTAGTGAGGTCTAAATTCAGAGCAGTGTTTTAAGAAATTTATAATAAGGTGAGATCAAATACACATAAGCTATTTTGTAAAGAAGCATCACTGTTAAAATTTATTGCTTAACCAAATTGTATAATCAAAACCATCTGAGAGGAGAGAAGATAAGAATATTTAAGGACATAATTTAATATTGTTGGATACCAAGTAACAATGTTATATTAATTAAATTTTATAAGCTAGCAAAAAATAAATTATTAAGTAGATAAAGCCACAAACAAGTTTGCCTTTCCTATTATGTCATTAATTTTTACATCATCAACATAAAAATAAGATGTAGGCAATAAAGAGGAGTCAATAGTAGATTAAGTATCTTAACGAATAGCTATTTTAATTACGTTATTTTAATATATATATTTAATAAACGATTATATTATTTCAAAATAATTACGTTTCACATCATAAAATGTTTATAGCTTATTGTAAATATATCCAAAAATATATATTTTTGAACTTGAATAACTATTTCTTGCAAAAATAGCATATTCACATCTTATTTAATTATCAATTGTCCTTGTAGAAAACATATACATATTTTCATAAAACTCACCTGTTTAAAATAAAAAATGAGTTAGTTATTTGACTATGAATACACGATTAATACCTAAATTAGAGTATTGAGTCGTTTAATTCCCATTTAAAACATCAATTATAGAAATTCCTAAATTAGAAATTTGATATAAATCTAAGTCATTTATGAGCATTAACTATTTTACTCTATCACCATTCAAATACTATCTTTAATATCTCTATATTAAACTCCCGTCTTAAATGTTATAAATAAATAGGGTGAAAACATGGTCTACAGCGATAAAAAGATTCGAATCTTTTAAATAGTAAAGGCTCGTAATAAATCCTGAATGAGCTTTTTGTTAATAATAAAATATTATTTTTAGAGAATTTGCAAAGTTCTACATTAATTTCTGAAAAAAGTTAAATAAATAAATATATTACTTCCAAGTTATTTAAATTAAGGACATGAAGGAGCTGATTAAATCAATTGATCATCTATTTATTAAGATTTACATTTTATTATTATATTGATCAAAAATTGTATAAAAACTAGATATTTAAATAGTGATTTATCCATTTTTAATTTTTTTCTTGCACCTATCTTATTCTTTATTTAAACAATTATTTAATTCGAACAAGTTTTATTATTCTTCTTCAGTAAAGATAATAATGACTTAATTTTAATTAATCTGTAATTGCACAATATTTAAATCTTACCCTTTAATTGCACAATATTTTAATCTTATCCTATAAATATGCTCACTCATAATATTAAAACAAAATACATGGTTGTTATTTTATTACCTTAAATTCTTCTAGTAAATTATTAGTAAAAAATAAATTGTGTTTTTCTCTTAAAAGCATTTTCATACTTATTTGATAAAAAATATTATGTTTGAATTATACATTCAAAATACTTAAAATATTTTATAAATATTCATTATTATTTATAAATAACTTATTAAATTTACTAATAACTTAAATTTAAATAATATTTTAGAATCAAATAATATTATGTATAAAATTAAATATGGAAGAAACTGTTTTCATACAAAGCTTAATCTTTTAATAAAATGATCTAAGTAAAGATCAACACATTAATAAAATAGTATTTTAATTCATTAGCATAAAATCCTGATTATTTTTTAAATGAAAATTTATCATTATAACATTTTTAAAATCTACTTTAAATAAACTTTCAAAAATGAATAATAAAGTATTTAAGACCTCTAAAATGAATATGAACATTTAACATTTAGTTATATAAAAATAAAAAGCTTTTTATTTCAAAAAAAATTATCAACAGTATTACTAAATTTAGTAGTATATTTTTTATTAATTAAGATAATAGTTCTATCAAAATAAGATATGTACTTAGAACTAATATGTTGATTTTGTAAAGTACTATAATTGAAATTAAACTAAACTATGCTTTAGAATGAACATAAGTATTTTTAGATCATTTTAAAATTAACTCTTTTCAAAATTTTTAATTATTATTAATTTAATTTGTATTTTTTAGAGTTTTTAAATTTATATGATTTATTCAAATTCTTTTTTTATTTTATAAATAAAATTTAAATATTTAATCTGGAGGGTATAATAAAAATAAAATTTTAATCTCTTAAAAAGAATTAAATAAACCTTTACTCAAACATAAAAATTCAAAATAAATATTTATATAAATAGAATATTTCTAAATCATTGATTTTTTTCTAGATTTGCCATTTAAATTGTATTTGATCTTTTGCTAAATTTATTTTGTTTAAGCAATTTATGATCCTAAGTGATTATTTGCAATTCTAAATCACTTCCTAAAATACATGCCCTTAACTTAATATTAGACTTTGCTGTCCAATTGCTTAAGTATCCTGACTTCCTCATATAAGATAAATAAGATAAAAAGAATATTTTTAACTTTAGTGCTTTTCTTTACTGCTTTGAAAAAATTAAGTTATTTAAACATAAATATTTATAAACCCAAATCTTTAGGTATAAAAAATAAGTTGGGAGATTTTATTTACTATCTTAAATAATCAAGTATGTAATTATTAAAGTTAAACTAAAAAAATCTGAGAAAATTATCGACAAGCAAATTTTAGTTATTGTTTAGTTTTCTTCATTCAGCTTTAAAAAGAGTGAGACATAAATACATAGGACAGTACCTATTAAAAATAGAAACTCAATTTAGTTATGTAAACCATACTAATTAGGAAGAGTTTTTTTAAAAAAATATCCATAGCAGCACAACAGAAGGATAATGACGAGAGACTATTTGCAATAGAATATTATTAAAGTTTTTAAATTATTTATTAAAGAAATAATAATTTTACGCTGTTAATATAATCATCTTGAAGAAATTATTCAGTCATTAAAAATATCGACCTTAATATTAGCTTGACCCATTCCCAGAACCAAAATGACTACTTGTATTGATAAGTCATAAAATAATTTATCTTAGATTTTTAATCTTTGTTTAAATTTCTTTTAGTAAAGATGCAAAGTATAAGAGGTAAAATAAAAGCAAATGCAAATAAAACTGGCATTAGTAATTTATAAGTAAACTTAGTATAATCATCTGTAAAACATTTGTATAATAGATTTTCTTATACATAGTTTTCGTTATCTATTTATTAAAAAAGGAAAGTGTTATAAACATTTTAGATTCATATATTACCAATTTTTCTGCACATAATTAAGTTTAAAGAATCTCTAATTATGGTAGGCTAGAATGCCAGATATATAAAATAGAAGGTATTGTAAAAGAAATATTTTTACAACATATGAATTTTTCTATATTGTACTAATCCATAAACAATCAAAATAAGCAGGATAAAAGCATAAACTGATATTTTAAGAAGGTAGTTAAAATAAATCAAACTTAAAAGATTATGATCCTAAATAAATTTGTAAATGTAAGGTTAAAATATTTATATTATATACTATATAGGGCTTAGTACAGCCATCAGAAAAGTAGAAAACTGAGAAGGCATTTAATACCCTAAATTAAGTATGATCTAAAGGATGGAAGCATAATGAATTAAATTCTTAAAAATAGGTAAAAGGTTATTTTTTATCAAGAACGATATTTCTCTATTTTTATTTAGATACCTGAACACCAATTTTATCTAAACAAAGCTATTTATGATAACTTAGGAAAAGTAGCTCTTTTTTTTTTCATAAAAAAATAAATTATTTTTTGTTTAATAATTTATTTAAATATGATTAATAATTCATTTAAAATAACAATTAATTAAAATTAAATTGCTTTGAATTTAATTTAATTTAAATGCCATTTTTCAATGGTGAAAAAATTAAAAATTTATTAATAAAATTTTTATTCATTTTTTGATTTTTGTTTTTAAAAATTTAATATAATTTTGAAATAAATTAAAGAGTTCTTACTAAAATTGCAATTATCACAAATGACATTAGTATTTTTGCTTTCACATCTTACAATTTTTTACACTAATATTTTCCTGATTTGTAGTATCCTTATTTTAAATCGCACTCTTCACATAAAGGACCCAAATATCCAACATCGCATAAGTTTTCATTCATTCCTCCTAAACAGCTTCTTGGGTTGTTAAAGCACAGATAAACAGAATCTGTACTTTTATTCTAACGCCAGTAACCTTGATTCAATTATATTTGATTTCCGCCAAGACAAGTCATCATCTCTAAACATTTCTTGCACCAGGCTAAGGGTTCGTCATTCAATTTTGGAACAACTAATGAATAACTTTTTTATTAAATTAATTTAATTTTAAATATATATAGAATGGAGTTTCGAAGATAAATTAATGAGTTTATTTACCTTCCTTCTTTGCATTTTGAGCACTCATAAACTTTGAAGATCAAATTTTAAACTAATAGCCTTTTAGGTATGTATATTTCCCCTTCTATACACCTTCTGAGTTCAATTTACAAGTAATACTAAGGAAATCCAATAAGTTATAGATCATTTATTTTAGCAGCTCTGTAAAGTTATAAGGTTACTAGCAACTAAATAGTGCTTTCTGGTATTCCTTCTATTGTTATTTCCCTAAGAATAAACTAATTATCAGAAAATAAAATATTCTCGTTAGGTAAAATTAGGAAAAATAACTATTAATCTATCCTATCTTGCTGTTTTTACAGATTCAAGTGCATATATGCTTGTTGTGCCTTAGTATATTCATCAGTTATTTATCTACCTTCTTAATCATGTAATTCAAAAACCAAAGTTGGAATTTAATATCCACTCACTTAGTTTTTCACTTTAAAAGTAAAATTTTGACTAAAATATTATATGTCGATTGTTTAATTTTAGTTAAATAACTTAGTTTTTTCTAAATTTAAAGAAAGCTTGGCAGGTTAATAAAAAAAATTTATGCCGAATTTTTATCCTAAAATAAAAAAAACTTAATATCCTTTTTATATTATAATATTAAATAAATAAATACCTGGTAAAATATTCGAAATTTAACTGTTTCCTTATATTCTAGTGATAAAACTATTTAAATACAAACCACTTCCAAATTAACTGGCATAATTTTTTTAGACTATAGAATTATTAAAAATAACATTTATAGTCTTGTTTTCCTTAGTAAAATTAGATTAGCTGTCTTAAAATTAGAATAGAGCTCCTCCATATGACGCTATATTTGAAACTATTGAAGTATGTGATATAAAAAGTTTGCTTGTTAATTGTGATAAATAAATAGCACCTCCTTTTTATAATGATATATTGTCTTCAAACTAGCAACTATTTATAGAAATTTAAGAGAATGCATTTTATATAGATAAAGCTCCTCCGTTATTGAAAGAGACACACCCTGAAAATATAGATTTATAGATATTTCCTTCAGATTATATAATTCCTAATGCTGAACCAAAGCAATTAGATTAAGATAAACAAAATATTTCAATAAAGTTATTATTTTGTATTATAAATTAGCTATTTTATTTAATTAAAATCATACTAGACTTTACAAAACCAGTTTCTCTCTCATTTGTTAAAAAATAAGGCTAAGAATTTACAAATTTCTACAGAATATCGTCTTTATTGTAATTTTGCTGATTATCATCATAGTATCTGTTTAATAAGTGTTAAATTGTTAAAATTATATTTTTAATATGAAGAATTAATTACATTAAATTGTCAAACAAACTATTTGTTATATTAACAAAAGAGGAATATATTTCGAAAAATCCTGCTTAATTAAAAGTGGAATTAGTAAAATTGCTATTATTGACATTTATTGAACTTCCAAATGAGTATAAAAAAGCAGGAACAGATATTTAAGTAATGTTAAAATAACTAATATTGTAATCAAAAAGATTAAAGTTATTTAATTGTAAATTAGATTATGTGATGTAGAATACTGAACCAATCGTTTGAAATGTCAATAAAAAATCTTGTTATTATTTATCGAAATCAATATTATTTAAAGGAAATTTTGCTGTAAGATTAGAATCTTGTATGCTTATAAATACATTTGATGAAGTAATAAAAGAACCTTCGTTTTATGAAATAACATTTATTATTTAACATTCCTATAAGTTTATTATTGAAGGTTGTTACACTTTAAAATTTAGCTACTAAATTGCACCACCACTTTTTAATAAAATATTTTAAAGTATACAACCTTTTATTATCATAAAGGAATTCAATGTCGATTGTAATACAAGTATGGCTCCGCCACCACCAGATAAGCTGATTAAATTTTTAAATGTAGAGTTATTTATAAATAATTAAGATCCATCTTCATTTTAGTAAATATTAATACTAGAGCCATCTTTTGAAATACTATTTTAGAAGGTATTGTTAGTGATATTACATAAATTACACCTTAAAGTTAAGTAGCCTTTATTTTATTGACTGATTGCAGGATTATATTCATATGTATTTCTATCAAATTTTGATGAATCCAGTAAGATATTATCTACATTTAAATAAACTATAGACTATAAAAAATATAATTAATTCCAAAATCAAATATTTATTTTGCTTTAAAATGTTTCAAGTAATAAAATAAAAATAATTTCAAAGTAATTTTTATTTGAAAAGTATCAAACAAAATTAGAATAAAAAAGGTGAAGAAAATAAAGTGAAATGCTCATTAATTAATTGAAGAAATATTGAATATTATCAATTTAAAGTTAAAAATAATTAAAAAATATCAAAAATAAATTTGTAAATTTTAAGATAATTTACATAAGGAGATTTATTGTAGATGCTTCTAACATTCATATTATTAAAATAAAAAACTGATTGAGGCATATCAATTAAAAGAAAAGGAGAATATTCACTGTAAAATAAATTATCTTCTGAGTGTATTAAACTATTTTCAAAATTAATGTTTTATAAAATAGCTTTGGTTTTTTATGTGCTAGCAATTTTGACAAAAGGATATTTTGAGTCTTTTTAGAGGTTGATAAATGTATTAGAGACATTAAAATTTGAAATTTAAATTAGAGAATAATTGTTGTTTATGTCTATTTTTTCTTAAGGCTAATCAATTAAAAAAGCATAGCTATTGTAAAATAGCTTGTTTTTTATTGTTACATTTTTAATTTATATTTTAAATAACTAATTGCAATTTATTGCAAAACAATACCCACTTTGTGCATCTTATTTAAGAAAGGTATTTGAGAATTCTATATCTTATAATAAAAGGTTACTAACTTTGCTTAGAGTTAGCAATGATTGATCATCATTATCAATAAAAGACAGCTATGTTAAAAAAAAGTTATTTACATTAGTAACTTTAATCCAATTAAACTGTTAGAAGTCTTAATCTAAATCTATTATCAAATCTTCTAAATCCTAACCATGTAAGTCAATTTTTTTCCTTGAAACAATATTGTCAGAGGATTTCTAGAAATTTTTTTAAATTAGATAATTTTTTTTGATAGTCAAATCATCAATTTAAACAGTAAGATTCTAAGTATCTAATTTAAGAGGTAGATTTAAATCAATAAAAAAACCTAATTGGCTGTTATTGAAATTTATCTGATTTTTAGTTATTGTTATGTTCTTAATCTATATTAATGGTACTGCGGAGTAATCATTTTGCTTTTCTATATTTAAGTTTTAAAAATTAAATTCAAATAAAGTGAAAAAAGCTCTATACGTATTATGCTAGTGTCTTAAAAATTATTAGAAATGATAATAGAGTTGGAAATTATGCAAGCAGCACATGAGATAAAAGCAGATCCTTAGCTTTATAAATTTTAATTTATAATTGTGTTATTTACTAAATTTAACTAGTTTATTTGCACCACATTACTCTTTTGGATGAGGTTTAGTGTAAAGTTATTCATTAAACAGTTTTAAATAAAAATATCATCTATACTGAGAGAAATATTAGGGGTGTTTAGCTTTATTAAATATGAACCTTAATTTAAATATTTGTTTGTATAATTAAGACCAACAATTTAAACTAATTATCCATTTTCTATTTCAAATCTAAAGAATCCTTCATCTATATTTCCATTAGTATCTACATATTGCTGATAGCTAAATTATAAAAAAAAAGGAATTAAATTAAATTGAAGATAATTGAATTGAATTATTTGTTACTTTTAAGAATAAAAATCTACAAAAAAGTAGTATTAAAATATGCTATTAGACTTTATAAATGGTAGAGTTTTATCTGTGTAATTCCCAAAATTAACTATAAAGCTAATTTGTGAAATATAAATTGTACATATATTTGTAAAATATAACTGAAAATCAGAATAAATTATTGCTCTTTAAAAGGTATTACTACTTAAAGTTGATAAGAAAACTCCAATAAAATTAAAAGTGTCAAATGTGTTTTGAAAATAAGGATTAAAATAATTGAAATCTAAAAAGCTGCCAGGAAACAAATTAATTTAGATATTTATAGTAGTAAAAGACATCATTTTTTAGCATTTTAATAAATCAAACATATCACTGAGCAAGTAAATTTAACTTTATCTCAAAGAATTCAAGCTTGAATTATCATTCATAAAATTCATAGTAAAATTTAGCTCTTTTTGGTTATAATATTTTTGAATGTAGCAAGTATTGCTATCACATGTTTGATAGAGACAGTCCTTAGGAAATAATCTTAATATTTTTTTATAAAAAATAAATAATTTTGTTCTTTAAAAATATCTTTATGTATTATAAAATTTTGATATTTTGAAAGATACTATAAATTAAAAACAAATATTATATCTATTAAAAATGTCTCCAATTTATATGTTAGTGTATTTTTTTATATTAATATTTAGATAAGGATTTATGGTGGATGTGTGCATTTAATTGAATGTATTTAATCATAATAAAATAAAAAATTACGTCTAAAATTGTAAGTTCTGAAATATCAATAATATTTATCCTTCTTGTAAATCAGAATAAAAACCTAGATGCTCAGCTTAGTAGCTTGATGTTTAAGCTTAAATTTATAATCTTTTATCAATCTAAGATGAATCTTAATTATACTTGAAGAAAACTAAATATTTTTGACTTAAAAATATCAAAATGCTTGATTTATGCAAATACAAATAATTAGAAGCTGAATAAGTTTATTATTAAATATCAGATATTAGTTAATAGTCTCTTTTTATTTCGTATGTAAAATTTTAATTATTAGAGCTAGTCCAGTTTGGGTCGTATGATAAAAAAGCAAACCCTTCATAATTATTAGACATGTACCTTACTAAAATATGGTTAATCTATTAAAAGCAAAACACATGTACGAATATTTGGATTTATTTTCCTACTTAGCCTTGGTATTAGCTTTTTGATATCTAACTTATAAAAAATGTAGCACTACTGCTATTCAAAATTTTATATTATACTACACAAATTTGATCTATGAGAGTAATAAATATATTTTAATTTAAATCTAAAGATATTACTTGATTCTACTAAACTGGTGGTATTTCTACAACTTTACTTAATCCTAAAATTCTTGCATCAAAATCGACTATCAAAGCTATAATTTAGTAATTTTACTAGTTGGGTTTAGAATCTTACATAATAGAATTTTATAAAAGCAGCTATGAAGAACAAATGCCAGAATAATTAAAATTTTTAGCTTATATTATTATTAGGAGTTTGTCATCTTATATTTATCTGACTTACTGAACATTAATAACACTTAAATTCTATTATTTTAAGTCTATTTATGTATTATTTGAAAAAGTGCTATTTTACCATATAGAGAGAAAGATACTATTAGATATTGCAAAATTGTTATTACCATTACATTAATTTGTTTAGCCATCTTAATAAAAATTTAGATTTTTCTATGAAATAATTGATATCAATTAAGATTTATTACTGATAATTTATTTTTCTATTGTAAAATTACTATTCAAAATACTAACAGATGTTTGTTTAAAAGAATAATCTGAAATGTTAAATGAAATAAATTATTATGTTTAATCTGTTATATTCAAATCAGTGACAATATCTATTTAATCTTTATTCCTCATTTTGTAGACAATAGCTTGATTTTGCATTTCTAAATATTTTTTAGGTTAATTTAATAAAATTTTATTATTAAAAAAATTTAATCTTACTAATTCCACTGTGATTATATAAAAATATTTATTTATCAGTTAAGGCGTTTATATCTTTTTGCTTTAAATTAATTAATGAAGATAAATCAATTACTCCATTCGAGTAAGCATTCTAATTAACATAGCTGTTCAATATAATATGAGTAGAAAATGGTATATGAAAAATATTATAATAATTTTATTATATTTTAATTGGTATTTAAAGAAGAGTGTTTTAGTTGTCTTAAGTTTAATTTAAAAAATCAGAAATTTTTTGCAAATAAATGTTTTGCATAGAGTCAATAAACAACAAGGAATCAATTAATTTTATTTGAAGTATTTTAGCTATTTAGTTATTATCTTAAAAAAAAAAATTAAAATTAATAAGAAAAAAAGTATCATTTAATAAAATTTTACAGTTTTTGCATGCTGTTGGGTTATTAAAAACACCTTAAAAATCTAATTCGTTTTTTCTACCACTTGGTTAAATTTTCGAAAAGTCAAACAAGCAAATTTTATTTTGCCATGATGAATTATCAGCAACCAAAGGCTAACCAAATTAAATTACTATGATATTTTTTTTTATTAATACACTCATATAAATAACTTAATATGGTATATAGTATGGATTCCAACTATTGATAATATCAATATTTTTATCAATAATTTAACCATATATGTAGCCACTTAAACTAGAATATCCAATAAGAACATTAATGGGTTATTTAAAGTATGAATTAGGCTATGGAGGAAGATAGTTTTCTATGAATAAGTACTGAACAGGAAGGTTACTCCAATCTTATAAAGTGTTGTTTTCTTTATTTACTTATTTAAAAAAGAATAATTAATAAATTTCTACTTAATTTAAAAATAAATATACTCTTGATTCTTTATTTTGAAATGATCTGAGAAGCACTATAAAAAGTAATTATAATTTCTACATTTAATTAATTTTGTTATATAATAAAATAATCAGCAATTTGCTCTACTCGGAGAACTTAATGTGACTAGAGTCTAAAGACCTTCAAATTTTATGCTTGTTCTACAATAATGTTCAGTCATTAATTTATTTTAAATACCAACTAAATATTAATTTACTATCATCTGCAAAGACAAGGCTAGAAGAAATTACTCCAAATTTAAAGTCAATTATAAAATATGTTTAAGTTCCAAGGATAAATATTTAAAAATCTGTTATCTAGATGCAATTGACAATTTGAAATCCTTAAAATAAAATGCTGAAAGATTTGTAATATTATCCATTGCTAGGATCTAATAAATAAATGATATTTTGTTCATCTATAACTAACAGCATATTTGATCCATCAATAAGCAAGAATTAATTTATCTTTCCATTAATAACTATTAAAATAATGTAAATACAAATGCAACTAATGAAAAAAGCTTACCTCCTTTTTAAGACAAATAAGGGCATTATATATTATTCTAAAGTATGCCCTCTAACGGAGCAAATTGTGATAATGTAACACTTATAAATATAAGAAAAATATTAATCACTTTACAAGAAAAAAGTATCATTTCTTTAAAAGATTTCTCTTATTCTTAATATATTTGCTAATTAGTCACTTTTTTATCTATAAATTCAATAAACTATAAAATATAAGTTCGAAGTAACAAATTCTGAAAATGTAAATTTTAACGCTTAAAACAATTAAGCTTCAGTAATAATATAATTAATATCTATCACCAACTCCAAAGAAAAAAAGTAATATTTTCTAAACAAAGAAATATAACAAACAATAAATATAGAGAAGTTTCCTTAAAATATAAAATATTCAGAATTTAACAAGTGAAGTTATTTATTTATTTATTTATTTATTTACACAAAATTTTAGGAATAAATGTTAAAATAAATGTGTTTTAATATCATTTATTTATTTATTAATTCATTTATTCTATTTTTTATATACATTTTAAAAATTAATTATTTTCATAATTCTTCTTTTTTTTAGTTGTTGAAAATATTGATCATTTTAATTTGGTTTTATCTTGTTTTTACCATTTTTTCTATTTTATTTTCTATTTGTTTATTCATACTCAAATTTTATTGATTTACAAATTGCAACTACCCAAATTTTATTTCTGATTTTACCAGCTAATCAACTATGGAGTGCTGTTTGTTAAACATATGGTTACTCATAAAGGACAAACTTTCTAAAGTTTTAAAGGCTGTAATTTTGTGGGTCTTATTTCTTATGTTGATGCTGTTTGCAATATCTTGGAGATTTTAGCAACCATTAAGAATGTCTTATTTGTATATTTCACACTATTGTATTTCTTGTTAGAGAATATATTCTTGTATTTTAGTACAAACGTAAATTAATTCATGTTCAATCAACAGTTTTTCTTCTTAAGTCTAATTTTCATTGCTAATAATTAAATCTTCTAGCATTTTTGCATTTATTTCTTAATTTAAATTTTATTTATTCTCATCTAAAAGTATATTCAATAATGGAGATTATCCAGACAAAAAACTTTTTAAAATTTTAACTATTTTTTATCTACTGATGTTCAAAGAAAATAATTTTTGTAAATAGTTATGAGTTTCTTTTGCTAATTTTATAGAATTATTTATTTTATCCTCCACCTATTTGTCTTAAAAATGCTTATCTTATTTTTAAAAATTAATATATGAATTTTTAAATGATCTTATTATATATATTTTAAAGAAAGAATATCAAATTTGTTTTTGTTTATTCTAAATTCTATAAAAAATATTTATTATTAAATAAAGAAATAAATAATTTTTAAATGTCATCTTTTTTTTTACTAGAAATATTTATTTTATCTATGAATAATCTTAAAAATATAAATAAAAAACCTGCAATTGCTGATAAGCTATTTGGAGGTGATACCGTTTATTTAGAGCTGTTTATAATATGACTAAATTAAGAATTACTACCAAGCAATATTGACTTTCTTTCTTTTTATAAATAGTCTTATGAAGCTGCAGGCTCATTTCTCTGCTTTTTGAAATAGTGAATTTACTCTGTAATTTCAATTGAAGACTTTCTGCTTTGACTTTTAGTCTCCTTTTTTTTAATGGACTGATCTAAATCTTATTAAATGATAATTTTAATTGGTTTTTTTTGTATATCTGAATTGCTATCTCTAAAGTTTTTGGTCAAATCTTCAGCTATTCTCCTAATTTTTCTTCTATTTTTCTCTGATTAGTATAATTGTTCTAGAGATTTTAAATGCTTGCTAAAATTTAAAGGACTATTCATTGTGAAATCTTTATCTTTGTGAATAAATATTTAGCTCTATGAACGAGTATTTTAATTCTACCTTCTGAGGGCTTTTTTTTAAAAATGATCTTCTGGCTGTTGTTTTTCTTGAAAACTACTTTCTCTCTTTGAATCTATTATTCTATCTGTTGATTATCTAGTTTTCATAAACTCAGTTAAAGAGGTTGCTCTCTATACTTTTAAAGAACTAGGTTTATCAGTTTTAATTGTATTTTAGCTATCGTTATTTAATCTTGTAAGAAAGTCCATTTCTTACAGACGCACTCCTCTTTGTTGAGAGAAAGCATCAAATTTAACAAAACTAGATTTACTGCTAGTTGAATGATTAAATGGGATGTATTTTTAAGATTTTGTTGGTGTTTAAAACCCACTTCCTCTGTTTTAATCAGGAAGTTATCCAAGGCATTTCTCCAAAAATTGTTAATTTTATGGTTTAATTTGTTTTTTAAGAAATGTGTTTTACATTTTAATTAATTAAATAGTTTCGGTAGCACTTCTAAAGCTTTCAAGTTAACCTTGCTTAGAATTAGAATTTTATAATGGTGAAAAGTCAACTCTCTTTTAGGATTAGCAAAAGTTAGGACTTTTAATTTCTGAATTTTAAAAACTTAAACAAGTAGATAATTAAGGAAATCCTGAAGAGTAAACGCATTTATTCATAGCCAAGCTTTTGCTTGTTCTTTTTAGAGGACTTAAAGCTTCAAATGAGACTCTACTATGGTTTTCATCATTAAGATCACTCATATCAATTGTTTATTTGGAATGTAATTGATTATTATAATTATTACTATTATTGTTGTTACTATTTAACTAATCCTTCAAAATAGATTGAGAGTTAATCAATGATTCTTTTCTTACTTCGTTTCTGTAGTATTTAGCAAATTCAGAAAGCTACTCTTCTTGAATTTCTGCATGAAGACTCTCTAATCTTTGTTTCTTTTGCAAAGATGTAGGACTTGAGTCATTCAAGTTAAAATTTGGGTTTATTGTATTGCTTCTTCTTATTATACTATTCATAATAATTTTGATTGTTATTAAATGAAATTTGCCTGATATTTTGTTTTTATACAAAAACTAATTAATATAGGTTTTTGAAATTAATATAATCTTTTATCTTTCTTAGTTGTAAAGATATTAATGGTTATCTTTCAAACAAGCCAAAATATTAATTTACAAATTGCTAATTCATTAAATAATATATCCGCAAAAAATTTAATTAATTATTAAATATTAAAATTTATAACTCATCCCCACAATAAGACAAGTCAAATTTATTATAGTGTAAACGAATTAAAAAAGTTATCTTTTGGATTTGTAAACACTTTTATAATTTAAATTTTTTAGATTTTGTGATTTTTAAAAATGGATAAATCAAGAAGAATTTTATCTTGAATATTTGCTATTTATATTTACATATACTTAGTTATATTAGTCATAAAAAAATAATGATCTAATAATAGACTATTTATAATGTATATTTTAGATATAGATTTAATATAATCACAAGAAATAGAACCAATTTCAAATAGTAAAAAATAAAATTAGTTTTTTCTTCAATAGCACAACGATGATGATATTATTAACTTATTAAATTTGAATATTATTCTATATTAACATCAATCCAAAATATAAATTATTTAAAATATCAAGAATTTATTACTTTAGAATTTTTTAATTTAATTGTTTTTAAAATTTAAGATAGATGTAAGGAAGTACTTTTTTAAAAAAATTCTTTTCTTTATTTTGGTTTTGAATTTTAAATATTTACTTACGATATAAAAAAATTATTTTGGAATAATTATCCATTGATTATTTAAAAAATATATATTGTATTAAATCCTATTAATTCTCCATAAATTTAATTTTAACCATTTTTTATTAAGGTCTATTAAAAATTTTTTTATAGGTTTTGATTGACAGTTTTTACTGCATAAAATGGAAAAATTTCAATAAATATAAAATTTATTTTAAACTATTTCAAAGCAAAATAAAAGAAATCAAAACAAAATATCTAACTAAAATTTTATTATATTTTATAAAATTTGAAATATCAAAATGGTAAACTACAAAATTAATTATAAATCTTATATAAATAAACAATTAATTAATTAATTAATTAATTAAATAAAATCAATTTATTTTTTCTAAAAAATAATTACTTTAATTATTGTTTAGTTAGTAATATAGCAGAAATTCAAAAGTTGATATGAGAAAAATGGTATTTATAGATTATTAAGGGTCGGTCTTACAAGATTAGAAAGATTTCTTTTAATTTAAATTTGTTTAATAGATATTCTTCAATAAATTTTGTTGCGCTCTTGGTTTTTATCAAGGAAAAAGAAATTTAAGTTAAAAGAAATTCCAAGGAATTTGAAGTTCTTTTTAGAATTGCTTTTGCTTTGGCTATTCTATAGCATGTTACTGCTAATTTAAGATTATCTCTTCAAGTAATCGCTCTTTAAATCAGTCAATTTGACCTTTGATGAAGTACTGAGCTTGTGTATTTTACAGTATTTATTCCAATAGTCAGCGAAAGATTTAATAGAATATGTAGAAAATATATTCTTTACTATACTATAAAGAGCAATACAAATTATAGTGATATAAAAAAATTAATTATAATCAAGGAGAAGGATTTTAGTTGATTATAAAAAAGTTCTATTATTAAACTAATAAGTAGCTTCTTCCATGCAGCCTTTTATTTTAAAGCTATCAATTTTTTCATTTATATCTAAATAAGACAAGCAAGCTTGTTTGTTTCTCTTTTCATATAAGTTATTTAAATCTTATGCTCTTAAAACAATCATTACTATTGATACAAAGAACAAAGCAATTTAAATTTTATTTTACATGACAATTTCAATTATATTGATATTTTTCTAAACTTTAGATTCATAAGCTGGCTTTTTAATGAACTTAGAGCTGATTTAACTATTTTTTTGGCTACTTTCTAATGAAATCTGCTTATCTTTGGAGTTAAGATTTTTTTTAGGCTTCAATCTTCTCATTAACTCTTCATTACTCAAACATTAGCTCACAAATTAATACATATTTTCTAAAAAGCTATCTTCACGAGTCTCCATATTAAAGAAGTCTTTCGTTGAGGAGTAAGACGATTCAGAATTTGAATTCAAAGAAGAACATTAGAAAGAAGAATCATCAGACTCTCCGCTGTCCATATATGTGGGACGGTCTTAATAAATTTCACTAAGGTCGCTCATTATAATTTGAATTTAACAGCTTTATTAATATTTAGAGTTAAAACGGTGTTATTTGTTTTTTATTATCTTCTTAGTACTTTAGTTTTTGCTATCTTCTTAGGATTTATTTTATAATTAACTTTAAAGTGTTTATTTTGCAATTTCTTCAAGGTTATTAATTTAGAAAGAAAAATTTATTTTGAATATTTTCTTTTGATATTATCCATTGAGCAAATAAATAAATGAGTAAAGGCGGAAAATCTGAAATTAAATTAATTATTCAATATTTTGAAATAACAATATAATTCTATCTAAAAAACATTTGAATAGATAAGATATTAATACTAATTTTTAATTTACAAACAGTATAAATAAAATGTATTAAATAAACATAAAAATTTAACATTTTTGTCTGATTAATAGCATTTTGTTTTTACAGTTTTTATGAAAGAAATTGAAATCTAATTAAAAATTCATTCTTATAAGAAATATTGCATAATTTAACTGATAATAATTTATAAATTCTGCTAATTCAAAACATTTCCATTAAAGAGGAGGAAACACCCAACATTATCAGAAAAGATTTTAAAATTTTATAGAACAGGAGGAAATTCATCATCGAAATTATTTAAATCATTATAGGCTCTGCTTTTTAATAGTCTAAAGCTCCATTTTGAGCAATTCAGCTTCTCCTATCTAACCTTGATTCATTAAAATACTTATTAGATTATTTAATATATGAATTTTATTTTAGAAATCTCCTTTTGGATTCAAAGATTTGTGCAAATTGTAAGCACTTCTAGCAAAATGAAGTCCCTGCTTTTTATCACCCATAGATGCGTAAAATAAGGAAATTTGCAACAGTGTTGAAGGAATATCAACTTTTAATTTCTTTTGATTGGGCTGTTGTTAATTGTGATCGATCACTTTAAGCAGAAACTCCAAATATTTCTGACCATCTTTAAATTTTTTTAGCTTAGTAAAGAGTTCCACTGCAAGTTTAATTTATTGAACAAACTATTCGGTTTTGCCATGCTTCTCGTAGAGATCTTGCATTAAATCTACAGTTTTGCAAATGTGATATAAAGCTGAATCATATTGCTCAACATCGTAATACATTTTTGACAATAAATAATTAATACAGCTTATTTCGTAATCATCTTCTTTTTCTCTTACCAAATTCATTGTTGCTAAGCATTTCTAAAGAGATTAAATAGCCCTTCCTTTTTAAGTGTGCTTCCAATATATTTTAGAAAGATATTCATATTAAATTGCAGTTCTTCTATGTTAAAGGCCCTGCACTAATACCTCTAAAGCTTCTTCTCCGTAATGAATGCATTTATCTAAATTATTCAAATGAGTATTAATAATCGACCACCCATTTATTTAATCTGCCAAATCATCCTAATTTCAATAAAATAACTTTATAATAATTTTATTTTCAATAAAACAAATTAATTACCTGTAAATCTTTCCCTGCATCTATCAGCGCTTTCTTGATCTCGAATCCTTCTTTAATGCTACACAGCGACGAATCATAGTTTTTGAGTTATTGGTGCACAAATCCTACAAATTCTAGATTTGAAGCCATCTGATAATTTTATCCTCTTGATTTAAACAGCAAAACAGCTTTATCAAACCATTAAATAGACTATTTGTAATTCTGCATAAAAAATTCAATATAGCCTAAAACAGACATGCAATGTGGGAGTTCATTATCTTCACCCTTTAAAAACTTAAAAGACCTTTTTGCAAAATCACTTGCACCTAAATAGGATCCTTCTATAGCCATTGATATTGCACAAAATAATATAACAACCCCTTTTTCAACATTCATTCTTTTCCTCTGGAACTCTTCAACTGATCTAAATATCTTCGAAGACTCTGTGAACTTTCCTTACTTAAAGTAAATTGCAGCAAGAGTCATTTTCTTTTCCAAATCATTCTAGCTATCTAATTTTAAGCTTTTTTCTATGTATTCTTCTGCCTCTTCAAATTTTCCTATATAAAAAATAGAAATATAAATAAATAATACACTTATTTAAAATTACCTGAGAGCAATTTTAATATAGAGGCTTGCCAATAGTTAGAGTCTAAAGTTAATTTTGAAAAGTCTCCTTTAATGTAATTCTAAGTGAAATTTATAGATTCATACACCAAGAAGAATCCTTCTTCATACCATTACTTTTAAGTGAGAATCTTTGTGACAAATTTTAAGATTTCGTATAGCTTAACAGCAAATTCACTTGCTATTTATGAGTTTTCTTTAGAAAAATACTTTTCATATTTGGAGAGAGTTTTTTTCATTTATTCAAAGCAAGTATAGATACCATTAATAGCAAGACTTTCACAATAAAGCAATGCCAATAAAAGAGATTATTCTTTTGTTTCTACTGTTGGAGGTTGTTATTTCATTAATTGTTAAATTTCCTTTAAAACCTCAAAAGACTTCTCTTGTAAACCTAGTTTATGCAAAAGCAAGCAATAATAAAATCTAAGTAAAAAAATAATGCAATTTTATCCAGGATCGAAATCTAAATCTTCATTTTTTTCAAAATCCCTATCCAAATTATAAGCTTCATTGAAAGTCTCTGATTTTTAAGTATATAATTCTTCGAGAACCTCAAGACCTCTCTGGTATAAACCCCAATCATAATATTTGCTAACTATCTTAAGAGCGAGTTTACTTGACTTTAGATAAATCTCCACTCTTTTTTCGTTCATTTCAGAAATGATATTCTCTTTATCCACAATGCAATCACTATATAACTCTGGTATTCTCTAATACTTTTCTCTCATATGATCAAGCACTTAAGTCAATTTCACATATCTAACTTAGTTAATTCCAAAGCATCCTTCTAGCAATTCTATCAAATTGTTGTGAGTATTTTTCTACTTTAAATTCTTTTGGTATTAATAAATTAATAAAGTAAATGTATATTGTTAGAAAAATTTACATTCAAAATGTCTTAAATAACCCCTAAATCATTTCTTATGTTACCTTGTCTACTAAGTATCTAAAGTACCATTTTTGCAGCTGACCAAATATCATTTTTCTCTAAATCAGTAACATCGATTTCAATGCCATGAATTTTTTTGAATACTAAGTCTGGATCTTGAAAGGGAAAATTATTTGCTTAATCTTTTTATTATAAAAAAGTAGTGCAATATTTGCTATCAAAACCTAAACAATTAACAAAAAAAATAGCATATTTATTTGCATCTATTTTAGACTTAGAAAACTTGTTTAAAACAATATTTCCTGTATGAATATTTGCATGGTATATATCTTACTACTTCATGACATAACTATAAGAAAAAATACTATTTAAAATATATAAAAGCTCTTCTTCCTAAAATTCTCTATCTCTAAATTTATCATAATCTTCTAATGTACAATTTCCATAATTTAGCAAAATAGCATTTTTTTTGACGTTTTCTTCTCTAATGCCAGGCGTAACCTGAACTCTTAACTTCCGTAAAATATCATTTAAATTTAATTCCTTGGTAAACTATTCTTCAGCAATATTATAGTAAATTTTTAATATGTAAGTTTCTTATGTCTTTAAATCGAAGCACTCAAACATTTCACCTAATTATGTTTCATTTGCATCTATAATTTTCAAATTAGGATCATCCAAAGAATCCAAAATCTATTTTTTCTCAGAAACGGCCTTTATTTAATCTGGATCTAGCATAAGATTCTTCAACTTTCCTTCTTCATATTCCATCATGATGGTTTGTTCTGTCTAAAACTTGTGACTAAAGACATAATCTCTAAAACCTTAAATATCTAAATCATTTTCTTACATTTATAACTTTGTTTATTTAATCTTTTAGTATGCAATTTTCTAAAATTTTATAAATTTAAAGAGTAAATATATTCTTTTTACAATTTTAAGTAATTAATTTATTATCTTAATAGATATCGAAATCATTAATAATCGATTTCACCATTCGTAAATTCTTTATGGAGTGCTAATAAATCAACTACTAACCATCCGCTCAGCTTATAATAATTAATCGTTATAAATTCAATTTTTTTAATTAATTTTAATCAATTCGTATTATTTGTATTAGCATATTATATAAAGATAATAATAATTATCATTAATACAAAACAAATGTATAAAAATAATAAGTAAATAAGCTTGAAGTATTTTCTTTTAATTAATTCATTAAAATTTGCTTGTTTTAAAGAAATTAATTAATCTCTTAAAAAATTGCTACTTGAAATTGTAAATTTATAATTCAAAATTATTTTATAATTGAAATTAATATTTATTTCTATATAAGACAATAATAATTATCAAAAATACGAAATAAATGTATAAAAATAATAAGTAAATAAGCTTGAAGTATTTTCTTTTAATTAATTAATTAAAATTTACTTTTTTTATAGAAATTAATTAATCTCTTTAAAAATTACAACTTGAAAGTGTAAATAAATTTAGAATTCAAAATTATTTTATAATTGAAATTAATATTTACAAATTTTTTAAAAGCAATAAATTAAATGTATGAATTTCCTTTATTAGATAAAATCTTTTGATAAAGAATTTATAAATGGTCCTACTGCAAAGAAGGTAGATTTTTTATTTTAAAAAAATTAATTTTTTATATTTAAAATTCTATTTGTTTAAAAATATTTTTTTTCATTTTTAGGATTTCAAATAAAGACAAACTTATAAAATTAATTACCTCCTGGAACCATTAGCTTTTTTTGTATAAGATAATATTAAAAGAAAAGCTTATATATCTAAAACTATACTTTCAATACTAAATAAATCTTATTAAGCTGAAAAATATTAATTTATGAATTATTTTAATTTTTTAATATCATAATTATTTTTAAAAATAATTCCATAAAATAAATTTAAAATAAATATTTAAATTTTTTACCTTTAAAAATATGGTAAAAAATGTGTGGCTAGCTCTATTCATTAGTTTTAATTTTAATTTAATAGAGTAATTATTTAAATAATTAAATTCATTTCAATTACAGATCAAAAGTAGAAGTAAAATAAAGTAAAAAATTGTTTCTAAGTAGGATTTATGAGTTTACTAAAATATGATTTGTTTTCTTCTAAATTCTATATGAATGTTGGAGGGCAACAAATTAGGAAAGGTACTATTTTCGGATTAACGTTATCGATATTAATTGTTGGATTAGCAACTTCTTATTTTATTTACATTCTTGAACAATACTTCACAAATGGAATAGAACCTAATTATAGAGAGTAAAGCTTCATATCTTAAGGATAAATTAATATAACTCTTGATAATAGCTTATTTGGATTTAGGTTTGAGTATGATGTCAATAAAAGCATCTAGCTATTGGAAAAATAATAAAATAAGACATATTTGGTTTTCATCGCTCTCTTCTTTTACAACGATAATGATTTCTATTAAAATATTTAACTTGACATAAACGAGTGCACAGATGAAAATCTCAAAGGATATTATTGCTTGGATTACAGTAAAGTTGCTAACTATTCTCTAACACTGAGTACAATAGATAATATTTAGTCATAAATTCAAGTGTTTACTTATGGATGCTTAGACTTAGATAAATTAAAGACTACTATTCCAGATAATTGCGCTAGCTAAACTGATATTGATTAAATAGTAAACGGATTAAATGCAGGTTAGAGACTGAAGCTATTAACTTCTTAGTATAATGTAACATCTGAATTGAGATAGATTAATTTTAGAAACTCATTTATATATACTACTGCTGATTAATATATATTAAGTACTTTTAAAACATAAAAGCAAATAACTTAAATTAAATAAGGTTACTTTGTTTAATCTTAAACTAGCTTTTCTTCTCCAATTTAATACGATTTATAAAACTAAGTCCTAGATAGGCAATACGCTTTGAAATAAGTTGGAGAAGGACCTTATTTGTAAATTAGCATTACGATGGACGAAATTGTATAATAAATTCAAGTTTAGTACTCAACACTACCTTAGGTATTAGCTTAAGTTAATAGCACAATCGCTGCATTGATGCTTGTAGGAATTTTAGGAAAGAAATTTTCATAGAGCTCTTTGAGAAATGATTTTTTCTTGATTTTATTGAAAAATGTATTTTAAGAAAAATATTTTGAAATGCTTAAAATAAATAAGTTTCTTGAAAAAAGAGATTTAGATGAGCAAAACTTGGTTTACTAAAAAAACTTATCGCAACAACAAATTGAAGAGAACTTGGAGAGACTTGAAAAGAACGAAAACACCACTATCTTAATTCCAACTAACAATTACAAATTCAAGCAAGAATTTCAGAAAAAAGCTAATGATGAAGTTAGTAACACATATTTATATGATGCCTGTTAAGATGAAGGAAAGCAGATAGACACAACTTTTACTGTATAGAAAAAAATTGACTACCAACAAATTGAAGTAAGTTAAAAAGAAATATTTTCAGATAAAAAATCAACTACAGACTAAATTGGGTTAAATAAGGAAGATAGCATTAAATATTTAAACGAAAAATGTAATTTAAGTGTTGATGATTAAACTAGGTCTGTAAACGGAAGTATGAATTTAAGAAATAAAAACCGAAATGTATGAAATTAAAATATACTTATTTGTTAATTACATACATACATACTACATTATATAAGTTACAATTCAAAAAAATTTTTTCTTATTTTGAAATTTATATTTTTGGTACAAAAAAAATAGAAAAATAAATAATAAACATAAAAAATGGTTATAGTGTAAAAACTTATAAAATATATTTTTTAATTTAAATAATACATTTATATCTACCACTATTGCTTGAATCTCGAACGACTAAATAGTTTACTTGATCGAAAAAGGAGTATTATCAAACGTGAAATAAAATAAAAAAACATCTTGTGAGACATTGAGGAATATATAGGAATATCATTTCTTGATAAATAAATAATATATTCCATTCTTAATAAATTTTATTTACAACTTTTTATATGTTTTTAATGCAATAAAAGCTCATCTTTATTTGAATAAACTTATTTATGTAAGCCTATTAACTAATATACCTTTAAGAGATATCTTATTATTGAATTACCTAAGACTTATGAATATTATACAAATAATTATAATATTTAAATAAGTCAAAAATGCAGTAAATCCTTTTGATTTATAATTAATCTGAAAAAATGTTGAATATAAAATGCTGTATTAAAACTTCAAGACTAAATTTAACTTAAAAAAGTTTAGTTCCTATTTAAAAAACCAAAAGAGAAAAAAATTTAAACAAAATAGGATGATTGTTATTCTCCAAAACGGTTATTAATAAAAATTTTCTAATTTCTAAGAATTCGAAAATTTGAAATAAATCTTTAAAAAGACTTTGAAGAGAATTAGTTAGAGGTAATTGAAACCCATAAAATAATCACTAAAACATTTTAAGCTTTTGTGTTTAAGCTTAAAAATATATAATTCACAGACCAAGCACTGAGCTCTTTCTAGTAAATATCTTCCATCTTCATATCTAAATGATATTAAAAGTCTTCAATAGGTACAACTGCTTTTGCTTTAAAAAATCATAAATTATTTTATAGCTTTATAAGGGATCATTAATTTGGCCATTTTAGGTCTATTATTATTAGGTTATTTATAAACTAAAATTTTTTAATTAAAAATATGCATTCTTGCTTTTCCTTTTTTGCAAAATTAATTTTTTTAATTCTTTTTTTTATGATTCTAATTTTAACAATTCAATAATTATTATCAAAATATTTAAAATTCAAGAATTTTTTATTGTAAAAAAGATATAGGAAATGATTAACTAAAAAAAATATTTCTCTTTTTCACTCAAAAATAAAAGAAAAAAATAGAGTAAATATTTGTTATAATTTGAAAAATTGAATTTTATTAAATTTGAATAAAAAATATGTAAATTTATAGGCATTTTATTTAATTAGTGATGAAATAAAAAGGAAAGAGGATATTTAGGTTTAAATAACATATTTAGAAATCATTTGACTTGCTTGACCAATAAATACGTAATTAATTAATTATTGATTATCTAATTTACAATAAGTTTAGAATAATATATTTATAATATTTATAAGAAATATACCCAAAAACAAACGAAAGCAAGCTGCTTTGAAAACAAGCAAGCAAGCAATCACTTTATTATAATTTTTAAAATTTTTCTTTAATTTTTAATAAGATGTTATGACTACGCTAGAGATGAATTTTCTTATAAATTTAAATGCCTAATAAAAGGAAGTGATAATTGCTTGTTAAAGAAGCAAACATATCAATCAAATTTAATTAAAAAAGAAGAAGAACTTTAGAGTAAAAAAAGAATACTATCATCAAAAGCATATAAGAATAAATAGATATCACCAAATTTTGAAATGGCATCAAAAAAAGAGAATCATGACTATCTTTATAAAAGTATTTTAGTTTGATTTTATTCTTGCTCTTCAACCATCAATTTAATAACTAAATAGTTATCATGGTTGGTGATCCTCGCGTTGGAAAAACCAGTTTCTTGATTAGGTAAATTATTGCAAAATTTCATCAATTCAAGCAAGCAAGCAAACAAGCGATTATTAAATATTCTGAAGATAATACAAAATAAAATACTTTATAGCCAGAAGCTTGAGTTTATTTTGTTTTTTAATAGATATATAAAAGGAGTTCTTCCTAAGAGTCCAATGCCAACTATAGGTGTAGAATATTTATCAAAGTAAGTTTTATTATCTGGAGGAGAAGGCATTGTAAAAGCATAGATCTGGGATATGTGTAAAAATTCATTAAAATAAATTTGAAAAGATTAAAAAGCATACTTAAATGAAGAAAGAGCTTATACTATCTTTCTAAATGGAGTGTAAGCTGTTGCTTCATTAAAATTGATTAATTTTATTATGTTTTCATTGTGATAAATCTCAATTTTTTTAAATAAATATAATAGCTGGATCAGAAAAATATAAATCAATTTCAGTAGCGTAATAGAATTTAAATTTCAAATTTGAAAGATTTTTAGGATATAGTTTGTTCGAATTGAAACTAAAGATTACTTACTTCTTGAATCTTTATAGACGATAAAAGAATCATTTTTATTTAATTTATTTTTAATAGACATTATCGCAAGAGTGTAGGAGCTTTATTATTCTTCGATTTAACTGAACTTGAGTCCTTTAAGAATACCAAAAAATGGTTATAAGAAATAGAAAATCACACAGAAGAAGGAATCAAAATTATGTTGATAGGTAATAAACTAGATTTAATAGAAGAAGACCCTTCATAGCGTAAAGTAGATAAGCAAGAAGTAATTGAGTTTGCAAAAAAACATAATTTAATTTATGAGGAAACAAGTGCAGTTAGTGGTAAAAATGTCAAGGAATCATTTTAGACCTTAATCGAATGTAAATAAATCATTTTATTTTATAAAAGCGTGAAAATGTTAATTAATTTTTAAATTAAATAAAAATAGCAATTTATCGCGATAGTGTAGAAAATGGTTAGGATTATAAGCCCAAACTCACCAATGATGGACCCATAGTAATTAAGAAAGAAGATTTGGAAAAGCCAAAATAATCTAATGATTGCTGCTGCAATTGATAAGTCTTGAAAAGATAAAAATTATAATAACCTAAACCCATACATACATACTCAATAAAAAATAAATACTACAAAAATAAATAAACTCTTTTTAAGAGATTAATAAATAAAATTCAAGCTTTTCATTGATTCATAGATCAATTTATTGAAACGAAAATTGGTTTTTTGGCATCATAACTTATTAACCTGCATTATTTTGAATATCTAGTCTAAATATTTTCTTCTAATTATTAATTTTGTCTTATACTAAGAATATATATAATATAAACAAATATCATTCAATCAGTAGTGATATTGTTAGTAACATAATTAGTTCATTCATTCATTCGTTGGTTCGTTCGTTAGTTCGTTCATTCAGCCATCAATGCATTAATACATACATACATCATATATTAATTTATTTTATAAAGAACATTATGCTATTGTAAATTATAAATAGCAATCAGTTAAATAATTGATGGCAATAGTAATTTTAAAATATTATATGGATTATGATTATTCATAACATAAATATTACTTAAAATCATTAAATATTTAATCAAAAACCAACAATAAAAAAATATGAATAATAATCAATAAAAGTATGCTCTTTTCCGAATAAAAGCAAGTAAATCTATCCTTCCTCTCGTTTGATTCAACAATCAATATAGATAGTGTTTTTAAATAAGAATTATTGCATACAATATTTTAGTGCATATTTAAAAATAATAACAAATCGGATTTAGAATAGTAGATTTGCATACAACTTGCTCTTTTACCAAAAATTTGGTAAATAATAATAAAGAATTTTTTAATTTATAAAATATAATATTACAATATTTATTTCATCAATAATGCAGTGAAGTTCATCATAATACATACATACATTCATACATAAATACATAAAAATAAGCAAGCAATCAAACAATTGAGCAAGCAAAAATATAAACTTATATATTGACTTTTTTCTAATATTTTTTTAAATTATATTATTTTATTATAATTTTGTATTATATAGAGGTATATTTTATATTTACATTTTAATATTAAAAATCAATGATTCTTTGCACTTTATTTCAAATAAATTAATTTGATTTAATTTTTAACTGATTTTTCATAATTAAGAAAATTATAAATAAATTAAAAAGATACTTCTTTAATTAATTTTTAAATTTCAAAAATTTTGTAAACAAATATTAATTAATAAATCGAAATGTAAAAAATATAAAAAGAAGTATAGATCTTATGAGATATGAGATAGCAGATTGAAAATAATTTTTAATTCCCCTTCAGACTGCAAGAAATACGCACCATGATTAAAAATATCAAATAAATAATTTCTTTGCCAGTCGCACTCCTTACCCTCTGAAATTCAATCTGAAAAAATATCCTGCTCATTAGAGATATAATTTTGCTTTTTAGCAAGTTGTTAGATCAAAATCATTGCCATTGCCATAATCTTTTTTCTTACAATTTTAAAATGAAATATTAAATAAAATAAGATGAATTAAAGAGAGAAAAAGAACACTTTAGAGAGATATATTAATAGATTGAATCATTAGATAGATGAGTAGATTTGATTGATTATTTTTTAATAAATAATAAAATAAAATAAAATGAATTAAATAATATAATAAACTAAACATAAATATAAACAAAATAAATTAATTAATAAAAAAGGAATAAACCAAATAAAAAATATGTAATAAATTGAATAAAAATAAATAAATCCAAAACAAAATAAACCAAATAGATAGATAAATTAATAATGAAACTCATATGAAAATTAATAAAATATAAATAAATTTATCTTATTAAAATTAAAATTACAATAATTTACATTAAATAAAGACTGATTTCTTATGAAAGCAATATTCCAATTATTTGTTTTCTTATGTTTTTTAAATAATTCATTTTAATGTATTTTAAATATAAAGTCAAATAAATAATTGATTGTATTCACATGAGATAATAATTTTTTTATTTTATTTGTATTTCATATAATCAATTTATTTGGTTTTTATTTTTAAAATTAATCCAAATTAGTAGATTGATTGATAGAATTTTAATAAAACTTAAAGCTTTTTGAAAAAATAAATAAATATCTTTATTAGATACTCTATACTTTTTAGATACTTTTATTTTAGAAGTTCAAATATGTTCGTTAACTTTTTGAATATAAAATTAAGAGAAAAATTTTCACCACAAAATTAATTAATTTAAAGATTCATCACATAAATTGGTTGATAATCAGTTATGAAGAAGGAAGATTTATAAATTTTAGCCACTAAAAAAATGAAACATTCAAAATAATTCAAGAGAAATAGCGATTATTTAAATGATTGAATAAACCATAGTGAATTTGTAACAAACAAACAAACACATTATTTATTTAATATCTAAGATATTGAGTACTTAATATAGGCTTTTAAATGTTTAATAAGGGGCTTTAAAGTTACCCTAGAAAAAAGAAAATAAGAAGGAAATGCAAAATCTCTTTATTTTAAAAATATTGGATGCAGAGATTCCAAAGAACAAAAGAAAAAATCAACAAGCAGGTGATCGAATACATGCAAAGCAATGCATTTCAAGTTAAAAGAAAAAATTAAAAAAAAATTAAAAATATAAAAAATTAAAAAGCCAATTAAAAAGCTACTTACTTACTTATTTATTTTGAAAATGGATAATAAATCAAAAAAACAAGTCAAAGAATATGACGCTAAGGAATTTTCTCCTTGCGATATGAAAGTCATTTTACTAGGTGACTCAGCAGTTGGAAAATCCAAGTAACTAGCCTTTTAAATTGATATTTTTTACTTAAGAGTCTAAATTTAGATTCAATTTATTTAATACTAATTGCTTTTAACATCAACAATTATTTTATAAAATAGGCTTGTCGAAAGATTCTTGCTTGATGATTAGTAATTGATTTTTTTAAATAAACCATCTTGCATTTTACTTATTGTTAAAGCTTCTAAAATCTATTTTTTTAACTATTAGCGAAGAGAGAAATATGTCAACTTACGCATTAACCATGTATCGTCATGTAGCTAATCTTGATGGAAAGCAATATAAGATAGGTAAATTGCATTAAAAATACATTAGAATTTTCTTTGTTTTTTATCATTTTTAGATTGTGTAATACTTTTTTAACTTTTACTTGTTTTAAACAGATATTTGGGACACTGCAGGCTAAGAATAATTCCAAACTCTTCATGCTTCTTATTACTTCCAAGCAAATTGCTGCATTTTAGTTTTTGACATTACAAGAAAAATCACCTATTTAAATCTTAAAAAGTGGTACACTGAAATGAGAGAACACTGTCCAGACATCCCTTGTATATTAATAGCCAATAAGATTGATGGTATTTAATTATTAGTTTTCATATTAATTTAAGCTAACCAAAATAGATTTAAATAACCAATTTAATAAATAAATATAGCTGATCGTAATGTCACCAACAAGTAGTTTAAGTTTGCAACCCAACATAACTTACCCTTCTATTTCGTTTCTGCTGCTGATGGAACAAACGTAGTTAAAATCTTCTAAGAAGCCCTTAGATTAGCTTTAGATAATAAGATCAATCCTCCCAATAAAGATGATAAATTTTTCGAGGATCTTATAAATGATGTAAAGATTCAAATAGAATTAAATAAATTTAATTTTAATTTATTTTACTTCGATAAAATTAGAAAGACTTGTTCGATGACTTAGATGATTGAAAAAGAAGAGCTTGTATTTTATATATATTTAAAAATTAATTTGCATCCAGAAGTAGAAAGAGAATAAGAAATAACTCTATTTTAACACTCAGTCAGCTTAAAAAGAAAACTTAATAATTTTAAGTTATTATCAGAAAAAAAAAAATAAATAAATGAATAAATTAATATAAACTTTTAAAAAGCTAATTAATAATTATTAAAAATATCTTAATATCAAATCTAATTATCAATTATTATCTATCTGTCTTGTTAGTTATTAACTTAAAATCGTAAACTACACAAAACTCTATATAAAGTATCTTATTTTTTTAGTTAAAATGTTCTTTCAACAATTTTTATTTCATTCATTTTTCTACCAAAATATTTAATTTAATTAAAGAAAATAATCAAATTATTTTTTATATTTTTATTTTTTTAATTAAATAAAATTTAATCATATATTTTTAACACAAAATTTTTGAATTTTGTATTTTTTACAAATTTCAAAAGCAATAGCAATAAGTATTTTTTGAACATATACAAGAAGTCTCCCTCCGCTTTATTATCTATTGTTTTTGCTTTTTGTTTAATTTTTTTCATTTATTTTATTTTGTTTATTTGATTTCTTTTATTTTTTTTACTTGATTTTTTTTATTTCTTTTATATTTATATTCTTTTATTTTAATATTTTATTTATTTATAATTAATATTTATTTTTTTATTTTTCATTAATTAAAATCTTTCTTTTTTATGTTCTCTCTTTGAATCTCCTCAAGAATCTAGCCTCTCAAAATGATGATGATGATGTTTTTATCTAAAATTATTATTTTAAATTGAAGAAGCGCTGGGTAATAGAAGAACTGTGTTGTTGGGTCGGGGTATGTTTGTAATTTTTAAATTTAAAATAATTTGTATTTAAAAAACTGGGGTTAGGAAGTCACAACAATCATGTTTATTGCGGGTTTTAAAAACTAATATTTTATTTTAAATTTATTTCAGAGTACAAACTTCTGTTTCTAATTACAACATAATGATATTTTATCATGTTTTTGTAAAATAGAAAATTTAAAAACTTACATTTCATAGTTTTATGAAATGCCTAATGTTTCTTTTGAATTTCGAAGTTTACTTTTTTCCTTCTTGTTAATTTAAATTTTTTTTCCTTTCTTTTGAAAAAAGATTATAATTTTTCTTAATTAATTAATATTGTTTGCTTTATTTTTCTTACTTCAAAAAATTCTCATCTATCAAATAAATAAATAAATTAATTAATTGATTTGATTAATTTTTTTAATTTGCGAAATAAAATTTAGTTATAAAAATTAATAAGATTTATCACAACTATAAAAGCAGAACTGAAAAATAAAGAAAAAAATTGCAATATTAATTTGTTAAGAAACTTTTAATTGAAGACAGACAAACAATTATAAAAAGAAAAGATATGGAAAACTTAAATTGAAAAGTTTTTATAGCGATTTTCTATTACTCAAAAAAACTGAATTTAAAAATGGAGCACAAATTCAATGTTATTCATTAACACCTTTTTTATTTTTCAGTTTGTAGTAGAAAGAGGTCCTAATTAGATTTTTTCTTTTGGACTTCAATTACCTTTCTCATATATTAACAGACAAACATCATTCATTCATTCAATTTAAGTTTCCAGAAATCTTAGAATTAGAAATAGAAATTAAGGATTGACAAAAATGTATAAACTAAAATTCTCAACAATTATGAAAATAATTTTATTTAAATAAATTAAATATTTTTTTACCCTCAATTTAGTCCCATTAAATATAATCTCAGCGTGTCTTTTATTTCTTCTTTACAAATCTTAACTTAATCTAATAGTCCCAGATATTAATAATATATATTACTCAACTAATGATTTCTGAAATAAACCTTAACGATAAAATTTTAATATAAAAAATTACAAATTTTGCTTAACAATTTAATCTAAAAAATAATTAATAAGTGTCAATAAAAATCACCATAATTTCTGCAATAAAAAAATAATCATATAAATTAAAGAAAGTAAAAAGATAAATTTAAAAGTAAAAAGAAAAACTCATTTAAATAAAAAATTAAAATAGAACAATTAGTAAAACAAATTTAAATAAACATCACTTTTTAAATAGAAGTTTGTTTTAATTGGCTATTTAGAAAAGCTAAATAAATTTAGTTTTTAGGTTTCATTTCTTTTCCTTAAAATTAATCTGCAAATGCTATATGTTTTAAAATTAGCTTTTTTTTCTAGTTTTAGATAATATTTTATTTCTTAAAAAATATCTTTTAAACTGAATCTTCGTAAAAAAATAATGAAAAAAACCATATTTTGAACATTAAAAATAAATAACTTTCAAAAAAGTATATTACTTTTGAATTAAAATTTTTTGATGCATGTATTCTTTTAGAAGATAAATTTCTCTCAGGAGATAATCAAATTTATCATTCACCAATATTTAAAAAACAACATCTAAAAATACTTCTTTTTTAATAATATTATTAAAAAGTGGGAAAAAGAACTTATTTATTTTAATAAATCAATTTATTTAAAAAATTTTTGATTTTACCCAAATTTGTTTGATGAATTAAATATTAAAAACATTACAAGAGAACGAAATTTATGAAGAGGGCAAGGCCTATCCCTATCATAAATGTAGACTTTAGAAAGGTGAAGACAGGAATTTCAAGCATAAATATATATTAAGCTCATTTTTATTTATTTAGGTGGATTTAAAATGAACTACGTAGAAGATAACAGCACTAGAGCAGTTATGGTAAACGTATTAAAGTAAATAGGAGTTAAGCTTTATAATGGTGAAATTAGTAACGCCATGCAAATTTCAAGACCTGCAGCTATGTGCACAAGCTTAAGCGTTCTCGAATGCATTGCCCAGTACTACAATCTATCTATATTTGTAAATATATATCTTAATAATTTTTCTAAACCAAAAAGTGATCACGTTTACACAGATTTTTTAAAAGAAGCAGCAAGCAGCGACCCTTTAAGATAAATGCAATTAGTTTGTGCCCACATGGTAAAAATATGAAAATAAGACAAAATCTCATTTTAAAATATTTAATCATTAGATTTCTGGGCTTCACTATAATTCATCTAAATTATTTACAAAAGCTCCACTTGAGCCAACCTTAGGAGAAACACTATAAGTAATTTTTCATTTTAGAATCGCATCTATAATCAAATATGTTAATATTTTTTTAGTTATAAAAAAGTGATGGAACAAAATTTTTAGCTGAACAAATATGCTAAAATCCTCCTATTGCAAGTGTCATTATGATTGGTCCTGATAACTGTTACAGATAGTATCACTCTCATTAAGTAAATACCAATATTTATTGATGTTTTAAATTATATTACATATTTATATTTGAAAAATAGGTTAAAGTCAATTTGAATAAAAACCTAAACTCACTCGTCGGAAGAGCACTTGGTGAATAAACATTTTAATTTAAGGATAGCGAAATAGTTTCTGAGTTAGCAGAAATGTAATTCTTTTTTAAAGAATTATCTAAACATTTAAATTTAATTTTTTATAAATATAAAAGCCACATAGATGGTCTTTTGGTGGGAGATAGAGCATTTCACTATAAAGGAAAGGTTGAACTTTTGAATAAAAAGCAAAATTTAAAAGCAGTCATCAACTTTAATTATTAAGTAAATAAAAATTGTTTTTCATCTTTAAATGGACTTATAATTGTTTTATTTTAATACAGTCTGAAGGCCATATTGCTAAAATTTCAAATACAATCAGTTCATTATTTGGTGGATCTAAAAAGAAAAATGAAAATGTATTAGAAAAGGATTCTTTTGATATATCAATTTATAAAATTAGCTAAAATGGAAACCAAAAAGACAATGATGATTGCTAAGCATGTATCTCTAAAGGTAATGGAAATTGGTTAGCATTCTTATAGTTTGATGGCAAATTATTCTGGAAGATTGATGACCATAACGAAACATGGTCACCTGATGAAAAATTATTGAGTAGTGATAGCACATTTAGACTAGATAGATAATTAATACAAAAAAATAAAATAGAAGAAGCATAAAAGTAATTTGACTTAAATAAAATATACATTAAAAAATTAATAACGCTTTATTAAACATAGGGAAAAAATTAGAATTGAAGCAGAAGATTAAAAATTTAAAAAGCTTAGAAGCTCCTCTAAAAAGTGAAAGCAAACAAGCAAGTAAGCAAGCAAGCAACATTGTAATAAATATAAAAAAATTTAATAGAGTCTTAAAAATATTCATGTTTATTTAATTGTATTCAAAATTTTAATCTTTTTATTGAATTGAATAAAAAACTGATAAAAATATTTTGTAATTTATTTTAAAATTTATTATATTATTTTTAAATAAATTATTAATAGCTTAAAATACAATAATTAATTTTGTTAGTTCTTTAAATTCAAAAAAAATCAAGTTTAATATTTAATCAATTTACAAATTCTTTGGAACTTAATTCCTTTATGTTTTCAATAATAAAGTTTACATTACAATCTAAAAGTATAAATAAGTATGCTGATTTTAATTATTATTTAGCCATAATTATATATTTATTAACTAGAATTTTTTAAAGTTTTTTATAAATTTTCATATTAATTATATTTTATTTCAAATTGAATTATTATACATTTACATAAAGCTGTTTAAATTTTAATCAATAATCACTTTTGTTAATAAAATAGTTTGGTGGCAACTTATGTTGAATCCACTTTTTGAGATACTTAATTTCTAATTCTCTTCCTTAAACAACACTTTCTGGATCGCCTTCTTGAGGTAAACGGAGATCATTGTGATGAGCAGATGCATACATGTAATTAGTAGGCTGTTTTTTATTAAGATTTTAAACAATTTTTTTTAAAATAAAATAATTTTTACCAAATCTTCACTAAGGTATTCAGTTGGTGAACCACCACTCCAAGGATCTAACATACCATTTGAGAAGAAGATGTTGGAGAAATTTTCCATTTCTAAATCATTTCTACCTCCGTAAAAATCTAAAGCCCAGTCATAATTAGGGGTAACTCCATAGGTGTAGTTGCACCATTCTTTGTATTATTCAAAGTTCCCTTTAATTTATTAAATATAAAATAATTAACCCATCTATAATTTTATTTAAAAGTAATTTTTACATGGTTGGTTATAGAACATATCTGTTTTTCCATTCGAAGCCATTGGTAAGACCATATCAGAGCAAGCAAGAATATTCCATCCACTCATATCATTATCTGAAGCACCATCATCTCCTTGAGAAATATCAGAACAGTTAGCTGATTGGTCATAATTATAAAAGGTATCAGTAGATAATTTAATAGCTGAAAACAATTCAAAGACTGTTGAGTTGCTATTGACTGCCTCCATGGGAATGCAAGAAGCATTTGCAGGCCAAGCTGGCATAGATCTTAAGAAACTGCTGGCTTGAGGATAGTTAGTCATAGCCATATAGCTGTAAGCAGTATCCATATATGTTCTTAATTGAGTTAATCCAGTGCTGTTTGTTATAGGTTCACATGTGTTCATAGCTTAAGATATGTTAGCAAATATAGAGTCATATTGATACTTAAAATATTTAGTGGACATAGGTGAGTCAATTATGTTGGTCAAGTATTAATAAGCTTAGTGAATCTTATCACTGCAACCATTCTAAGCATAATTTCTAGTAATGATTGAATAAAAGAGAGTTTGATTTAAACCTTCTCTATTTAAGAACTAATAAATAGGAGCAGAAGCAGCTAAACTTGCGTCAACAACATTAGGGAATTTCATTCTGATCCAAGCAGCTAACATACCACCATAAGAACCTAAATTTAAATAATTAATTAATTAGCTCAAAGTTAAATTAATTTAAAAATGTTTACCTCCAATAGCAATAACGGGACATTCATCATCAGCACATCCTAAACTCTTCTTAAACCAGTTTAAGAAAACAACATAATCATTTAAAGCTTAGAGAGAAGTCAAATATTTATTATTACCCTTTTTAAGAGATTCTTCTTCATTTCCAAAGGGCCAAGATTCTCCAAAGTATCTATGTTCCATAAAAACGACCAAACCGTTTAATTCCTTTGCTAAAGTGTGAGTCTAAAAACCTGTGTTATTGTAGAACATTTCAATAGGGCCTTCATTTCCACAATAGAATAAAATTGGTCCCTTATCATATCTGTAGAAATCATCTTTAACCAAATATTTCTACTTAAAAGTTAAATCATTCATCTCAAAGCCTTCGTGATTAACTTTTTAGTCAAAGTAATAAGTCTTATAATCTTGACCATTGCAAGATATGGCTAAGATTAAAAGGATCACAAGAAAAGATTTCATATTAATTTACTTTTTTAACTCTTTTAAACCTAATTTATTCTAAATAAAAAGACTAATTAGTGATATGATAGATCAAAAAATTTAATAAATATTTGATTAAAAATTAATTAACTAATTAAAAAAGAATTTGGTTTATGTAAATGCTCTGATATTTTCTTTTATAAATGCGCATATCTCATAAATAACATAGTAAAATCATGTGAATTTTAAGGATTTTGTTACAAATCAAATTATATTCAGATTATTCTGATCTATAAAAAAAATGTATCAATAAGCATTTATTTGATTAAAAAAACTGTTAAATTAAATAATATTTTTTGCTAAAATATTAAAGTATTTAGTAGAATAACTTTAAGTAAAAATAATAATATATTTTTGGTTGATTTTTTTGTTTTTATAGCAAAATGTTCAAAAAATTACTTGAATAGATTGTTTTTATTTTCAAATTTAAGATACTTGTAATTGTAAGATCAGTAGATTTTATTAGTTATTATTATTTTACTTAACCATACTTCTTAAATTTAATAATAAAAGCTAATAAAATAATCCTGAAGATAATTAATATATGATTAACATTCAGCATTTTAAAATCTGTTTGAATAAAATTATTTAATGCAATCAATATATGCTTATTATACCTTGTTAATTAATAATTAGTATCAATTTATTTAAATATTTTATTTTAGGACTTAAACAATTTTTGAAGATAGATATTTCAATCTCAAATTATATTTAGTGTTAATTTTCTAATTAAAATTTAGATTAAATATCTTATAAACACATTATTTTATATATTATACTGATAAATAAATTAATATTTTACTGAATTTGTTAACTTTATTCATGGATTTTAGCTTTAAATCTGAAATAATGGTAAATTTTAAGTTATTAATGATCTATTTATGAAACTAACTGAATTACATTAAGATGGTACCATAAAAGAATTTGGTTATTTCAAATTATTTAGGGAAAAACTATTTCTGACCGTTTATTTTTTGATTTAATTAATTTTAAAAAAATAAAAATGTAATATCATTTGTGATATTATCTTATATTTACTATTATTATTGATATTTTATAATAATTTTAAACTATCATAATATCAATTAATCACCTTAAATTAAACTAGATAATTTAAAATTATTGTTTCGCATTTAATTTATTTTTATTTGCTTTTTGTGCTAAATTAAAAAAAAACGTTTTTATGAATTTCTGAAGAAAACATTAGTTTTTAATAATATTAATTTAAAATAAATATAAAATTAATTTTTTAAAAATAACAGAAGAAAGATCCTCATTCATACAAATAACAATAAAAAATAATTTTATATAAAATTATATCTCATTATATAAGGATTAAAAAATGGATTAATTATGTTTAAATGTCATAACTTATTTATTTCAAGAATTTATGATACTTGTTTAATTATTAATTAATTATTTACTTATTTTTTTTGCATTTAGAAAGATTAAGTTGATGTAACCATAAAAAATAAATTAATTCATTCGATTAAAAAATATCTATTGAATTAATTGTTTGATTATGAAATTTTGATTTTTTTTAATGCCTTAGAAATATATTGTCAAATGTTATTCTTTACAAGTTAGCAGAAGAAATTATATGTAAAATGTAATTAACTTGAATAAATCTGGAAAAGAATTAATTAAATATATTATAGTAATTTAAGAATCAAAATATACAAAAGATTGAATTCGTTGGTATAAAAGCTAGATTTAAATATTAATTTTAAAATAAGTAGAGGTGAGAACAGCATATATTTATTTATTGATAGAAGATAAAACATCAGTGATGAAATTTTGAGTGGATATATGAATTAACATTTAAGAAATAGATCCAAAAGTTAATCAGAGATTATAGAAGAGAAATTTTATTTGTAGAATTTAGAAGATGCCAAACTTATAAGCCAAAAATCTTGCATGCCGTAAATTAAGCTTAATGATTTGGCAGACATTGAATTGAAAAATAGCGTTGAAAATTTAGATGAATATAAATATCATAACTAGGTGTACTTTAGCAATATTCCACTCAAAAATATAAACAGACAAAATTAATCTAAAAAGTAAACTAATTTTGATGATGATGCTGCTGCTGCCAGCAGTTAGAGTAGTTAATAGTACTCGTTTAGGAGAAACAAAATTGTTTTACCTAAATTCAATTATCATAACAATCTAATACAAAACAACTTTTAGCTTATATTTTAAAGTAATGGCGATAAACAGTATCCATAACTTGAAGATGAGGGAGGAGATTAACCACAAGTGGTTGATCTAAATCAATAAGTAGTACCAAACAAGCCTACTAATGAAAAAGAGTAAATAAAAACAGATTCTACACTCAAAACTTAATCTAGATCTGCTAGTGAGTTATCTCAAAGAAAAAATTATTACTTTTAAGATGACAAAAGTGTAAATGCTGAAAATTTAAAATAAGGTCAAGCTATTTCAAGGTAATAAAAATAAATTTTTCTTTATTTAAAATTGTTTTCATTAAAATAATTTATTCTAAAAAGACGTTCCAAAAGATAGTCATCCAAATAATAAAGACAGAAGATTATTGGAAAACCATACGATGTGATATTTAGATGGTCTTAGTTTTTTGAGACCCTAATTTATTTTATGATTTTTGGATTTTTAATTGGTCCTTTAGCCACTTTAGTAGTTTACTTAAAAACTGGGTCTTTTCATATGGCGCATAATATGGGGTTTTATGTAAAAAGCACATTTAATTTGATCACTTTATACATATGCTTTGTCGGTATTACAGTTATGATATTTGTAAAGTTAAATTCTACAGAAAATATTGTTTTGTATTACTCAGAATATATATTTATTAATTTCTTGATGTATTTGATGCTTTCAATTAAGTTTGGTAATTATTAATATCTTTTTTTTAATGAAAATAATGATTGAATATAAAGTTTAATTTAATAAATTAATTAATGAAAATAATTTTATATAAATTAATAGGCTACATGCATACTTTGAAGTATTAGAAATATAAAACTAGCTATTTGAAGGGATCTGATTTGATTGAGGATTATTTAAGAAAATATTGGAAACACTAAGATGCAAGTATTATATAAAAAGAGTTGCATAATAGCATACAGAGGAACGAAGTAGAACTTTCAACTTTCTGTTTGGAATTTATAATAAATCCTTCTTAACAAATAATGCAAAAGCTAGGACAAAATTACATGTAAATAATAATAAATAAGAAATATTTAATTATTTTTATTCATAATTTAATATAAAAAAGAAAAAGACCTAAATTAAAAATACTTAACCATGAAAGAAATTTAGACAATTTAGTACATTGCTACAATATCATTCTCTACTTGATAGATTATTACAACTCTAATTTTAGTAATAAGAATCTCACTTTAAAGTCTGTATGCATTGTTGTAGTAAGGATCATTTACAATATCTTCATAAAGTAGCTAATTAATTAATTTCACTCATAGAAATTTAATAAATTTTATTTTGATTTTTGTTAGGATATATCCTGTGATAAATGGCGATTTAAAAGTTGATGTATACTCTTTTATTTGCTTTACTATGATTATGATTGTTGAAACATATTGTCTATTCTACTTTATAGAGATTGCTTACATTCTCCTGAATGATTTAAAGAGAAAAGAATTTCTACTAATTTAATTATCGTATTTGATTTCTCCTAAAAAAATAGAAGCTATCAACTAGTTCAACAGAAGAAAAATTTTACCGACACTCACGATGGGTTGTCCCATAAGCATAAGATCTTGGGGAAAAATGAGGCAAGTAATTATGGACTATGGTAAAGTATTTGAAAACAGGTCAAACTTTTTCCTTTCATGCTACTTGCTTTTTATAGAGGGAATCACAATATTTGTATTACTGAGTGTTTTTGGGATTATTAAAACAAATTTGCAACTTAATCTTCAGGATATATTGATCATAGGGTATGATCTTTTGCTTTTTCTAATTCTGACTTCTAAGTGCTTTATGACTGCGGCCGCAATAAATGAACAGTCAACACTGCACTAAGGTATAATAATGAATAACAAAATAATATTCACTGAGATTTCTCTAAACTATGAGTTATATTCAAATAAAAATATTCACCTTACAAGCTGTGTGTACTCCACTTTAATCAATAGCTTTAGCAGAATTGTAAATGAAATAGAGTATAGCCACGTGGATTATGTAGAATATACTTGGTAGATACAAGAGTTATATTAAAATCTGATTTAAGAAATAGATATCTATTAATAATACAGACCGATGAAGGTAACAAACATAGTGGTCTCAAAAAATTTAGTAATTTAAATTTTCCTTTCTACTTTATCTGCACTAGTGGCGTTAATATGGCATTAAGAATTATAACCATTGATTTTTAAGGATTTTTGAATAAATTAAACCAAAAATGCATCTTTTTCTTCAACATATAAACATTTTACTTTTATAAAACTATAACTGAACCAATCTTACTTAAACAATTATTTCAAAGTAAATTTAACAAATTATTTTAATTTCTATCATTTATTTATGCTAATTTATATTTTATTTTAGCAAGATAAAATTATAACAAAATTTAAAAATTATATTTTTGTAATTTCTATAAAAAATTTAAAAATTATATTTTTGTAATTTCTATAAAAAATATTAAACATTTATGTAGGTTTAAGCAGTATTATTTGGAAAATATTTTTCGTTTAAATTGAAATCTTTATACATAAATTAAAATTAAACTTAAATTGAATTTTTTAACTTTAAAGTAAAAAATTTTTTAAATTATTAATGAACTTAAATAAAATTTTAAATTAAAATATAAATTTTCTTTCAAATTTTTCAAACAGATATGTTTAACTTTTTAATGAAAATAAATATTTATTTAGTAAGTATTTAATTAAATATTTAATCCAACATCAATAAATTTTAAATAGTTACTTAAATATTTGATAAAACATTTCATATTTAAATAATTTAATAAATTATATTAAATATTTATTTTTAAATTGATATTTAATTAAGATTTTAAAATTGATTTATTATTTTACTTGCAAAAATAAAGCATGTTAAATTTATTAGAAAGAATTTGGAGATTATTTGCTAAATTTAGTTTTTTATGTTATTGCATTTAATTAATAAGAAAATAATTTGGAGTTTTATTAAAAATATTTAGAAAAATAAAATAAAATTAGAATTAATTAATTTATTTATTTTACTTGCAAAAATGAAATAAGTTTAATTTATTAGAAAGAATTTGGAGATTATTTGCTAAATTAAGTTTTTTTATGTTATTGCATTTAATTAATAAGAAAATAATTAGGAGTTTTATAATAAAAATATTTAGGAAAAAAAAGATAAAAAATGAAAATTAAATAATGACCTCCACCAAGTTAAGCTTACAAAAGTACAAAAATGATATAGAAAATTAGATATAAAAAAGAGAATCTTGATTAAAATCAGTAACAGATAAATTAAAAAAGAGAAAGTAAATCTAAATGAGTAAGTTTTTTTGTTAGTTTGTTGATTTTAATTTGGAAAATCTAAAATGTTCAAATATGGAAATTAAAATTTAAAGTTAGGGTAGTAGTATGATTTTAACATGAAACATATTATAAAAGAAGTGGACAAGATTAATTTATTTTGATTTATTTAAAATCAAGATTAAAAGAAAATTGTATGTATGTACTATTTTAGATAAATTAATATATCTAAATTTGTTAAAATTTACTAACTATTTTTAAAATAATCTTTATTTATTTCACCAAAAAAACAAAGATAAAAGCTAACCAGAATCAACATTAATAAATATCAATCAATCAATAACTAACTAACTAAATATTAAAAGAACAAACACCTTAGATAGATATGATTCACAGAGACAAGCTTTTTCAATATTTTCCTTAAATGGAAGAGCTAAATACTTGGAACAGAAATAAGGTGATAAATGATATAATGCTTGACCTTTATTCTGAGCAAGTTGGATTTGAAGATAACGATGAAGAATAAATTCTTGCCAAGCTTTAAGAATTAAGTTAACCTTTAAAGACATTTTATCTTCTACTGAGCGGAGATAATTCAAAGTTTCTCAGACCAATACTGACGAAACTCGTTTTATCATTAAAATCTATTACTTATTTGAATTTACTACTAAAAGAAAATAAAAATATTGATGTTTAATTCCTCAGATCCAAGATACTCCAGTTCCAGAAGCTCAGATATTTGTGTATGAATCTTAATTTTACAGATATTGGAGCTTAAGGATTGTAGGCTTTATTCGAAGCTTTTGGCTAGTTAGAAATTGAATAAATGCACTTTAACTTTTAGGGAATGGGCATAAATAACAATTCTTTTGGTATTGAGTATATCAAGGGAGAGCTACTAAGAGAATTCAAGTTGAATCTAAGGTATCATCTTCATTTATATCATTAATAGCCAAGGAACTTATATATATATGATGTTTTAATTGTATTGCAGCAATAGCTACTACAGAATTAATTAAGTTTAATTGGTTTAGAATAAAATATTATTTTATTAAATAGGTAAAATAAGATTGGATATGTGGGATGCACTCACTTAGTCAAGGCCTTATAGAAAATGAAAAACTTGCTAACATTAAAATTAGATTTAGGGTAAAATACTTTGGAAATTAATTGCTTTAATGCTAATGCTCTCTATGAAATCTAATATTGAGATTTTTTAAATTATAAATAGGGATAATCCAATTAAAAATAAAGGCGCTTCAGTTCTCTTTCATGGATTATAGCATTTTAATTAGCTCATTAAATTGAAAGTTATATTAAAGTAAATTTCTACTTAAATCTTTTAGCATAATTAGATAAATTGATTTATTTTTGCTTAATTAAAAAGTCGCACAAATATAGAAAATGAAGGTTTAAGCGAATTCGATACATGCTTTAATTAAATAGGATAAAATTTGGATATTTTAGTTTTAGATTTTGGGTAAATTAATTTAATTAATTATAACTAAATCTAATTTTTAATGAATTGCTATTTCTATTTTAAAGGTCTAATAAAATCACTAATCGTGAAGCTATGCATATAGTAAAAAGCGTATCCCTCTGTTAGAATCTTACTTAACTAGATTTATGTTTTAAGTAATAGTGATTGTTATTTGAAATAATTTAAATTAAAGAATTACCTTAAAAATTAGAAACAATTATTTGCAGCCAAAAGTTGGAGAAGAAATTAAAAGGATGCTCTAATGTATGAATAAACTGATTAGTCTCAGACTTAATTTAAAAAGTTTCCATTTAAGTAACCAAGAAGATGATTAAAACCCGTAATATATATTAAAATTTTTATAAAGGTTATTAAAAATTAAATAATATAAATAATTATAAAGAGAAAACTGCATAGGTTAAATAGGTGCCTCAGAAATAGCAAAAGGATTATAACATTTAAAGCATTTGAGAATATTAGACATAGGGTTAAAGGGGAATCATGTAATGAATACTGGAATTACTGAAATTAGTTCAGTCATTGCAAAAGTTAAAAGTTTAGAAAAATTCTAAATCAACTTAGCGTAACTTGTTTATTTAATTAGTTTGTTGATAAATATTAATCAAAACAAACAAATTTATTTATATTTGAATATAGTGGAAACTAGCTCACTGATGCAGCATTGATATAATTATCTTTTGATTTAGCTAACTAATAAGATTTGAAGTATTTGCACATTGATTTAGGGTAAAATATTTTTAAAATTAGCATAAAAATTTGACTTTGTTTGCAATTTAAAAGGTGGAATATGCTGCACTTTTCTAATTGCTTTGAAGCTCTGTCAAACACCCTGAAGAGATTAAATAACTTGGAGACCTTTAACTTAAGTATTAAGTAAAATTTAATTAATTAATTTATAAAAAAAATATTTATTTAAATAATTATTTTAATAAAAAAGCCATAAAAACAAAATTTACTCAGATTCAATAGAAAATTTAATACCAGGAATCAAAAGTTTGCAAAATTTAAAGAATTTTAGCTTAAATGTAATGTGGTGCAAAATTAAAATTAGGGGGTTGTAACTAGTCTCTGATGCTATAGCTCACCACCCTCAGTTGATTTCTCTTGATCTCAATCTAGGGTAATTTTAAACTTAATACAATTTATGAATTATATTGACTAAATTTTATTATAGAGGATGTTAGATTTGTGACAAAGGAATGCTTTACCTCAAGAATGGATTAAGCTAATTAATTAACTTAAAAAAATTGGTCTTAAATCTCTAGTAAAATATCTTTAAAAATCTAATAAATTTTATTTAAATTTATGGTTATTAGTCATAACAATTTGACAGACTAAGGTGCAGAAGAAATAGGATAAGCTCTTGAAAAAATGCCTAAAATTCAGATGCTCAACATCGAACTTAAGTAAATTAATATATACAAAAAAATTTATTTAACACTGTTTACAGCTGGAATAATATAGGAGACGAAGGGGCTGGCAGACTTGCTAAGGTTATTGAGTAGAAGGGTATTAAAAATTTTGGAGAGTTGAAAATTAGTTTGAGGTAAATAAAATAATTTATTTTATTTAATTAAGGTAATTCATAATATTTTTATTAATTAAGAAATTCATCAGTTTCACAACAAAATGAAGATGAGTTCAAATAATATTTTGAGAAATTCTAAGAAGAAAATCCTTTTTCGTAGAATATTGATAAATTGCATGAAATAAAAGAAAAGTATGTATGTTGCTCTGGTTAATTCTTTACACTTAGAAAAATACATAAAAAAGAACCCTTTATTTTTGAACCAATTATCTTTTATGGAATTAATAATCCTAATTTCCTAATGAGCGCTATTTCAAAAATAGCGAAAGTTATGAATTAGAACAGTTTTGTCTTGAGTAATGTCTTTGACGAAAAAGTGCTCCGCAAAGTGAGAAAGAATACATTTTAGATTTATGAAGTTAAAGGAGATTACCAACTTTAGAGGGCTTCATAAGAAACAAAATTAATTAACGAAAACGCCTTATTGCATAAACAGAACTAATTTTTGCTTAATCAAAACAAAGAATATGAAAAGAAAATTAAAGAACTTCAAGATAGATTATACATGGCTGACGAGCAAAAGAGAATCACATATGAACATGTAAAAAAAATAAATAAATAAATAAAATATTTTTAAATTTAATTCATCAATCCACTTTTTTAGATTTTAAAAGATTTTATTTAAATAAAAATAGATTGAATCTCTTAACACCTAAATTTAAACACTAAATATAAATAACAGCTACCATTCTAACTCAAGCAGCTCTCTAGGAAATGGAAATATTACTAATAATACAAAATGATTATAAATATATAAAAATAATAACAATAAACAAACTATCACACTCAATTTAAATTTACTTATTTTTTAAAAACACTTGTATTTTAAATTATTAGTTATCAATTAAAAAATGTATTTATTTATATACATATATTGTTCGTTCATATAAATATTCATTTCCAGAATATCATCAAATATATAATTTATCTTTAGAAAGTAATATAAACATGAAAAAATACAATATTATCATTATTTAAAATTTAATTATTTTTGAGATAAATTTACAATTTTAGGTTAAGTTTTTCCAATCGGTGATAGGCTATTAGAAGTCAAGTCCAATCTTGAATTTGTTTATTTATCAAATCTAGAATTTGGAGTCAAATCTTATCTTTGATTATTTAGAAAATGCTAAGAGGCTCTTGTAAAATCTTATTTTTAGAATTCTTCACCCTTATTTGTACTCTTACCTGTAAATTCACTAATATTTTAACTTATATTGCTTCTTGGAGTTACCAAATAGAAATGGTTGACTTATTTCTACTATGACTCTATTTTATTTAATCCTAACGGCTATATATCTTAATTAGAATATAAATTATTATTGCTTTTAATATCGAAATCTTAAATAGTAATTTTATAGCTCTTATCTTAGGAATTTGCTAACAAATTATTTATCTCTTCTTTGAATTATTTTGGAGTCTAGTCTCCCTTTCTACCACTTTCTGGTTTATTTTTCGACTCAATCTATCCAGCTTATATTGAAATGATTGCCTCTAAAGCTTATTTTTCCTTTTCTTGCTATTAAACTCTTTTTTCAAGTTATTCATTTTTACTTTTTATGTCTTTGATCTCTTCATTTTTTGATTGCACTATTTTAATCATTTTTTATAACTCATTTGCTAAGGCCATGACTTAATTTAGACATTTTTGATCTTATTCAACTATCTAAATTTATTTCTGCATCTAATATTTCTAAGCGTTAATCTCATTTTAATACATGTTAAAATTATATTGTAAATTTTAGATATATTTTTTTAGCTCTTAAATCTCATGTTCGTATTTTAATTAGATCTATTTCAGTTCGCAGTTCTCTTTTTCTAACTAATTCTTTTCTTTTAACTCCCAATTAGATCCCTCCTTTTAATGCATTTAAGTATCTTTATTTTTTTATGGTGATTCAAACTCAGAGTTATATTGCTAAAAAGAACTCTTCATATTTTCCATATGTTAGTCAAACTTAGATGAAAAAAAGTAGTTATCATTAAAAAATTATCTTTAATCTTCAAGCTACAAATTCTTTTCCTTAAGCTTAGAAGTTAATTTATCCATTTCAAAAGCTATGCTATGAAGTTTAACTTCGTATTCTTTTAATAAAACCGTTTTCTCTTCATCGTTGTCATTTTTCAAAGAAGTATTACATTCATTCCTTTAATAACTGTAAACTTTCATTTTAGATATTGTTAAACCAAATAATTAATATTTTTCAACAAATTAATTTAGTAATCAAATTATTCTGCGCCTTTAATTTTTAATAATAAATTCATTATAATAATTTTCATCTTCAAAATATTAATATCTTTAAAATAGATAGCATTCTCTCCTACTGAAAGATCAATATTTAGCTTTATTTATACTAAATATCATTTAATTTGTATTAAAGTTTATTTTATTTAGCAATTAATGTATGTATTAATAAGTAATTAAAAGAAATACAATCATTTTATTATAACCAAAAATAATAAAAAATATCTCGTTCTTCTCTGTAATTTTGTTCCGCCCGCCTAGCTCAGTCGGTAGAGCGCAAGACTCTTAATCTTGTGGTCGTGGGTTCGAGCCCCACGGCGGGCTAAATTTTTTTTATTTTAATAATTTTAATTTTTAGGCTATTTTAATTAACATAGATTAGATAATAGCTAAGATAAATCAAAAAGTTAAGAAAAACCATAAAATCTTGATAAAAAAAAGTGATTTGTGTCATTTTTTTACAAATTGAACAAATTTAAAAATGTAAAATATTGGTTTGAACTTTTTTAGTAATTATTGCACTTTTAATAAATCTTTAAATTTTTTAGAATATTTTTAAAAATTGATATAAAAAATTTTGTAAGCACCTATATATAATTTTTATTTAATTTCCTGATAAAATGTAGAGAAAAGCTATAATAAATAAAAAAAGAAAAAATTAATAGATTAGCTCTAAAAAAATAGAAAAAAATAACTATTAAATAAATAATTTAGATTGATGATAAATACAAATTATAGCAAAAAACAAATTAAATGGAATGAAAAATAAAATGAAAAATTGTAAAATCTCTAACTAAATTATGCTCCTTTCGAATATATTTAGGAAGAGGTAAATTTTACGTTTATCTTTTTATTTTTTTGATTGCTATTTTTTAATTTATTAATTACAAGCTCTGACTTTACCATTTAAATATTAAATTTAATGGGAACTGAACCTTGTTTTTAATAGAAATATTAAAGCTTAATATGAATTACAATAAAAATATAACCTATTTTATCAATCTAACTTTAATATTTAAAAAATAATAACAAACAAATATATTTTCGAATTTTTTATGATTAATTTCACCTCGTTTCTTAGAAAAACCTAGTCTAACCTATACAGATAAGTAAAATTTCTGTATATTAGATGTAATTAAGTATAATAGAAATTATATTTACTACACTTCACTCTAGTATCAAAGAAGAAATATATACATATATCGTATAGTCAGTTCATCTCAATTTTTAAACTCACCCCATAAATATTTTTAAATTAATACAAATAATAATATTGAATTTATTTTATATGTTAAATAGCTTGAATCAGACAAAAAAATCATAGAAAATCAAATATATTTGCCTTCATAGGTTAAATAAAACGAAGAAGATTCTATGAACGAAAATATAAACTTATAATATTTTAGAGATATTTCTAAGGATAAGGAATTTTCTCAGAACATTTACCTCACAAATTATTGGGAATTTAATTAAGCAAAATTAGAGGACCTACGTACATCTGAGATCTAGAAATAATTTGATATGCTTAGAAACGGAGACGAGCTTGAGCCTCTTAGAGAAATATATCTTACAGACTTTGAGATAAGTATTGCACTCACTGTTCTCTCAAACTGCCTAACAGATGGTATTATTGAGTATCTCAGAAGGATTTATGACCCTGAAAAAGATTATTCGTACTTGACAGACTCCTAGAAAACAATAATTAACAAATTTGTTCAATATTTACCTTAATACAGTATTGTCTTGCTTAACCAATAAATGCCTTTTGATAAAAAATAGTTTATTGAAACTCACTACATCACCTATAAAGTTAAAATATCAAAATAGATTCATAAGGATAATCATTTGCTCTGCGATGTCTTCCTCAGATACGAAAAATTTTCGGAATATGAAATCTCACTTAGATATTTCATGTAAAAAAAATTAGAAGTACTTATTGATTAAAAATTCAATTCAACCAAAGAACTTATCAAAGCTCTTTAGCTTATGTATAATGAAGAGAAGAACAAAATTTAAACAATAGCTGAAAACTCTTCTGTTACCCTCTCAACTTGTATTCATACTTAGTAAAAGATATAGCCCAACGAAGAATCTTTTAATACAAAACTTGATTATTCGTAGACTGATAATGAATCTCCTTTAAAAAAAGATTAGCTATAAAGTAAGATATTACCTAATTACATAATAATTAAAGAAGAAAAAGCTGATAAAGTAAATTAAGAGTAAAAAAAATAAAGCAATTTAATTAATGGAAACTTCACTTAAAAAAATAAAGAAAATTCAGGTAAAATGAATCTTTAAAAGTAAGATAATGTACAAAAAGATTTATTCTAGCAAAAGCATTCTAAAGATTTAAATATTTTATGCAATTAAAATAAGAAAAAAGGTGTAAACGTACTACAACTCAATCTAGATGAAAAGTAAAAATTAATTTAAGATAAGATTCAATTTATCGAGTTTATAATCTCCAAGGTTCCTGTTGTAAAATAAAAATTTCATATTTCTAAAAATGAGAAATCAATTTAATAAGTTCTTTAGGCATATAAAAGTATAAATAGCATTATTGAAAAAGCAAGAGAACTCAATCAAAAGGTTAATATACAATAGATTAACACATTTTTAACAGCTTATAAGTCTAAAAAGATAGATAACATCTTAAATGAAATTAAGAGATCAAACAAAAAATACTTTGTGTGAAAATATAAAAATTAATTTATCACTATAAACAAGATTTAATTTTATTTTTTTTTAAATTATTTAATGTTTAAAATTTATATTATTCATTCTTAAGAAATATAATTAATATTATCTTATTCAACAAATAAAATTATAAAAAAAACTTATATTGCTATCACATATTAAAAACAAAAATTATCTTGGAATTACTGTGGAATTTCTCAGAAAAATATCAAATGACTTCTACATTTATTTTTTCATGTTTTTGATTATTATTTTCAATAACTAATAATAAATGAGATAATATTTGATGAATAAAACAGTTAAATTCTAAAACAAAATTATTTCAATTATTCAAATTTTAAGTATCCGAAAAATTTTAATTCTAATTTAACAAATTTTTTAAATTGAGGTAAATTACATACTTTTTCATTTTAATATACCAGACTTAACTAGGTATAACGAGGTTAATTTATATTTTTAATCCAAAATATAAATTTATTTTGAGCCCTAAATTGTAAAAATTAATTTTTCAATGATTTTCTATTGAAATTAAAATTCTTTTATTTTAGAACAATAATCTCCAATTTTCAAAACTAAAAAAGGCATTTAAACAAAAGAAAAATTATTGCAGTAAATTTGTTAATTCTGATACATTCTTTTAAAATATATTAAAATACATGAAAAGTATAAATTGAACTGAAATATAAATCCAATAGTTAAAATGCTGTTTAACTATACAAAATAAAAAGTACACAATAAACAACTTGGAAAGTATTTATACATTTTTAATTTATGATTTAAATTAATTAGTTAGTAATCAATGATTATTTTTTATAAAAAAATTATAAGTTAATTAAATACTTAAAATAAACTAACTGCACATGTGAAATATTTTTAATTATTTAAAAATGTTATCAAATAACAATTAAAAATATTAAAATTATTCAAACTTAGACAATATAATGAACTAATCTCTTCATCCTGAGTATTTTGTTTTTGATCAATAATTCTTCCTTATAATTATACTCTCTTTAGATAATATATTTTTAATATTAAAAGAAAGTTAAAACAATCTTTTATTTAAAAAACTATTAAACAAAGTTTCTTAAATAATAAATGAATAATTCAAATACTAAGTAAAAACATAAAAATCTATTTACTGTTCTAATTAGAGATTCAAAACTAAGAGATTTTTGCATTTTGCTAATGCGGAACTAAGTTCTAAGCCAGCTTCAACTCCAATGTAATTATATCTTTTTAAATTAAGAAATATTTTTAGTTAAATTAAAAAAGGGTTTGGTATTTCTAGATATAGAAGAACAAACTATATGCTAATAAATACATTAAATTAATTTAGAAAAGAATGAAAACTCCTAAGTATTTTTACTTTGCTAATATTTAAATTAATATTAAAAGAATGAAGAATAAGATTTTATATAAAAAGAAAAAGAGCGCTTTTTACCTCAGGTCAAGAGTTAAAGATATGAGACTGGTATAGCTTATTAATGCAGATCCTAATTAAGGTATGCATCCATTTACAATATAATTATTGCTTTTAATTTTTAAATTCAAAACATAAATTGATACTTTTAAAAAATTGACAAATCAAGTAAGTAAGTAAGTAAGTAAGTAAGTAAATATCATATTTTAAAAAAATTAGTATAAAGCAATTAATTTACTTCAGATTTAGTGACAAATTTGAGAGATTAGTACAATTAGAAAAAACAGTAGTTAAATCTGACATTCCTTAATCTCCAATATTATTATTGCTTTTCATATAAGAAAAACATGTTTTGTATTTTGAGTTTTTAGAGAATTTATTTGAAATTGTTTAATGTTAATAGGTCTGAATAAATAAATAGATATATTGATAAAATTTTAAGGAATATAATTTTATTAATTAATTTTGGTGTCTTCACATAGTTTAATTAAAGAATAATAAAGAAATATATTTACCAAATATCAATTAATAACGTTGTAAGATTTATGCATTTAGATAAAGCTTAACCTAAGCTAGATGCTCCTTATGCATTAATTTAATTAGCACTTTTTATATGAAAAATAAATTTATCAGTTTGTTAAACGAATAAATAGAATTGATAAAAATATAGATAAAAAAAGTTTATAATAAAAATAAATTTTTATGTTAGCTTTATAAGTAGGTAATTCATGATATTTATTGAGTACAGAGAATAGAAATAAGTATCTTGATTTTTAAATTAAAATAAAAAATTTATACTTAAGGCAAAGTTCTAATTTCTTAAATTAAGTACAGTTTGATAAAGCAGAAGCTAAACTTGATATACCTTCGTCTTGAATTTGATTACCTCTTTTAATTTATTATGAATAATTGTAAAGAATTAAAGATAAATCCATTAATAATTTGAAAGAAATAATGCTATCTAAATGAAAAATTTGTGAGTTAATGAGAATCAGAAAGTAATAAATTGATTGATAATGAATATAAAAAATTAAAAACTCTAATTAAAAAATAAAAAAAATGAAATTAATCTATTCACATTAAAAAGAGAGTCAAATTTGATAGGTTTTTCAAATTTAATAGTGCAGAACCGATTATTGAAGCACCAAATGGACCAATTTCATTGAAACTTTAAATATTTAAGAATTTAATTTGAAAATTAGCAATTAATGTATGATAAATATTGCAATATTTAAATAAAACAAGATTTCTCATTTTATTAATAATTCAAGAAATAATTTATATATTAAGAAGTAATTTATACTCTTGGGAAAAACTCAAAGTTGACAGATTAGAGCATTTTTATAAAGCTTAGCCTAAATTTTATAAATCCTTATCACAAAGCATCGATCCACTTTAAATTTATGAAATAAAATTAATATTTAGATATGAAAAATTATTTATTAGAAATTTAACTAATTAAGATAATTAATGGAAAGTTTTAAAGTTAATTTTTAATAAAAAAATTTGATAAAATAAAGTTAATTAACAATTAGAAAAGAAATAAATTTTTATTTTGAAATTATTATTATGAGTTTGAATTAAGTTATTTAAAAAGCTACTCAAAATAAACAAACTATTTTTACTTTAAATGTAGTATTAATTTGGAAAGTTTAGTGCATTTAGCTAAACCAGAACACAAGTCTTATTTTTCCTAATCGCTCATCTGATTGTACCTTTTTTACAGAAAATATAATTTTGTTAATGATTATGTAAAAAAAAGTAAAGAAAAAATAATATTTTGGATTTGAAAATATTAAATAAGTTTTTAATCATAATTTATTTGTAAGTAAATATTGTATTATCAAAGCCATTAATCAAATAAAATAAAGAGTATTTTACATTTAAATAATTTAGATATCCGTGTGAGATGATAGAGGAGAACTTAAAAACTTTTTATTTAACAAAAAGAAATTTAGTTATAAAATATAATGATATCAGCTCTACTTCTTTCATGTTAACAAACTTTGTTTGTTATTGAACTGATTATTTTTATTTATTTTTACTCATTTTTAATATCAACTATGTAAAAAATAATAATAATTTATTCTTTAAGGAATTATTCTTTTGATTTTAATTAATTTGATTCATTAACATAATTATTTATTCTCCCTTTATCATTTTTGATAATTTTATTAGAAAAATTTTGATTAATGTTAAATAATTTTTTATATATTTGAATTATTTGATCTCTATCTCTGTCTATTTTAACTTACATACTATATTATCAAATTTAACTCTTTTTAATTAATCCTAAAATTTATTTTTATAAAATGTTTTGAATGCAGAGAAATAATTTATCTGCATAAATTAAATACTAAAAATAAATTTAAATGAAGAAGAAAGGAAGTTAAATAAACAAAAAATAACTATTATTACTGCCTAAACTACATTATTAATATGTTTGATTTTACATTAATTAAAGAAAAATTATATATATATACCTATGAAATATTTGGAAATTATACTTGTAACTCATTAGTGTATAAATATTAAAATAAATTTAATTTAAATAAATTTCTAAAATTTAGTGAAGAGGCATCACTATTTTTTACTAAGACCATTAAAATTTCATTTAAATTAGAATTAAATGTGAAAACTATCTTTTTTTCTTGAGAAAATTGTATAAATTAATCAAAAATAAATAATTTTCACCTCAAATTAAAAAATTTTTGTTCTAAAATTCATAAAAAAAACTAATTTTACAGACATATTATTAGATAAATTATCTTCAATAATTCAAATTAAATTATTTTTTTTCAAAAATAATAAATGTTAAAAAATTATAAAAATTTTTTTTTTTCTGTTAATTTTGAGTTAAATTTTCTAAAAATCCAACTTTTCAAATACTATTTTTGATTTTATTATAAATTTATAAAATTGTTATAAACAGTAATTGAATTTGAAAATATTACTTTTTATTTTGACCTATGAGAAATAAAATATGTAAACAAATAAATTAAAACAAACAAACATCTAATTTATAGACATTTATCAATATTTGGTTTGTTTTATTTGCTGCTATTTTACTAATGGAAAAATTAAATTAAAATTTTTTATGATTTTTATTATATATATATATTTATGTATGTATGTATGTATGTATGTATGTATGTATGTATGTATGTATGTATGTATGTATGTATGTATGTATGATAGATATGGTATTATTTGAATACATTAAATAATATAAATGAATTTTGAATAGAATTTAATAGCAAATTTAAAAAATATTTTTATTATTTATTTTAATTTGAATAAATTTTAGTTTATAAATATAAAGTATTTTGAGAGATAAATTAATTAATGCTTTTAAAATTTAAAAAAGAATTTTCAATCATCTAAAGTCTATGTAAGATTTGGTGATGCTCTTTTTTTGAGAGAGTGTTTAACTGTATCTAGGTATTTGCTTTTTGAGCTATGAGCATGAATATGTAATTTATTCTTTGAAAAATTAAGTGAGGTGAGAGGTTAGCTATTAAGAGATATAAGAATTAACTCTTCTGAGGCTTTAATTGGATCTCTCTTTTTACGGTTCTTTACATAATTGTAAATTAATATCGATAGTTAACTAAAAGTAACTATTGATCTGATCAAAAATATCAACAAACTAATGCTTAAGCACATTATGATAAATATTATTATACAAAAGCTAAATTGTTTTGTCTGCAATAACACCTAATTAGAGACTATATCTTACTGTATCACATCTTTATATTTAATAATACAAGCTCCTAACAAAGCAAAGAAGGTAGAAATTAGAAACTCTTAAAATATTTTGATGTAGTTTATGATTGCTAATTAGAAAAATCTATATTTTGCTAAGTAGATAGCTTATGAAAAGAAAATTGCAGATACGATAAATGAGCAAGTCTCAGGATAATCAGAAAGAAGCAAAAATAAGATTATTACAATATACTTCTTTAAAAAAGATATAAAAATGTAAGACTTAGCACCTTGTAATTTAGAGTTAATACCATCAAAGAAGTTAGGAATATTATTCTGAATATACTCAATATCTCTTGACTTAAGCAAGTAAAACATTTCTAATATAAACATCAAATTTAAAAACAATTAAAATATTGCTAATCCTCTTCCTTCTGCAAATTATAAAGAATAATAAATAGAGAATAGACTTGCAGTTATTGATCCTTAAGCAAATGAGCATACAAAATTTACACTCTTGTCCACTATCAGTAAAGTATACTATTTACCAGGTAGTGTAAGTCTAGCTATTAAGCATAACAATATGAAGATTGATGATATCACAATTATCAAATGAGCAAATATAAAGTTACTATACAGATAAGGCTACAATCCATATCCTGAAAGAGTTTATAAAATAGAACTTTATTAAGCATCACTTGATATGGAATTCGTTTCCTTACTCTGAGTTGTAGTGTCGTTTTTTGGAAGTGATGGCTTAGTGTGATTTCCTCTCCTATCCTCTCTATTTTTATCTTTATTTTTATCTTTTCCTTATTAATTTTCAGACTCGTTTTATTTTCCCATATTTTAGAATATTGTTTAGCTTGCATCATTTTTATTTTCAATTTATTACAATTTTCTTATTTGATTTTATTACAATATTTCTAAATCTTAATTGTAATTTTTTTAATGATTTATTTACTCTTTCTATATTGTATCAGCATAATTTAATCCTAATTATCTTTGATTAGTTTAATTGACAGTGCTATTTGAATTGGTAATATTTTCGCTAAAATTTATGTCGTTCACGGCTTTCAGTTCACTGAAAATGAAAGATGCACCTAATTATCCTCCAATATAAACTTAAGGAGGTAAGAAATCTTTAAATAGAGTTATTGGTGCTAATACTTGAACAAAGTTAGATAAGAAACACAAGATTTAAAATCTCTTCAAGTTGTCAAGTAAGACCTTCATGCTTCCTTCAGACGGAGTTAAAACTTCACTTAATCCTTGCATAGCCTAACCTGCAGTGTTAGATTACTCTAATTAATTTTTATTGTAATCCTTTGATGTAAACAATACATTTTACAGTTTTATTGTATTATCACTTCCATTCAAAGTAAATTTTATTTCATCTATTCTCCTATTGTGATTTACTTCTATCTCAACTATTATCAAGTTATCTTAGAATTCTTAAGTAATTACAAAATAATCTTTATCTTTAATAAGAGTAGATGGATTGATATAGATTGAAAAATCTTTTCTTTCATCTTTTCTAGGCACTCTATTTAAATGCAATACGATTATATTATTTTGGGTATATGAATATTTTTTATCATTTTAATTGATATAGGGATTGGATATCTCTACTTTCTCTAGTTTTAGTGGCTGTAAGCATACACTTTCTTTAATTTCATCATCACCTGGGTAGTATATATATCCTTGTTAGCATTAGCATTCTTTTTTGTCTGAGCTTTAGACAATATTTCTATCAGGAAAACATTACGAAACACATTTACCTTCCCAAACGAAATAGCCTTAATCACAAGCAGAGCACTGGGATATTGTTTAACAAGATTAACAATTATCACTGCACTTATAACATTTATTGTTTCTTGTACAAAAATATCCATTTGGGATTATTTTTGAGCAGTATGGCTTGTTTGTAGTAGAAGAGTTATCATAAATTTGATACTGAAATCCTTCTTTGCATCTACAAGTTTCTTTGATTGGATCTTCCTCAAAATTATAGCCAAACTTACTACAATCAGAGACACAATTTCCATTAATTAAGATAAATCCCTTTTAACATTAACTGCATTTGCATTACTAACAAATCTTGTCATCTTATTGTATTTAAGCACTATACTCTTAATACATCTAACTATTAGAGCAAACTGAACACTTTTTCTCGCATTTAAGACAATTTTTAGCTTACAATTCAAATTATTCAGTTACTGGGCATAATTAGCAACCATTTTTTCCAATTTCAAAATAATTATCACTGCATTAAAGGCAATCTTTGCTAGTTGGACCTTTGCATTAGAGACAAGATTAATCACATTTTCTACATAATTTATTCTCCAAATCTGAGTAATAGCCATTTAGATTCTCACATTAAACGCATTGGTTTTTAGACTCTTCGATTAGATACCCACTTTCACATTCTATACACTATTATTCTGAATTACATTTTGAGCAATTGAGAGGACATTACTTACATGTGTTTTCTTAGTCAATATAATAACCTAAGATTGGACATTTTTCACATTTATCTTATGCATTCCAAGAGAGATTATCTTAGCAGCTTAAGCAGTCAGAACTTGTTTCTCCATCACAAGTTTTACAAGATTCATGACACTTTAAACAGGATTAGTCTTTAGTAAAGTAATTTTCTTGTGGGCATAATTTACAGGATTTCTCTTATTTAAAATAGTAAAGAGTAGCTTTACATGTTAGGCAATTATTTTAATTTATTCCATCACATGTTTAGCATGATTCATGACACTTAAAACATTTTTTATTTTGTAAATCCTTATATTCACCATAACCATTGCAATCACTACACATTCTATCAATAGTTAAAAACTAACCTTCTTTGCAAGTTAGGCAGCTATTCTAACTATTTCCATCACAAATTTTGCAAGTTGGGTGACATGCTTCACACATCTAAGTTTCATTTTCTATAAACAAGCCATTTGAAGAATTACATTCAATGCATGTTGAGTCCTTCGTCCGATGCAAACCAGACTTACAATTTGAACACTGATTAGAGCTTAATCCAATACAAGTGCTACATGATTAATGACATGGTTTACAAAATGAATTTGAGTCTATAAAAAAACCTTTATTCTCATCACAGAATTTGCAAGTCTTTTTACCAGATTCTTCAAAAAAATAAAATCCACCTTTGCATGTAGCGCAATTTTCTATTCCTTAATCAGAACAAGTTTCACAGGAATCATCGCATTTCAAACATTAATTTGTACTCCTTTTTTCAAAGTATTTTATAGTTGGACAAAATTAACACTTGCCATCAATTAAATACATATTATTTTTGCAAATAGTACAGTTTGATTCATTGCTACCGTTTTCACATTTCAAGCAATTTGGATGACAGCTCTTACAATATCCATTTTACTTGTAGAATAATTCATCAGGACAAGTCACACATTCTTAATTTTCGTTGAAATAAAAATTATCCATACATTATTTACATTTGACATTATATGGTCCATCACATGCTTTGCAGTTGGAAGAACACTAATTGCACACTCCTCCTATACTTGAGTCATCTGTTTTATAATACCCATCTTAATTACAATCTACACATTTTTTATCCAGCAAGTATTTCCCAGACTAACATTTAGAACAGTTAGAGCCGTTTTCACCAAAGCAAACATCACAAAATTCTGCTTAGCATTTATAGCATCTTATGTTATCTGAATAAAATCCTTTATTTGTATCACAATTCACGCATTCTTAGACAAAGCCTGAAGGATCAGGAACCTCCAATTTTTTCATAGAACCAGAGCATTCTATGCACATATGTACTTCTTACTATCCTGTTTTCAAATTGCTGCAAGTTTTACATGAATTATGGCAATCTTTACAGTCATCAATTTCAACACTAAAATATTAATTGGATGAACATACCTTGGTACATTATCCTGAGTTATCTAATGGATTTTCGTTTTCTTTAATGCACTTTTTGCAATCTGTAGGTAAAGGCCCAGAACATTCTAAGCATGAACTGTGACATTAAACACATACTCCATTTGAATCTACAAAATATTTTTATGATGGACATTAAACACATTCAAATAAGCTTGTATTATCTTTTTTATGATATCCTGAAGCACAATTTTTGCATTCATTGCTTTTTTCAGATTAACAGCCATTGCAACTATGATGACAAGGAAGACAAGTTTTTGAAGGACTGATAAATTAATTTCCTTCACATTTTTAGCAAGTATTATCTGGCATCAGATAAAATCCTGGTAAACACGTTGTACATACATTTAGTATAGCTGGATTACATTCTTAGCAATTACCTTTACACTTTAAGCATGTCTATTCATCTATACTTTTCATTTCTCCTGGTTAATCGCATTTCACACACATCCTACTTTCTTGATGAATAATGTATCCACTAGCACAAGTTATACAGTTATTTGGACCTCCTGCAGTGCATGTAGAGCATGTTTTATCACATTATTTGCAACTAACTCCATTTTCTATGTAATTATTAATACTAACGTCACATGATTTGCATACATTAGTATCCCCTTCAAAATAGAAATTAGACTCGCATTTTGTACATTTTAATGGACCATTTGTTTATTAACACTATGAACAATTTTAAGGACACTTTTTACAAACTCCATTGCTATCAACAAAAAATCCTTCATTAGTTTTACATTAACCACAAAACATTTAGTTATCATCAGGAGAATTGTAGTCTTGATACACCCATTTGTTAACTCCTTTGCAAGTTAAGCAACTTTATTTAGTATTTCCGTTTGAAGTACATGTTGCACAGTAATCATTACATTTTTAACATGTTTGATCTTAAGCAATGTAGTAGCCTTAGCTTTAATCACACTTTTTACATATCTTTTAATCTAAAAAATATCCTGTTGCACATTATAAACAATTAGATGCCCCTTATTTTGTGCAAGTCTAACAAGCTGTATCACATTTAACACATTTTCCATTTTCATCTATAAATAATCCATCTTTTTGCAAACAGCTTATACATTAGTTATTATCTAAGCCCATATTAGTCTAACACGAGGTACAAAGGTTACTTGCATTTTAGCAAGTTTTACAATTTTTATCACAAGCTTTACATTTGTTAGATTTCTGATCAATATAAAATCCTTTGCTTAAATCACAAACTCCACATTTATTACTTTATTCGTTAATCACTTACCCATCTTAACATTATAAGCAATTTATATCGTCAGGTCCATCACAAGTTTTACAAGAATTATGACATTTTAGACACTAAGCACTTTTGGTAATGAAGTATCCGTTCTATGTATCACAGCTAATACAAGTTCCGATTTACGATGTTGGTGACTAAGGAATAAATTGTCTACCTTTATTACAAGTATTTTATAGGCATTAATTATCAACATCTCCTTAGCATTATTAACAGTTTTTGCATTACTTACACACTTAATTAGAGTCGATAAAGTAACCTTAATTTACATTACACTATATGCATTTCCCTAAGTTGTCAAGTGCATATGGAGATTAACATTAATTACACTAATCGTTTGGGCATGAAGCACACTATTTAGTAGAGCATTATCTACATTAGTTTTTATCCCTTTTGACTTAATATGTATAGTAACCAGGTTTGCATACATCACATAATTCATCTTCTTTGCATAATTTGCAATTATCAACTTCACATTCTTCACATCTACTTTTATATTTTTAATAATACCCTTCTCTGCATACGCATTATCCATTTTGCATCTGTCCATTTCTGCAGTCATCACGGTCGCTATCACGGTCCCTATTTTTATCACGGTTGCGGTTATTGTCACGGTAATCTAGCAATCTTACAGATTTTTAGAAGGAGTTATTAAAAATATTTAATTAAATCCTTGTTTTTAATGTATCTAATTTCAAAAAATTAAGAAATAGATCTTCAATTTATTAAGCATTTTTATGCTTAATTTACAGAATTTAAGAAGGTCCTATTGTGTACTCAAGCTTTTTCTTTCTATACTCAATTCTAAATTAAAAAAAAAGTTAGACAAAAATGTTAACCAAATTTTAAGAATTTTATGTCTAAGGTGATTAAATTACTTAGTGATCTAAATGAAGTCTAAGATAGCATTTGTTTGTTCTAAAGAATTTGGTTATATCTCTATTTTTAAAAATTATCCCTATATGAATGCCTTATTTAAAGATACTAAGAGAAAGTACTCGTTCTATTTTATTTTTTCTAAAAATAGAAAGCAATTTTCTTAATCTATAACTTTATAATGTATGCTATCAAATTCAAAAAGGCTTTTTAAGTAAGAAAAATATTAAAAATGGTAAATACTAAATGCAAATTGCAAAATAACTCACGTATTTTAATCATCAACAGAAAAGAATAATCTTAACTACTCTATATCACCGATATTGTTGAGGATAGACATATTAATTATATTGTTTTGTTATGATAATTATACTTCTACTTAGGGATTAAAACCAAAATGGAAATCTTATTAAGTAGTAGTACAGCTTACTCCAGTTAAATAAGATGCAAGGACTAATATATTTTATGTTCATTAAACATATAAATTAAATTATTGAAGTAAATTAATATTACTAAAGAGAATTTTTATGAATTTTATTATGTAGTTTTTGATCATTTATATTCGCTCAAATGAAATTTATTTATGTATGTATGAATTAATGAATATTTTTTTGTTAGTTTTTTTGTTTTTAATAGAATGTTTGTTTCTACTCTTTTATCAATTTATTTAATTTTCCTTTTTTTTGTTTGTTTTTTACGATTTTCTGACAAATTAAATTGCACACTGTTTTACACTTGACAAAATCATTACAATGAACTTATTTGTCACTTTTATACAAGCAAACAATTTATGAATCACTTCATTTTTAATAATTTACAATGATTTAATCATTTTCTGTGGATATTAAAGGTTCTAGAGGCAAATGTGTAATTTAAAATTTAGAGTTAATTTTTACGCCATCTTATCTAATTATGCACATTATTTTACTGTAAGCATTTTTTTAATAAATACTATAAAATCTAAGCAAAAATATTAGTTAATATGCATTCTAAATTTATAACTAATTGAATAAAAGATATTTTTATTTTTTTGAACTTAATCCAAATAAAATAGTTATTAAGAATGAAAAAAGTCTTTTTAATTTTAATATATTATTTCGTTCCGCCCGCCTAGCTCAGTCGGTAGAGCGCAAGACTCTTAATCTTGTGGTCGTGGGTTCGAGCCCCACGGCGGGCTAATATTTTTATTAATTTTTAAATAAGCATGGAAAATTTTAATTGTAAAAAAACCAAATCAACCTAGAATATAATAACAGATTCATAAAACTCCTAATATGCATCATTTTAACTCAAAAAATATTGATTTTATTTTTTTTGTTTTAAGCAAATTCAATTCTTTGTATGTAATAACAATCATTTTACTTAGATACTCTATCAAAAATTTTAAAGCATTAAAACAAATTTAAAAAATTTATTTTATATTTTTATATTTCATAATTATTTATTTTTAAGCATACATATGATATAAACTCTTTTAAATAGATATAACATTTTATCAATAGAATTTTATAGAGTATAATAAAATTTATATTTATAAAAAGGAAAACTCAGCTTGTAATTAAATGGAAATTGGCCAATAAAGCTAAAAAAGGAATAAAATAAAATAAAATATCGAAACAGATTAAAAAGAATTAAATCTTCTTGGATAAATCGAAAAAAATCCTAATTCTTTTATACAAACAAATTTATTTACATTTTGATTAAATAAAAGATATTCCAAGCTCATTTAGTTTAAATTAATTATTTATTATTTTATCCATTACATAAAAAAATAGTACTTTTCTTAATAAGACAAAGATTATTAGTATAAAAAAATACAGATATAAAATATACAAAAAATTTTAAGAATTATGTTAGTAAAGTATTATTATAATAAGCGAAATAACTTAATATATTCATATCCCAACAAGACAAATAAGGTTATCTTAAATCTTTTTTTATTATTTTAAAAGCAAGTCCAATGTTCCAAATTTTGTAGCATATGGCTTCATAGTACAGATATTTTTCTCGAGTAAGCAATAGTACTAAAAATTAAAATAAAATGTTTAAATACTGAAATATCGTTCTTAAAAACAAAGTGAATTTATTAAATAAAAATTAACTTCGATGATATTTATATAAATTAATATTTTGAATTAGTATAATTTTATAAAATTATTAAATGAGACAAATTAATTTTAGTTATTTTTTCAAAAAAATATCAATTATATTCATTTTTTTCAATTTACCTATTTAAAAATAAATTTTCAAAGTTATTCATTCTTTATAGAAACAAGCTAACAAAATTTTGCTAATAAACATTAAATATTATAAAAGCAACTAATAATTAATTAAAAATATAATATAAATCTATTTTAAAAACAAAAAACTAAACTCATATATATATATTTGCTTAAAATTTATAATAAAATTTGAAATTTGAAAGAATCTCTTTTTAAATTAATTAATAGATTTTCTAAAAGATAAAAAAGGTTTATTTTTTTTAAAAATTTTTTATATTTTTTGTGAAAGCTATGCATAAATACAATGCAATTAAGTTAATAAAAGATAAAAATTTAAATAATTTGTAAAATTTTTAATTTTTCACAAGAATTAAAGCACTAACAACCAGAGGCTCTCAGTAATTAAAATGAAATATTTATATTTTATGGGTAACCCTGCAACTAGAAATGTTCTTCAAATAAAGATTTTTTTTATAAATAAAATCTGAAGAAGGCATTTTATAACTTTCAAAACTCATTCCAACCAATATCTTCTAAAATAATCAAATTTAAAAAATTATTTAACAAAAATTGACAGATCAATAGGTTAGATTTATTAATACAAGATTCAATATTAATCAGCAACAATATAAGAAAGTGTTTTTAATATAAAGTTTGTGCTTTTAATAGAAATAAATAACAATAACAATAAAATATTTTTCTGATAATAATTAGAGCTCTAAATAAATTTTATTAAAAAATAATTTCTACACATCTTAGTTTTTTATTTTATAAATTTAAAATTAAAGATGATTTATATACTAACTATATTTTAAATCAAAAATAAATTGATATTTTTTATTCATGATGTATAAAAATCAATTGATTATTTTTTGTTTAGAAATATTTTTAAAATATGTATTGGAATGTTAATTAAAATGAAGATAGATTAAATATACTAAGTTAACAATGAATTTACATTTATTAAATTTTTTTAAAGGTAGGTTACTTAATTTAATTCCTAAAAATTTACTAAGGTAAATAAGTAAAGCAATAATAATGTAAATTAATTCATCATAAAAATTAAACTAAATTACTTTTTATGCAATATTTAGGTTAGATTTATTAATACAATATTCAATATATATCAGCAACAATATAAGAAAGTGTTTTTAATATAAAGTTTACGCTTTTAATAAAAATAAATAACAATAATAATAAAATATTTTTCTTATAACAATTAGAGCTCTAAATAAATTTTATGAAAAAATAATTTTTCACATCTTAGTTTTTTATTTTATAAATTTAAAATAAATTAAAAACTATATTTAAAATCAAAAATAAATAGATATTTTTATTTTTCATGTTGTAAAAAATCAATTGATTATTTTTTGTTTAGAAATATTTTTAAAATATGCATTGATCATCTAAGTTAATTGAGTGTTAATTAAAATGAAGATACATTAAATTGACTGAGTTACCAATGAATTTACATTTATTAATTTTTTTTAAAGGTTACTTAATTTAATTCCAATAAATTTACTAAGGTAAATAAGTAAAGCAAATTAAATTGTAAATTAATTCATCATAAAAATTAAACTAAATTACTTTTTATGCAATAGAAAGATCCTTTAATTAATATTTTGACTAAAGGCGATATTATTTTTATCTAAAATTTGTTTTAAATACTTAAATTAAATATTATCTACCTTTTTTTCTTTCTTAATAAAAAATTATTGACATAAAATATTTTATTTTTGGTGAAATTCGCTTTTACTAGCTTGCTTTTCTATTTTTAAGATATTTTTGTCTTAAAGAAAAATATTTGTTTATTTATTTTTAGAAATATTAATTTATCTACCTAATCAAAAAATTTTAAGAATAGGTGTCAAAAATTTCTGATAGGCAATTTTAAAATAGTTAATTTACTTAATTTTATTGGAAATCTAAGTTTAAAAGTAATTATCTTTCTCTTGAAAATTATTATATAAAATAAAAAAAATAAATTAAATTAGTAAAAATAAAATGAATAACAATAATTATCAATAAGTGCCTCCTCCTTTGTAAAGCAACGAATATAAACCTCCTTAAGTTTTTATACAACAAGCAGCTTAAATGGCCTTACCTAGAAATGCTGATCATTCAGTTTCACCTACTTCTATCCAATGTCCTCATTGTAATTAAGTTGGAGTGACTTAAGTCAAGAGTAAAGTAGGTAGTGGTACATTGTGCTGTGCATTCATACTTTTAATGACAACATTTTGCTGCTGCATACCTTTTTTAAACGAAAACTGCTAGGATAAATTACATACTTGTACTTATTGTTAAGCTTAAGTAGGTATACATGAGTATAAAGTTTGTTGAGATCAAAAATTTTTATAATTAAGACTATTAAATTTAATTTGACTACAGATCTTTTGATAATAAAAATTTTGCTTGTATTAAAATCTAATTTATATTATTTGAGTAATACAGAATATTTATGAATTATTTATTCATCTTCTCATAAAAATTATATATTCTTTTACTTTTTCATAAAATGTTTAAATTTTGTGAATAATAAATTATAAATTTTGTAAAAATTTACTTAACATTTTTTAGGAAATAAAATTTTAAGATATTCAAAGACTGGCAAATTAAATATATGTCAACGACTAAAATAATCAAAAGTATAATTTTAGTTTTTTTGTTTGAAAATTGATTGTTTTTACTCATATATTTTCTTTAAAAATATTGCTTAGAAATAATATCTATTTAAAAAATGTATTGATTGATAATCATAAATAATTATTTAAAAACTTTTAAAAAATTCTTTGCTTATTTTCAATATTAAATCATTCCGCCCGCCTAGCTCAGTCGGTAGAGCGCAAGACTCTTAATCTTGTGGTCGTGGGTTCGAGCCCCACGGCGGGCTAATATTTTTTATTTTATTTTTAAGTAATAAATAACACGTAAATAACACTTCTTTAATAACAAAATTCTAATTCTTTTTGCCATTCTGTTTATAAAGTAATTAGTGTTAAATATAAAGAGCTAATTTATTGTTAAATTTTTGTAAAAACATATTAAAAATATTTTAAAGTTTAGAAATAAAACTTAATTGTTATTTAAAAAGCAGAATAAATTGATTAATTAAATTTACTTGAGTCATTTAGAAATTGGGTTGTATTTTTTAATTATTATTTTTTTATAAATTCAAAATAAATTTTGCTTATTTTTCACGAACAGTTTTTTACTGACTACTAAAAATAACTTCTTTAATATTATGAATGTAATTTAGAAATAATTTTATAAATATTATTTAAATTGTTTATTTTAAAAATATCAAAATAAATCAACATTTGAAGTAATTTACATAATATTTTAATGAATAGTTTAATTTAATAACAGCTATTTATTTAAATTTGTTAAATTTAAAATGATAATATCACATTGATAAGATGTGTGATGCATATATAATGTACAGATGACTCATTTTATAAATAATTTTACCAATTTTGTATTTGTTAAAGTAATTAATTTTATATATTTACATTTTTTATATTCACTTCTATATTTATTAATTTTACTGTGTTAGTATACTGTTTATTATTTACTAAATTTTTAAAGGTGATTGTGATGAATCTTATCCTTGATGAACTGAATTAAATCTTTAATCATCACTAACAAGATTCATTTCTGTATTAGTTGACACATTTTTTTGAACATTATTATTATTATTTGAAGAATTAAATTATTTGGAATTAACTTATATTTAACCATTTTGTGATGCAAAAGCGTAATTCTATCTACTTTAGAATATGATGTTATTGTTGATGGATTAATAACTCTTTGCACTTCTTAATTAAGAAATTTATTTAGCATGTTGCTATTATTGGTTGAGCTATTTCTAATTTAGAATATTTTCTCCGCCAAATTTATTGATCAAATTTTAAATAGAATTATCAGATTCATTTTAACTTCCTATATAGTTAATCCTTTTAATTAGCTTTAGCTTTTATCTTTAAGAAGCAATTTTATTAGGCATGCTACTACTTGAGTGTATAATTTACGATTTATCAATTGTAGAAAGTGAAGAATTTTTATTATCAAGTTATAGACTTGATAAGCTTTTGTTAATATCAGGCTAAGTTATTTAAAAAATTTTCAATTTTTCGAGTTCAAATTTGTAAGGCTCTCTTGATTTTGATCTTGGTTTATGTGGCATATTTTTTGTAATAAAATATTAAGGGTTTTTCAAAGGTGATTCTCCTCTATCTTCACTGGTTTTCAGTATCTGCTAAAAATTATCCATAGATTAGTTATTTAATTTAGATATTTATTCAATTTAAGTATTGATTTTGGCTAAGTTTCTGAATCTTCTTTTTTCTTATAGAGTTTCTTCTACTTATTATTCACTTTTATTCTAATAAGCATCTACAGAAAAGAATTTTCTTCTTTGATACTGCAGTGTTTCAGGGGTTTTAGGTGAATCTGTTATCTTAGTCTCTTAATTTTCAGAATCTCCCCTTTTCGGAGAATCAAAAGTTTGAGTTTAATTAATCGAAGAATTCATATGTCTAGCCGTATTAGTATTGTTGAAGTTATAAAGCTATTATTCATTTTAGCTCTCATGTAATTATTGGTTTGAGTTAAATTTTTATTGATCTTAATTTTAAGAATTCTTCTCTTTTTCTTAATTTTCTATGTCAATTTTCTGATCATTGTTTTTTTTCTAAATTTAATTTCTATCCCTAATTTTCAATAAAACTTTGCAGAATTTTTTGGCTGCTGCAATTTATATAAGGGCTGAGCTCTATTTCTTAAGCCCTTCAGACAAACTTTTCTCTCTCTTGAGGATTGGATTAACTCTGTCATCCTATTTTATCATAGACTTTAACCCTTAATGTTCAATATGCTAAACCATGTTTGAGAATTGTTCATAGCTATCCTTCTTAAATCTTGCATAATAATTTTATTTTAAATTTTAATGGAATTTTTTAACTAATTCATCCATAATATCTGGGGGTTTCCTGATCCCCTTTTTAGCTTTTTCTTCTAAGGCATCCTACTCTAAAACATTCATTCTCTTCATATTTTAACTTTTATTTCCAAACGCGTGTATTGGAATATCATACTTTTTTATTTCTTTAGAAGAATAATGAGGAATATCCTCGCTTTTTGTATTTCTTTTTCTTTAGTATCTTACCAGAGTCTCGTTCTGTTAAAATGCTTCTTTAACAACATTTACAAATTCTTAAAGTTCCTAAAATTTAATTAAATGTTAATATTTATTTTATTAAAGTATTTATTTTAATATTGAGGATATTTAATTACTTAGTCTTCTTCTGCTAGAGCTCCTTGTATCCTGTTTCTCAGTTTTAAGTCTGTGTAATAAAATGTGCAATAGTCACTGTAGCTCATTAATTTATTAACTCCATCAACCTTGTTATAAAACCACCCATTTTTAATTTTGTTTCTCTCCTGTATTATCTATCTAGACATTGTATCTCTCAAAACTCTATGAATAAAATCATACTTTTTAATCATACAAACTTCTCCTACCACACTTGTGCATTGCACAGAATATTTTCTTAAGTATTCTTTATTTTTATGAATTTATTTTTTTTAAGCTTACTCTTGAATATTTTCATCATCACTTTCAGATTACTCTTCATCCTCTTCATTTTTATCATTTTAAATTTATACTTTGGCTTAGCTTAAATTTCGTTTTTACAGTTTTATCTTTTCAGTTGTTTAAACAGTAATATTTGAACAAATTTTAGCTTTATTTTATTCATTGCTTTTGTTGTTGTTACCACCAGTTTGTAATTTTTTTACCTCTTACTCTTTTTTCTTTTGTTCTAACGATTTTTACAATTTTTTTTATTTTTCAATTTACATTTATTCTTCTTAGGCTTGTTCGTTTTTAATTCTTTCTCTTCTCTGCTTTTCTTATTGTTCTAAATCTTAAATCTCATCAATGAATTCCTCCTCTCCAAATAATTCATAAGGCTACCAAAATACTATCTTGATAAAATAAATGCTTTTTTAAAAACTTCACTCCAATTAAAATCTCATTACTCTTTAATCTTTTGTTGGACTGTTATCCTTTTGAAGATTTTTAAACTTGAGGGTTTCATGCTTTTATTTTTAAAGGCACTCTTCATCATCATCTATTTCTTAGGTAAACTTTTTTGTGGCCTTAAATTTAAAAAAGAAAATTACTATTAATTTATATCTTTGATTTTTTATATTAAAATAAAATCCATATAATTAATTTGATCTTACAGTGAATTCACCTTAGCAAACTATATAAGCAGCATTTGATGATTAACCTTCTTTAAAGAGGTACTCTCCTTTTTTGCATTTAACTCTATATGTGTTGAGATATAAAAGTTTTAATGAATGAGAGGCCCATTTTACAAACATTGGCATTTTAGCAAAAAACTCCATTTCTTTAGTTAATTTGTCTTCCTCAGCTTACTTCAAAATTTTGATAAAGCTCTACTTATCCAAAGTAGCTAGATGACAATCACTTTAGCATAATATTGAAGCAAGTCTAGGCTGATTCTTTAGCAAAGCAACTTCACCAAACCCAGCTCCTCCTTCAATAACCTTAACACAAGTAAGGGTAGGAGGATCTCCTATTTTTATGTAAATACCACACTTTCCGTTTAAAATTAAATAAAATTTGTCTCCTGTAGTGCCTAAATATTTCACAAAATAAATTTCATTAGAAATATTTACATTAAATGTTTAGTTTTCAATATTTAAAATTGCATTCTACCTATTTCAAAGACATATTACTTATCTTAAACAAATTAATACTACATGTGGGCAACACATTATTCATGAACTAATTTAAATTAAAAAAATATTTTAATTGATACCAAGTAAAATTGTATTTTGTGTATAATAAATTAATACTTTCTTTCTATCCCTTATCTCGATATTCTTTAAAAAATGGAATATCTTTAGTTAAATTGATAAGAACAGAAAGTTCATTTTTTGAACGCTTTTCTAGTGGCTTCTCTAAAACATTAATTGTTTCCTTTTTATAAATTATTATATATATTTTATGAGTTATTTATAATTTACTTCTAATTCTTTGCCATCTAAAACTCCCATTACACTAAATTATTAATTTACTTAGACTTTGTTTAAGATTCTTAATAATTAATTAAAATGAATAAATAAAGCATAAATATTTGATGATATATTTTTTACCAATAATCACTTTTAATAAAACCATAGTTATTTGTACACAATAGTAATTCTTACAATACTCATCACTATTATAATTAACTAAAAAGTAAATACTTTGGAACTAAAATTTTTAATGATAAAAAGTAAATTTCAATTTTTTCTTTAGAAAGTTATGAATATAACTAATTATAATAATTTACTCAGCTTTAGTTATATTTTATATAAAAGATTTATTTCTTTCATTAAATTGTTAATCAAACATAAATAAAAACCATTAATCTTTTAATATTTTGATTCATTTTAATAAATATGATTAGAAAAAATTTAAGGATATTAAATAAGTTTACTTATTAATTTGTTTGTGAAAGTGATTTAAATTGAAGTTACAGAATAATATTTTTTTATATTTAATTTAAAATTATTTAGATAAAGAACAATTAATATTATTATAAATTATCTATAATATTTTATTTTTAATTTTCCAATTTTAATAATGAAACTATTTACTCAATATTTAATATTTTGATGTTAAAATATATATAAATAAACAAGAAATAAACTTTATTTGAGTAATTTATTTAAGTTTTATTTATTGAAAATTAGTTTTTGAATTTTTATAATTTATTAAAAATATTATTAAATAAAACAAATTTGTTTGCTTTTTTTTAATTTTAATTGAAATTGAAATCGATATAAAATAACAAAATTAATGGGGGGTTGGGGTTGGGGTTGGGGTTGGGGTTGGGGTTGGGGTTGGGGTTGGGGTTGGGGTTGGGGTTGGGGTTGGGGTTGGGGTTGGGGTTGGGGTTGGGGTTGGGGTTTGGGGTTGGGGTTGGGGTTGGGGTTGGGGTTGGGGTTGGGGTTGGGGTTGGGGTTGGGGTTGGGGTTGGGGTTGGGGTTGGGGTTGGGGTTGGGGTTGGGGTTGGGGTTGGGGTTGGGGTTGGGGTTGGGGTTGGGGGTTGGGGTTGGGGTTGGGGTTGGGGTTGGGGTTGGGGTTGGGGTTGGGGTTGGGGTTGGGGTTGGGGTTGGGGTTGGGGTTGGGG